TTAAAATTTATATTTTTTATTAATAAAAAAAAAGTAATATAATTATTAATATATTATTTAACTTATCTTATTATTAGCTTAAGCTAGTAAAATTTTTAACATTTAATTTAGACTTAATAAATAATATTATGAGTAATTAAAAAAGTCTTATCTAATAGGCTTTAAGAATATTAATTATAATCAATAAATTATTATTTATTCTTTATATTATAGAGGTTCTTTATATAATATTTATTTATATTATATTTATAATCTATTTATTAGATAAGTTTAAAAATTATTTATAAAAAAATTATTAAAAGAATACTTATTCTTATATAATTCTTTAATATATAAAAAAATTGGGGGGGACTTTATATAAGATTAAAGATAATATATTATTTATATATTATAATCTTATAAATAATTATAAGAATTATTAATTATATCTCTCCTAGTTTATATAAGAGAAGATATTTTAACTTATTTATAATAATTTAAAATATCTAGAATATAATTATAATATAATTATTATAAAAAGATATATAATATATAAGAAGACCTGTTACTTTAAGAAGTATATTACTTATTATTCTTAATATTATTATTATTATTCTTATAATATATTATAACTTATCTTAGTAATAATAATCACTTTTTATATTATTACAATAAACTTTATAATTAGTTTTCTTATTAGTTAATAAGAATATAATAAAATTATAATATAAGTAAATAAAGCTACTAAGATAATTAGTATAATACTTAATAAAAATATCTAAATAACTTAAGATTAGACTTATAAGTACTTAAACTTCTAGATAATAATTAATTAAAATATATTAATATTTATTATATTAGATCAGGATCTCTTGTTCCTTATAAACTTTTAATAAATAATCTTTTAAAATTTATATATTTAATTATAATATTTTATTATATAATATTCTTAGTTTAATAAATAAATAAAAAATATAATTTAGATTATTAAAATAGTAATAATATACTTAACTTTAATAAATTTTTAAATAAAGATTAAGAATTTATATTTCAAATTTTAGTTATACTTAAAATTTTATAAAAAACTTAAGTATTAGTATAATTCTATATAAAATTCTTTATAAATTTTTTTTATATTATACTAATCTTTATTAAGTAATTTAGTATAATTTCTTCTTATAATATAATATAAAAGAAGCTTTTTAATTTATAGAGATCTAGATAAAGAAATATTATAATTATTATTATATACTTATAATATTTAATTCTAGTAATAAGATTTATTTATATCTAGGTATAAGATATAATATTCTAGTAAATTAAATTTTTTTCTAAAAACTTAATTAATAATATACTAGCTTGTTTATAATTCTAAAAAGTATTAATAAAAATACTTATTATCTAGATTTATTACTAAATATTATTTATCTAGTAATTAATATTATCTTTCTTAAGCCTGTTTTTAATAGTCTAAATTTTTATAATTATTAATATATTATATTAATTCTAGTTCAGGATATAAAGTTCTTTAATAATAATAATTAATATAAGATTAAATAATTATTTTATTATTATATTTAATATATTAATTAAAACTAATCTCCTTATATTAAATACTTCGTGAGATAGAAAGGATATAATTCATAATATAATATATAAAAATAAGAAGATAGTCTATAATAAGCAGTAAATAATCTTATTAAAGATTTTTACTAAATTATTTGTTACTTTATTTTTAGCTATAATTATAATTCCCCTGCTATCTATATTATTATATATAACTAGTATTATAAATGATATCTTTCAAACTTCCCCTATTTGTTACTATTATTATATTACCACTATTGTTATTCTGCCGTCGTAGGTGGTCAGATAGTTGATAGGATAGGGTCTAGCCCTTGCCCCCTAATTGGGACTAGCCCGTTGTGTAGTTAGTAGCCCACAGAAGCAAGAATAAGAACACCATCTTCTTCTTCCCCAATCAACTGAGTCCTATCATGACAATGATGATCTTATTTAAAATAATATATATAAAAATAATATAATAAATAATATAATAAATATAAAATTAGATCTTTATTATATATATATAATAATAAAACTAAATTTATTAAATATATTTAGAGATAAAAGATAATAAAAAGTTTATTAAAAACATTTAATAAAAAAATAAAAAAAATTGAAAATCATATAAAAATTAATATAAGAAAGAATTAATTAATTCAATTAATTCTATTAATAATAAACTAACTCTTAATATTCATCAGTCTGTAAAGATTATTATAAATAATAAATCTAGACTCTACTAAATATCTTACTTAGATTATTTTATATAATTAATCTAGATTTATTATTAATTAAAGAGTACATAATTAAGATTAAATTAAGATAATTTAGTACTAGATAAAGAAAAATATAATGATAAAGTTTACTTATAAGTATAGTTTTATACAAAAATAATCTATATAATTATAAATTAGAGAGAATATTTAGTAAAATAGATTCACTGAAGGTTTTAGGTTATTTCTTACATAAAAATCTGGAGTTATCTTCTGAATTACTGTAGACCAGACACAGGAATTTAACATAACCTGAACACCCCTTCAGACTGGAAAATCACATATAGATTATTTCTATGTACATTAAAGGCAACAAGTAGGCTTTGTCACCACAGATACATCATACATGTGTTGAATGGCAAACAAGTAGACACTTAGCTAAAAAAGCCTTGATTTGGGTGAGTAATTCGAAGAATCTAGTTTATAAAGAGAGATGTTTTTTGTGAAGCTGAGACTGTAACAACCAAGAAATTCCATATTTCCCAAGATACTTTGATGAATTTGGCTGCACCTGTTTGTCAAACCTACCAGGGATCGCCCGTTGTCTTGCATGTATACACATGCTTCTTGTGTCAGACCCAATGTTCAATCAAATGAATCCCTTGGTCGCTTTTACTTTTATCTCCTTGAAACACCAGCAGCCTTACTGTGGTGTTTTGTCTATGAGAGATCGGAGATCAATGTTCTAATCCCGCCAACCAGCTAATCCCCTCTTTATCTGCACTCATTGAACAACTGTGTTAGCACACACCTGAGACCGTTTCTCAAACAGACGGTCTCAATCCAGTCTTCTCAAAACGGAACCTACACCATACCATTTAATCTCGCTGCTGCTACTCTCACACTTGCCTGTCGAAATGTCTCCCACAACCACAGGCTCTCTGCCCAGTAGTACCGATGCTGATGGTAATTCGGGCGACAATAATTCTAGTCCAACTAGTTCCCCTTTACTCTTTTTTGTTGCCCTTGGATTTGGTGTGGTATTTACAAACCTATGGTATGCTATATTCCATACATTCCTTTCCTCGAAAATCATTTTTACCCGAAACTGACATATTATCTCTCAGGATCATAGTCGGGGTTAAGTACTGCTTTCGGTATAACCAACGAAATCGCCAGTTGCGAAATGAAGAAACAGGGGAGCCTATAAACCTTGTGACAATGCCCCGAACCCACAGGAGACGGAGAGAAAAGAAGTTAATGAGTATGGACGAGGTGAACGAGCGATTTCCGCTTATGAAATATAAAGCCTGGAGGTCAACACGTGCAGACGAAGGCCTCCCTACTGCTGGTGGAATATCAGCGCCAACTACTCGGGCACACAGTTTGAAAGACGAGAACAAAGCTTTTACGATCGCTGCCGGCGGTGATTCACCTGTAGCTACCTCGCCAGAAAAGGGCCAGCACTGTACCGTGCTACAGACGTTGGACAATGCCCAGAATGCCGAAGCGGGATTCAAAACGTTGGATAAACCCGAGCGACACAACCATGCTGAAGGCAACCTATCCCGCGCCTGTCCTGATAACACCCCCATTAAGACGCAAGCCGTCTCCGGCGACCCAGTCGCACATCAACGACAAGAATACAGTTTTGTCGAAGACGTCGAAGACGTCGATGACATTGATAGTCAAATCCGAACTTCTATGTCTGCTGAACTTTTGCCAAATCTCGGTGACTCGTGTGCCATCTGCCTTGACATGATCGAAGACGATGATGATATACGCGGGCTTACATGTGGACACGCATTCCACGCCTCTTGTGTTGATCCGTGGTTAACGAGTCGAAGGGCTTGCTGTCCATTATGCAAAGCAGATTATCATGTTCCCAAGCCCCGACCCGACCCATATGAACAGTCGGCGCTGGGGGAACGCATAGCCCGACACAGTGCAAACCGGATGCCTGTTCCAAGCCAACCTCAGGCTGTGTTTATAGGGGGCCGCTCGAATTCATTTCGTGTCCCGGCAACGCGGAACCGAAGCACCCAGCCAGTGCCATCCCGGAACAGACCATGGCATGCAATAGACCGGCTTTGGCGGTTGCAGAATTCCCGGCCTCAACCCTCGACCCCTGATCAGTCCATAGTCACACCAGAGTCCCGTGAACAAGAGACGTTGGGGTCAAGGTTGGCGAACATCCGCTTATTCAACCGTGGTGCTACTTTTTCGACCAGAAATCGCCCCTTGAGAGAGAGCGCGCAGTTCGCAGACCAGTTACGCCCAGAGGGCAACCGAACATCGAACCAGCGTGAAGCCGCTTCTTTTGTTTGAATTCACTTTTATCAATCCATACCAACAATCGTGTGGTATATCCTATTGTCATTGAAATAATTTTTCTGATTAATCAACATCTGGAATGTTGATTAAGATCCTGTTACACTTGCAAGTACCAGGCCGTCTTGTAAACATGAGCAGATGATCTTTTTTTGGTGTACTAATGGCGACGAGAGCATGGAGTCACTACTCTTAGGTCTTTTTATCTGTCATGCTGCAAATTACTAATCATGGACTCTTTGTCTTATTTGGAGTTGGTGTTGGTGACCCAATTAGCGTGATTTGAGTATTGAGCGGGGTGATCATTTTTTTGTAGGACTACTTATTACGTATATAACTTTCAATTGAGCCGTTTTATAGAGGGTTGAAGTAGAGACATGAAGCGTACATCTTCTCTATATCGTGGCTGTTGCCCATAGCTAATGATTTGTTCGATATATGCTGATGTACACACACATGCATCATTTAATTACAAAAAAGGAGTAGAAAAATCACCTCGCATGTTCAAATACATTCAAATCTGGAACTTCCAAACAACTCCCACGCAAGCATTGAAGGATACGCACACGCAATGCATCTCCGTCATTTCTTTAACCCCATGGTTCCAACACCGGCACTGATGACACCCGGAAGTTCTTCCTGCCCCACATAATATAACATTCCCACTGCAGCCCCTGTTGCGGCAATCGCCATTATACTGATACCGGCAACCAGGAAAAACGGAGTGCTGATGTCCCTCTTCTGGCATGCAGAGCCGCCCCAACTAGATTTCTGTATGCTGCCGTCTTCTTTTCTAGTGATAGTTTCCCTGCACTTACATGTATAACAATCGCTTTTGGCGCCCCCGTTAACGGATCTTTGTTTGTTATAACAAGATCCATGCCCGGAGCATCCATGGGTTGCCTCAATGCAAGATGCCTCAGAAGTGAAACAGGAAGGAAAGGAGGTCGACAGCAGAGAGTCCTGATATTCAGATTTGACAAGGGACCCGAGGTTGTCATTTTTGGACAGAGTCCCATCCATGACAGCCCTGGGTTTCTTCGTCCTGAGGGCCAGGCCTTCGGTATTGCTTGACTCTTGGAGAACAAGAGCAGTTACTTCTTTACCGTTGATCGCCAACTCGTGCAAACCATGGAAGAAGGCCTTTACTGCATCTGTAGCTCGCGAGCTAACATTATTGGGAGACTGCCAGGTTCAGATGTCAGATACGGTGCTTTGTCATTTAGAGTTCTGAGATATACCTCAAGTGATATTTTTACAATTGCTGTTAGCGTTTCTGTGTCAACCCAGGACTCGATACCCTTCACATGGTTTATGAGTTCCTCGTCGAAAACACTCTGAACGGGCCCGTAAGATGAATCCCTAGGGAAGCAATCTCTAAAAGCCTAGAGTCACGTACGTGAGCGGTTTGTAAATGAAGTACAGAATATGATAATAGCAACAGTGTCCTTGCTTACCTGTGGTGCCCGGGATTCTGCTTCAATGCCGGTGTTCGACACGCAGTGCTTTGCCTCGGCCAAACGGGCCACACCTTGAGTATCGCCTTTGAGAGCACCATAGAGAATCTTCTCCGGAAAAGTCGTAGGGAGGTCGAGGATAGTTACTGCTCCCTCGTACCCATTTAGAACCGAGGAACCTTGAATTCAGGGTTATCAGCCATCTGATTGTAGTATCGTCGAATTTTGTAGCCTACCGACTTCGGAGCCCAAGCCTTCAATAACGAAGAAGCTCCTGTCTAATGTTTCGTCATCGCAAGACAAGCCAAAAAGTTGGTCCTGAGCTCCCGCTAGTCTATCAATGACCTTGATTGTATCCGGATCAACATCTCCCAGGTTTGAAGCGACGGATGACTTCAGTCGATGGTCTAAGAGCTGTTGCGCCGCCGCACCTGATAATGCTGGAGCTCTCGGGGCATCCCATTGAAACTGTGGTTCGAAGGCGAGAATGGACGCTTCCCAGGCGCTGACTCCGCATGCGATTAATGTCCACAGATTTAGTATATTTGAGAACTGCCGCATGGTGAATGGTATGGATTGGTCAATATAACAATGTCCGACAGAATGAGAATCACTTGTAGATTCTACTCCGATAACTTGAAGTCGAGTTTGTTTCTGGAACGTTTATGTAGCCGGTAATAATGTATGAAGCATCTTGCTTGCAGTTCGCATATACGTAGGCAGGTGCCGCCTTCCAGCATTCTGTACTATATAGTTATCCAACGCGGAAGGCGGTCAATTTGCTCCGTACTCTAGTGCAGGTACTCCGTACTTATACTAGTAGTTACTACCTCCGTACTCTGCTCGTAGGTTCCAAGGTTGGCACCTCCCGCTATGCATGTGGCCCCGGAGCGTCGCGCCACTCCCTGAATTGTAGATTATGTCCAGTGAATGAGAGGTAGAGAAACATCAAAATTTAACATTTCATACGCTGGCTCGACTCTCCAAGTACTACTCAGAAAACACGTCTCCCAAATTGTACTTCTTGGTTTCAAACCTTTTCTTTCCCATTCTGTCTTCTTTTTCTTTCCCTCTCTTTTTCTCAATTTACACAGAACAGACGTGAACCCACTGAACTTTCCAAACAGGCATGTGTTGTTGATGACAAGCGCTCTTCCGCAGATGCAACCTCACAAATGTTTCGAGTCAGACAATTATTCTCACATCCAAGATTGTTCTTTCGGATTAGCCCACCGGCTTCATTGAATTCGAGCACCCGCAATGTGCGCCATGTACAGTTTAAAAGACCACGGATCAGGTGAGCTTCGGTCCTCTGAACTTGCGATTGACGACATTGCCTAATACGACAGGATTGCAGAAGTTTCATAACAAAATGCTGTCTTTATGGAATGGCATTCCATCTGTCGAGTTCATTTGTTCTTTCACAATTCGACAATGGTACGCGCACGGCAGATGCACTAGAAGAGCCTGTTGCCGCTGGACGGGATAAGGACAAACATGATCCTGATGAAAAAACGGACCTTGATCCGGTTTTCATTCCACTCGGATTACCATATTTAAGGGAAGGCGAATTCTATGCAGTGTCGGACCCTGAATGGAAACAGTTTGTAAAATTTTCCCAAGACCGCGAAAAGCTCAACTCTCTCCAAGGTACGTGTGACGAAAAAGCTTTGCTGGTTGGCACGTACTTACTCTCCGAATAGGAGAATTAGCATCACTTGTTTTATCTGATGCAGCACAATCCGCTATACTTTCTCGTTTGTTAGGCGGGCCTCTCGAATTAACTGGATCCTGGCTTGTGCACCACTTCCCATCTCGAGCCCCACCCAAATATACCCGCATAGGGTATGTATTGAATTGACCTTTGTTGATTAGATCTCAGATCCTAGTTAACACTACCCTAGGATACAGATTACTGACACAGCCATTGCGTTGGTCTCTAAATACATGGCGTTCGAAGAAGGTGATCGACTTAAAAGATGCATATGGCCCCTTCCTGCTACTCTTGCAATCAAAGATGCATACTCAGTTTTATTCCAACGACAACTCTCAAAGCTTAGTGCCACGAATTTGGACGAAGAACACCAAAGTTCAAGTTCAAATTTGCCGTCTTATACAACTATGCTATCATCTGACCCCAAGGCCGCGGATGATTCAAGTCAAGTACCTCAGCATCACTCCCGTATATCGAATGCTGGAGAAAGTGCAAACCGAAGCAACGACGACTACCATGACTACCCTTTCTCTGTCATTTCCACGTTGAAAAAGCTTCTACTGCAATTTGGCCCTGGTTCAGATCTTTACACGGCATCATTGGCCTTCAAGTTTCGGTTCAACGATTGTTTGTCTCGGGAGCGACACGCTTCTCCCCGTGGTGTGTTTTATTTCGCCGGGCCAGTTGGGCTCAAAGGGCCTAAGGGATTCTGTAGGATTGAGGTCAAAGGCGAATATGACCCAGCAGCTGCTAAATGGGCCATTGTTTCAATGCAGTTGAAGGATCTGAGTGTTTTTAATCAGAGTGCACTCGGGGGGCACTAGCCATGGACCACGGCCCGCTTTGCAATATATGGTGCAGTTGGGCAGTCAATGCATACATCATCAGCCGGCAACGTGTGCAAATCCCTGAGGGTAGGTAGGGTCGCTACCTACTGAGTTCTATGTACTGGATGAGATTAGATGATTGCCTGGCTTCCGACCAAATCGATTATAGATGATCGGTTGCCTCCACTCTCTCTTGAGTTACCTTAACTTATTTTGTTGAATTCAACTGGAGCCCTGATAAGTTCGGTACTGAGTTGAACTGAGGCCTTCCAATTCAATATGAACAGAGCCTCAAACCAATCATATTTGTCATCTCCATTAGTGTAACTAACCACATCCCGCAACGCCCAGTATTACATCATAGTTCTGTAGCATTGAATGACGCCCGGTTGTCACCCCGCTTCTTTCATTTGCAAAGGAGCCGAGTCTTTTGACATACAGGAGCTTTTGGTGGTTGTGCCATCTCTATAATCTTCTTCTCCCTCCAGGTTCTCGCCAGGGGTTCTCAGTGTTGCCTTTCCTACATAATGGCACTTCAGCCCAAATTTGCCGGGCAGCTGTTGGCTGCTCACGCTCAGCAACCCCCCCACACGCTTGAGTTCTGTAAGTATTTGCACCTACTTGGCTCAAACACCTAGGGTTACAGACCTGCTGACTGAATACTGACTTGCCCCATTGCAGACCTCGACTACGTTTGCCCTGTATGTTTAGAACCTGTCACTTGGACTTCCTTTTCCCGCACGCACTGATATATCATGTGTCACTTAGTTCTCCGCGAAATTCTTCAATACGTTCTATACTTCAGTAAAGCCACTCGTTGAAAGGAAATATTCATTGAAACTTCGTGTCATTTTCCGCCAGCATATTCAGCCGTGGCATCCATCATCGACGTTGACACATGAAGCCGGTGCAGCTGTCCTAAAAGCGGCGCCTGAAAAGTTTTGGGAATTCAGCGCCGCCCTTTTTGAGCACCAGAAAGAGTTTTTCGATATTAGCGTTGTTAATGAAACACGCAACAAGACATATGAAAGACTGGCGAAAATTGCAGCACGTGTAGGCGTTAGTGAGAATGAGGTATTGAAGCTGTTGGTTGTCAATGAGAAAGCTAGCCACGATGGAGAACTGAACACTGGCAATGAAGTCACCAATGATATCAAGCTAATGGTCAAGGTGGGTATTCAAAGAATCTGTCACTTCCGATGATTGATGCAATCTAACAGGGAACAAATACAGTCAAATCGTGTGATAGGAGTCCATGTTTCTCCAACCGTATATTTCAACGTATGAGACATCCGAACGATACGACGCAATCATCCCAGTTCGCTGACTTGACAAACCCAGGGGATCGAAGAGCCAAACATCAGCAGTAGTTTTGCAACGAGCCAATGGGAGGAATGGTTGGCCAAGAACATAGTTTGAGGTTCCTTTTGATTGTAAGATTTTCGTGACAGGAACAGATGTTGGAAAAAACATTTGATGGTGATGGTGGCTGTGGTTTTGTCTCTTCTTTGCCGATAAGAACTGGGCCGTACTTATTAAACTGCACAGCGGGGCACCTAATCTCTTGAAATAGTCTTAGCCATGCAAGAGATGTACCTGCTGTCGAATCTCAACTGTTTCATTCATCCCCACGTTACAAAAGTGCCGGTAACAGGCAATTATTCCAGGTGCGAGATTGAAAGATTACTGTGACAGAGGGGGTTGGTAGTTCAAAGGGCGCCTGGAAGTTTTAGCGGGGGTTATCACGTCATCATATAAAGCAAGGACCTACTTGAAAAGAAGGATGTGAGGCTCTGGTTCGTGCACTTCGTAATGTTCCCAACCCAAGCTCTATGATTAAAGATTAGAGATAGTCTTCGAGGAGCGGACGCATGTTGTAGATATGTACCTGTGTGATGCCAAGCGCCCGCCACTCTTCTTCCCAAAGCAACTTCAGAGTTCCTTTCGCGCTGTCGAAGTAATCGGCGGGGATTTTCTTAAGCATATTTTTAGGTAGTTGAACATGTCGATATTCGTACGCATCGTCGGAATACCTAGATGTGTTCGTCAGCCCCTTCTTCCGTGATATGTACGGACAGACAAATACCTCGCGGAGTAGTGAATGGAGTCAATAAATTCTTCGAGTCTCTCTCGCTCGCTTTCTAGCAGAAGGCGTGGCTTCTTATTTCTTCTGCTCATGTCGATGTCCATCTGGAGGAGGGGGGAGGGGAAGCGTCCGCAAAAACACAAATATTACTTGGAAGCGCCTTCTGTATTGGATAACATATTAGGAACAGCCCCTCAAACCTCAAAGAATGGGAAGCAGGAGTAACAAGACAGAGCGCGAAATGTTTATAACTGGGAAACATAGAGGCCAGGGTTTATCAAGTAAATAGAGTGGAGTGGGGACAAGAAAATACTCACGAGAAAAGTTCTCTGTGCTGGACTATCAAGTTTGTGAGAACTGAATCGACAGGAGGAGTATATCGTGGACAATGGTCTTTGGCGGATTGGTATGTTGTCCAGCAGTGAAAACAATGGCCGAGTAATCTTCCAAGAATATCCTAATGACTGTTGCTTTGGTACCCGAGGTGTACTCCGTCGTTGTTTGATCCATAATTATGGTACGGAGACTGTTGTAATTTACCCGCATGAGTGATGCCTCAGGCTACCAAGTATATCCTATCGGAGAACCCTGCAAATTCTGCTGCTATCGATTTTGGCTCGATTTTAATCAATAAAATCCAAGCAGACACGCAAACTGGATAACAAGATCATTGATCCATACGCACATCATGTTATCTACAGTTTATAACTATCAAATTCAAATCATGCAGCTTAAGTATGTAAGGCCGATGGAAGAGGATATATCTACTGATATACATAAATATATACAAAATGTTATTCTTACTACTTTCCTGACTACCTGAAATGTCATGATTTGAGTATAGTGAAAATGACATGCTGGAAATTCTACTCCGTATGCATGCAGCATGGCCGACGACTCAGTAGTCAAGGAGACTCAGTAGTCAAGGAATCACGCTTCTTGCGATCTGACACCCCATCTGCGTACATTATAAATCTTTTCAAGACCAATGTAATATTGACGAATTATAAAGGCAGCATCCAAGAGAGAAATAATATATACAGAGTACATAATATATGGATGTATACCGGTACAATTCCAAAGAAGGCAAACCGATTGGTGACTAATCAGAAAGAAAAAGACACAGTACATCACGTGATGCATAAAGTGTTTGTTGAATTTGCCTTCTACCGAGGAGCAAGAAAGTTTGGTTTAAAAAAAAAAAAAAAAAAAAATTTTTTCCCTTAAAAAGTGAGATGAGCGAGGAGAGGAAAAGTGGGCTGTCTCGGGGCTTTTTTTTTTCCTTACTCTTCCCTCCACTGCAGACCTCTAAAATTTTAACCACTCCCACCTCGGCGCTGGAGTGATTTTAGAATTTCTTCTGTTCTTCCCAAATTTCCATTCAACCCATTTTTCTTTTCACTTTTTTGAATCCCTAGGACCTTAATACAGTCTTTAGTGATCTTTTACCATGTCTGACGAAGTCTACGAAGGTGCCGTTGGCATCGATCTTGGTGGGTTGTCACCATTGTACTATCTGATGGGATAGGTACTTACCTAGTATTTGCAGGCACGACCTACTCTTGTGTTGCCAACTATGAGGGCACCAATGTCGAAATCAGTAAGTCCACATAGATGTCGTGGTATCAGGCAATTGTTCTCTAACCAGCATCGATGTAGTCGCCAACGAGCAGGGTAGCTATACCACCCCGTCGTTCGTCTCCTTCACCGACAAGGAGCGTCTGATTGGCGAGGCCGCGAAGAACCAGGCTGCCATGAACCCGAGGAACACTGTCTTCGATATCAAGTAAGAAATCTTCTACCCTTGTTGCTCGCTCAAAAGTTCGTTTGAGCATTGGTTCTAACCTTTTTTAAGGCGTCTTATCGGTCGGAGATACGAGGACCCCATTGTCAAGAAGGATGTTGAATCTTGGCCTTTCAAGGTCATCGACCAGGGTGGAAACCCCATCGTGGAGGTTGACTACCTTGGCGAGACCAAGACTTTCTCTCCTCAGGAAATCTCTTCCATGGTGTTGATGAAGGTAATTCAGACCAGAGTTCGAAATCGAAAATAGTTGAAAGAAACTAATCCAACTACATCAATAGATGAAGGAGGTTGCGGAGACCAAGCTGGGCAAGAAGGTCGAAAAGGCCGTCATCACTGTCCCGGCTTACTTCAATGACAACCAGCGTCAGGCTACCAAGGACGCTGGTGCGATTGCCGGCCTCAACGTTCTCCGTATCATCAACGAGCCCACTGCCGCCGCCATTGCCTATGGTCTTGGCTCTGGAAAGTCTGACAAGGAGCGTAATGTCCTGATCTATGATCTTGGTGGTGGTACTTTCGATGTCTCTCTCCTCAACATCCAGGGCGGCGTTTTCACCGTCAAGGCCACTGCTGGTGACACCCATCTTGGTGGTCAGGACTTTGATACCAACCTCCTTGACTTCTTCAAGAAGGAGTTCCAGCGCAAGACTGGAAAGGACCTCTCCGGTGATCCCAGGGCTTTGCGCCGCCTGAGAACCGCCTGTGAGCGTGCCAAGCGCACTCTGTCCAACGCCACTCAGACCACTGTCGAGATCGATTCTCTGTTTGATGGCGAGGATTTCAACTCCTCTCTCACCCGTGCTCGTTTCGAGGATCTCAACGCCAAGAGCTTCTCTGGTACTCTGGACCCTGTCCAGCAGGTCCTGAAGGACTCCGGTCTCGGTAAGAAGCAGGTTGATGAGATCGTGCTTGTCGGTGGTTCCACCCGTATCCCTCGCATCCAAAAGCTCCTGAGCGATTTCTTCGATGGAAAGAAGCTAGAAAAGGTAAGCAGTTCCTCCTGTACATGATGAGAACGCATCTAATGGTTTTTTCTTCAGAGCATCAACCCCGATGAGGCCGTTGCCTACGGTGCCGCTGTTCAGGCTGGTATTCTTTCGGGCAAGGCTACTTCTGCTGAGACTCAGGATCTGTTGCTGCTCGATGTCGTTCCTCTTTCTCTTGGTGTTGCCATGGAAGGCAACATCTTTGCCCCCGTGGTTGCGCGTGGCCAGACTGTTCCCACCATCAAGAAGCGCACTTTCACTACTGTTGTGGACAACCAGACCACCGTCCAGTTCCCTGTTTTCCAGGGTGAGCGTACCAACTGCGCTGACAACACCTCTCTTGGAGAGTTCACTCTGGCGCCTATCCCTCCCATGAGGGCTGGTGAGGCTGCTCTTGAGTGTGTTTTCGAGGTTGACGTGAACGGTATCCTCAAGGTCACTGCGACGGAGAAGTCCTCTGGCCGCACTGCCAACATCACCATCTCGAATGCAGTTGGCAAACTTTCCTCTGGCGAGATCGAGCAGATGATTGATGGTAAGTCAAGTTTACTCTCCAGCTTCATGCAGCACGTAACTAATAAATACTAGACGCTGCCAAGTTCAAGTCCAGCGATGAGGCTTTCACTAAGAAGTTCGAATCTCGTCAACAGCTCGAGTCTTACATCTCTCGTGTTGAGGAGATCGTTTCCGACCCCGGAATGTCGATGAAGCTGAAGCGGGGCAACAAGGAGAAGATCGAGTCTGCCCTTAGCGATGCCATGGCGCAGCTCGAGATTGAGGAGTCCTCCCCCGAGGATCTCAAGAAGAAGGAGCTCGCTCTTAAGCGACTCATCACGAAGGCCATGGCTACTCGGTAAAGCTGTACAGTCAGTGCTTAGACCGTACCGCAACTGAAGCCGCCCAAAGGCCTTCGTTTATTACATGACGATCTTACGGAAAGGGGCCATTTTGTTTGTTACTGCTCCTTTTTCTTTTTCTGAAATTGGGTCTTCGTCCACACATTGGCTTTACATCAGGAGCGCATTTTTTATGATTGGGCAGAGACTTTTCAAAAGTATCCTTAGATTTGAAAATTTTGGTTCATTTTAAGACTTACAAGGACATTTATATAACCGTAAAATCGTCCTCTTATATCCCGTAATTCAGATATAAATAAGCAGTTGATGACCATGGGTCAGCGGAAGCCATTCTTTGGCTTCTCCATTCAGGTCGATTTTGGTCGGTGTTCTCGAAACACTTGCCAGAGTGTTGGGTGCCTGCTGCGTACCATTACTACGTGGTTGCTACCTAGCTGCCAACTACCCTTTACCCGCAACTCATGCGTCAACTTCCACAACAGCTGGCAAACCTGCATTGATCAAGGAAACAGTTTACACAACTCTTGTTGGAGTGTTCATCGTGCTCTGAAATGACTTACTTTGGCCGTGTACGACTCTTGTTGTCAACGGGAGCGCCTAAACTCAAGTTACCAGTTCAATCTCCACGTCTTTTAACATGGCCCAGAAACACGCTTCAGGTCGGGACCCGGGGCTTCCGAAGCTCTCATATGCTGTATAAGAAGAAGGATAAAGCGAAAAAGCAGCCCGACGCGGCCCCGGCATCACCTTCAAGTCCTGCAACATCTTCCGAAGACCCTTACGATCTCTCAAAGTTACAGGATGGCATCTCGACTGCTCTTTCGCAGTTAAAAGACGACCTGGCCAAGAACCGAGTAGGCGGAAGGTTCAATACCGAATCGATCGAATTCCTTCGTGTCAAACCTCACAAAGGCTCTAAGGATTCCGTGAAGCTTGGAGAATTGGCGCAGGTTGTTCCGAAGGGCGGGCGCATGGTGACTGTGCTCGCTTCAGAAGAAGATGTCAGTATTCAAGAATTCCATACTTGCTTTGATCTCTCCCCGGGTTACTAGCTTTACATCTCTTCATATTCTAACCATTGATGGTATATATACAGCATGTTAAAGCGATCGCTTCGACAATTGTCTCCTCCAACCTGTCCCTGACTCCGCAGCCGGATGCGCACAATGCTCTTCAACTGAATATTCCGATCCCACCGCCTACGAAGGAATCGCGCGACCATGCAATTGGTCTGGCGAAAGCGGCAATGGAAAAGGCGAATAGCTCGATTCGCGACTCTAGAGGTGCGCTTCATAAACGCCTCCAGGATATGCAGAAGAAGAAGCTTGCGAGGCCCGACGATGTTCGGAAAGCACACGAGCATATGGAGAAATTAATAGAGAAGAGCCACAAGGATGTTAAAGATCTATTTGAAACAGCGAGAAAGGCGCTCGAGCGGGTATAAGCAATGGGGGAACTCAAAGCTGCTGGTTGTGTTGCGATTGGAGATCTACATGTACACATAGTCGTTAGGTATAATTCATATTTTCTGCACCTTAATTACACAAATTTAGCTGAGCGACAGGTTGCAATGACCAAGAATGACAGACGGGAAACAAGCACTATTGTACAATGTCACGGCACCAGCGCTAGGAACGCTTGACAGGACGACCAGCAGCCAGAAGTGATTCCATCTTTTTCATGAATTGTGAACTCTTCCCCGCCATTTGGTATGTCTCATTGTTCCCGAGATTCTTGAGGATATCCCCAATGACAGGGGATTTGTCCGCCTGCTGAGTTGGTGCGCTGGGATACCTCCCCTGCACCAGAGACTGGATGAGAGATTGCTGATCTTCCTTCCGTAGTGGGTCGAAGCCAATTTCTTGAGGTTCCACGACATCGCCTTTCCGCTGCGAGAACTTGTCGGCACGTTCTTGTGATAGCTTGTTGGCTACAGCCATAGCCTTCGTCCGTTCCTCTTCGCTTGCGAATTGAACATATTGGCCCATGAAAAGACGCTTTCCTAGCTCCTCTGGTTGCGTATAGCCATTGGGCAAGCGATCACCCAACTTGTATAGTTTTTCAGCAACCCCAGCAGCACGGGCGTTCGCATCAGTCGGGAAAGCCGGCCAGCTCTCCTTCAAGGCAGCATAGTCACACGCCCGAGGACTGTAACGAACGGGTACCGGCTTCCCCTTCTCGACAATGTCAATAAAGGCATTTTCGACTTCTTCCTTTTGGGTGGTATCGCCTGCATCCGCCTCGGATGATCTCGGCCCACCCCGCACGAACTTCTTGTTCCTGAATCCAGAAGACTTGCCGGGAGGTCTAGTAGGTTTTCCGGAACGGGGAGGGAAAGAAGGGCGGTTCCCCCGAAACCTAGGGTTTTGGAGAATAGCTCCTGGTTGACGGCCGGCTTGGGGAGCCGCGAGGGATCTTGCGTCGACTACACGGCGGTATCGAGGTCGATCAAAGGTCGTGTTTTTCGGGTTCAAGTTCACCGGCGGTACGCTGGTCTTCCGACGGTCAGGGCGAGGTGAGGCACCGGAGGGAGAAGGTTTCTTAGGGGCGACATTGGGATTACCTGCAAAAGGTTAACATCCACAAAGGGGTGTCGCGAGCAGTCGAGTAAACCAGAAGCAGAGAGTCGTGAAGCGGATACATGTGGGTTATGCAGAAGTACTTACCCTTCGGGCTTGCGCCTTGATCTCCATGGCATTGGGTTTGAGAAAATGACCGAATAGGTGCCAAAATCTGCCCCGTAATTCTGGAACCAGCACCCTGGCGGGTTAACTGGATGGTTCGTGGATGGAACATCTTTCAATGAGCCTTCGTTATGGCAAAGTTTCACGAAGGCCGCGGGAGATGCCAAAAAGAATTCCATGGCTTCGGAGCCTCATCACGTGATCGTACATCGCCCTTTCGCGGAACGCGTCTTGAAAGTCTGGAAGCTAATTTCTCCCCCTTGTCCCCATTTCCCCTACTCTCTTCCAGTCATTTTCCAGTCAGACATATTATGTGAAGTAACCATGCTTCGCCGGAAACCCACAGCTATCGCGATAACGTCCGAAGACGTCGCAGCCTTTGAAGAAGCGCGACTCCGCCAACAGTCCGGAAAGAAGAGCAGCGACCCGTCCGATGGCACAAGGAACTTCGCTGCGAAGTTTGATCCGAGTGACGAATTGAAACCACTCCCCGGGGATAAAGCGCGGATTGTTCGATCGCATGAGGAGCGGATAGGCATCCATAGACGCGGTTGAGTTCGTCAGTTGGTCTTGTTACTATCTCATGGCTTTCTCCTTCTATACTCGAAATTTCGCTGTCAGATCGCCCCTTCTGCTTTGAGAGGGTTGGATTGTTCATAAGATCCTTGGGATCCACTTTGCATAATGAGGGCGAGATATGATCTCAGTGGAAAGCCTCCTGCTACTACTATCTGTTATGGCTTAAGCATACATGCGGTGTTGGAAGATGTGTGTTGAGTGGTTCCAGCTTCAAGACCACAATCTCGCTGCTTGTCTTTTGTGACATGTTAACGCTATCTATTGACAAATGTCAAACGCCAAATGCCAACACTTTGCCTTATGATACCTTGGGCTACATCTTGTACTAGCAGATTCGGACGTGAACAAGAGAGGGAGCAAGAAATCAATCTTCGTACTGAATGAATCTATCATCCACAAAATAGGGTACAAATTATTTCCATCGAAGCGAACTCGCAATATATACAATCATTTACCTAGTCTAGCGTAGAACAATAAGGGTTGGTTCAATCGCATCCAACTATTGCCAAGTGTAGCATGATCGAAACCCGTGGCACATGATTCACGGACCTGATATTGAAGAGAATAAGGGGGTATCTGGAAGGACATAGATGAAGCAGGTGGACTAATGTAAGAGCATCAAGATCATGAACAGTGGCCTGAAATGACATCTATTGAGATAGTTGCTGCCGATGACCTGCCCTAGGGGACCATAGATGAATTGAACGAGCTTGTCAACGTTGTCGTTTGGCCGTGTGCCCTGCGTCCAGGTCGACGGAATGGTTCCATCGCCGTTTTAAACCATTAGGATCGAATACACTGGCAACATTCTGTTGCCAGTCTCGTGCTGTGAATACAACTTGCTGTGTGTTGAGGCGCTGTGAGGCAGGTGGGGTCAGTGCGGTAGGTGTGGGTTTTGCGGGGGTTCCGTATTGGGGATATTGAGGTGCTAAAGAGGTGTGTACGCTCTGGATGGGGTGGTTGATGGGCATTGGAGGCGAGTTTGGATTCAAGGGAGAAGGTCCCATGGAGAACGCCATATCCCATTGACTGTTTCGAATCAACGTTAGTCTTTGGCTGGAACCTTGTCTGAAGGTAAGTTTCTTACTTGATAATGCGAGTAGGGTCCCAGCTGTTCTCGTCCACTAAAGGTGCATCCAACGAATGACTCGGTACAGGGTGAGGCATTATGCCCACATGTTGAAGCTGAGAGGAATCGGACTTTAAATCTTCAGTGCCGGCTGAGATAGGAGGGGTTATCGGGTATGCTGTAAATCCCACTCCATTATGAGTACCGCTGGAAATCGGAACATGATTCAGCCTAGAATCATAATGTGAACCGATTGGTGGACTTGGATGGTATTGTTCCGAAGGACTGCCATAAGGGAATGTCGATTTCAGCTCAAAGGGGCGGCTGATATCGGCGGAGAACGCAAGTCGCAAAGAGTCGATTTGTGCCTGGATCTCTGGCATAGGCCAGGCGGATGAACATCGCTCAAGTATACGCATGTGCCGTGCAAAGTATTCACGAGCATCTGTATGAAAATTAGGGTCGGGTGATGTTATAGCAACCTAAGCGAAGGATTTAGTAACAGGGCCAAGAGTCCGAGAAGATCAAAAATACCAGGTGTAGCATCGTGCAGGTTAAGACGCAGTAGATCGAAAAGTTGATGCCCCTTTGCATGAAAAGCAGGCCAGATAATCCAAACCGTTCCAAGATAGCCTCCTGCAGTCGGCATAGATATTTTGCGGAAGAGTAGCATACTGCCATGTGGGACTTGCCATCTCCCCCCGTTGCAAATGATCTGGAGGCAAGTAACTGCGGCCGGTGCAGCAGGATTATCCCCAGATGACAATGAGAGTGCATATTCCCCACAAAGTGAGACGGTATCCAGGGAGGCGAACCATCCGCAGGATAATTGACTTGCAAATCCGGAGGAAGATTCTGCAACCAGTCTGCGAAAAGGGGGTTCTTCTCGACCAAAGTTGGATTAGCCCCCCAGTCCTTTTGACGCTTGATCTTGTGATATATGTCAGTTATTATGCGAATATGTTGGGCATTCTGGACGAAGTGAGCATAGTGCCGAGAGCGATCGACTTCGAATTGGTCTAGGCCCTTGATATTCAGGACCGGACGCAATTCTACTGTGTCGAGATCAACCCCATAGTCCGACCGGCCTGTCAGAGTTAGAACAGCAATATTGTGCAATGAGACATGCATGACCTACCTTGCGGTGCACCGATCATCACTTCAACAACCAAGAGAACTTGCCATACTCTTGTTTGTATCAAGCAATCCACTGCACTTAAAGCACAGAGAGCGTGGTCTTCATGCACACTGCAATGCTCATGAATATCCAGGTCTTTCGCCATGGAGATAATGGTCTTCACAGTTTGCCATGACCGGTAATAATAGCCTCTTTTCGGTAGTGACTCCCGCGCTTTCAGTAACAAGAGCAATGCTTGGATTGTACTCAAGCGAGGTACATCCATAAAGCTAGATTCATGCCCTACAAAGTGAGATTGTTAGCGACTTGAAAGGTTCGTATATATTTTGCACATTGAAGGAGCTGCCTCACTGTTCGCTAATGCAAGCCACTGTGCGCCTTGTGCCGGATCGTCTGACAACCGTCCCACGCAAGCAAACAGTGCCTCAAGAAGAAGAGGCGAGATGGACCCTCTGTCATGTTGCCATTGATGATACAAGTGAGACCGGTGTACAACGGGTACATAGGGATGTATATCATCGAAATAGGTTTTGAAATACGCCATGACCTCATCGTCCGATGGCATGAGCTCTGGGGGGATTCGAATTGTAGAGCCAGCTCTGGTATTGAGAGGGGGTAGCGCTTCATCCCCTTCATCTTGCAACGGCACCTCCGGCTCGGCCCTTTCTTGCCTTTGCTGCCTGATGTATGGCGCTATAAAATGATCAATAATCTGGCTCCACGTCTGGCCGAGGTTGTAATCATGATAGAACTCACCAATCCCCGTCTCGTCAATTTTCAGCTCCCCAAGAACTTCGCTTAGACCTTCGGCAGTTGACTGTTCATCCTCGCCAAATGAGGCCGTGTTGGGGATGAAGTCCTGCGCCTCGATCGTAGGAAACATGGCTTGATCCTGAAAAGGATGACTTGGCATGGGTAGTTGAGACGATTGCAGATCACAAATACCAGGATGGTCAGGATTAGGCTGACCAAAATGTTGAAGCATCCTCACCCCATCATTATAGGCTGTGATGTCCCTTAATGCTGTCTGGTTACCATCATTGAAATTTTGAGGAATTGGAAAGGAAGATAGCGAAGGTGCAGATGCACCAGTCATGCCCAAAGGGCTTACGCTGTCGGTATCAGTGCTTTGGCCTGCCTCGAAGTCATTGTTCTGGCCAATGCTAGGAGGCACGCATACGAGTTTCAAACGAGTACATGCAGAGCAGGGCCATGTGTTTGTAGTTGCCGCATCGCATTTGATCTTGCGTTTTCTACAGCCATTGCAGGCTCGCATCACTAGTGGCGTATTTTAGCAAAAGTCTAACAAAGCCTAACAGGACATGGCACGCAGGTGCTTACCCTTGAGCCTTTTGTGTCTGTTATGTTCATCCACGAATACATAATCTGAGTAAAATTCAAATAGGCCATTAGCTGTATACTCAAAGCCGTTTTCCCTCTTGAATCGTTCTCATGAGGGATATCTTACTTTTTTGACCTTCCCTTGGGAGACCGGTGGGAGGAGTAAAAGAGTAGCCCTGCATTCTGGCTTCCAAAGCAGGGGTGTTCGAACAAGGGACAATATTAAAGAGGATGTATGGCGCTATAAGACCCGTGGGTCAAGGTATATATCCCCAGGGCCTGCCTTGTTCGGGATATGTAAGAGGAAGGACGTTGCGCAAGATTACCCCTCCGTTTTCCAATCGTCAATGAGACAGATGTAGAGTTTTCGATATCGAAGCAGAAGAGGATATATCTCCCATGCGACGACGAGCTTGGTTGATGCCGAAGACTCCTGGCAGCGAAACAGGGCCAATGCCGGCGTCGCTAAAAAACCAAGGTATATATGCCGGACGGGTGGAGGGTTGAATAAGGCGAAAATGATAAACAATAGAGAGCCTCCACAGGAGGATATAGGCGCTGGACTGTGGCGAGAAGCGTTTAATCGTAATCCGTCATTCCGGCAATCTCTTCGGACCGAGTACACCAATTATTGGCCAGGATCGCAAGTATTGTAGGTCCAAATCGTCCAGGATATCGAATATAGAAAGCGGGGCTTGCGGAGCAGGAAGACAATATGTCTAGAACAGCAAAAAGTTAGTATAGATAGACTCCCTGGAGGGCTGCTGTCCTGTAGTCTTTGAAGGATTACGATTGAACACGGACATCTAGCCAGCAATACTGCGGAATGAATAGAGCCGAGGAAGATGCCCTACAAGCCGACCCCGGAGTTTCGAGAAAGACAAAGAGTGGGGAGGAAGTGAAATCGCAAGAGAACGAGATAGGAAAATATTGTCTTACTATTTGGAAATATTGTGGAAGGTGGGAAAGATATGACAATGGACAGACAACAACCTTATGAGGCCTGCATCGTGGTATAAAGGAATTGGTGGATCGAGAACGTTTGGCGTAAAGAAAAGCGAGATGAATATTGGTATTGTATCACAGAGCCCGAACCCCCCATTTGCATGAATCAATATCCCGATAGCATAGGATACAACACGTGGGTGGTGGGCTGCAGAAGAATATATGTTACGCGCCCGGGTTATGAGCGCATCCAGTTGATGAGGGGTGATGAGAGGGAGTTGGTAAGGGAGAAACCGGTATGTTGAACAATCAATGATTTCAATAAGTAAATTGTTCTTTATCCCTTATTTCTTTTTTACGAGAAAAAAAAAAGTAAAAGGAGAGACAAAGAAAAGAGGAAGAGGAGGAAGTGGGAGAAGGAAGAAGGGAAACAAGCTTAATGGAAGATACGAGGTGATTGACGGCATAGCGTTTGGGGATCAGAGGCCCACCGATTACAATGACGGATTTCGCATGTGGAAACGCAGGATCTCCATTTAGGCCCACGGGAGAGAACCGGCAACCCTATTATCAGTGTGTCTTAGCCCAGGATCGCCTGGTCCCTGGTCGTCTTGTCTTGTGTCTCCATCAATACGGTAGGAATAATACTCAGTGGGGGTATACGGTGTAAATGAGATACGGGAAATGCCGCCGAATATTAAGTCCATCAGCAGACCATCAGTCGCTTATCCATACCATGATGATGGCTGGGTGCGCGAGAGAGAGTTCGTTAATGTATTTAGATACTCGATACTACCTCATATTATTGGTAAAATATGTCACTTGCCTCCCTAACTTCTGGGGTTAAGCACACTGATCACTAACTAGTGACTATACACCTCGGATGTTGACCGAGTGTGAATCCAATTAACTTTCCAATAGAAGCCACAATTGAGACTAGAGAAAGTTGAACCAATTCTCAAAGATGGCCCACAAGAACGACAAGCAAATAGTTAACATCATAGTGCAGAGTATGATAGGTACCTATGTACAAACCATGTACAATACATATGTTGACCATTGTAGTTGTATAGGAAGATATCCCAAGCAATGCATGAAGTGCAGAGCACCCGCAGCACAGCACGGGGGTTATTCCCTCCGCATGGCACATTATTAAGTGGACGAACGGGTGGCCCCATTAATAATACATAACTTCGGAGTAATCATGTGGCGGTCGGCTAGGGTGGAGGAACATCATTGATCCATAGATTGGTGATAAGAGGTCTCTGCATATCCAAGACCCCCGCCACTATCATTCCGCGGCTTTCAATGTGATCTCACCATCCAAGTTTTGATCAACTCCCCGCATAATGACGACCGAAATCCAGAATTCCAACCCTACTATCCTGAGCGATGCCGACCTCCCTACACGGTTGCGTCCAACTGAAGCAGCTAAGTCTAGCGCTTATGGCAGTGGACTTTTCGCGTCAACGCTGAGCTTCCCTGGTGACTCGGTTGATCCGGCTAGCCAGTACTTGTCCGCGGAGTCGGAAAGTGAAGGCGATGATTTACTGGAAGAGCCAATCGACGAACAAGAAATCTATGGTACGTGGCTTGCAGCCACTTTCCGCAATGCAAGCAACCCAGAGAACATATACCTAACATACGCCTAGATCTCATCTCGACTATCTCCGACCCGGAACATCCGATCTCATTGGGAGCATTGGCAGTTGTGTCTCTGCCCGATATTTCAATCAAGCCGACTCTTTCCAATGTACCGGACTCTCCTCTTCGAACGGTCACGGTGCTTATCACACCAACAATCACGCACTGCAGTTTGGCTACGGTAATCGGCCTTGGTGTGCGTGTGCGCCTCGAACAATCTCTCCCGTCCCGGTTCCGGATGGATGTGCGAATCAAGGAAGGCACACACAGCACCGCCGATGAAGTCAACAAACAACTAGCCGATAAGGAGAGAGTCGCCGCTGCGTTAGAGAACGGAACTTTGATGGGTGTTATCGCGAAGATGCTGGAAACTTGCCAATAAGAATGAGATCTACTGAGAGAGATGTTGTTTCGAACTAGGTTCCAGACTACAGGAACCGGGTTTTGAATAACAAGGATTACTGGATTGGAGTCTAATGGTTGCAGCTAATATAAAAAACGCCGCCTTGTCATATTGTACCAGCGCGTCACGAATCCAAGACGCCACTTTCTCTAAGGCCCTTCCACAACTCCGGCTCGAGAAATTTGCTTACTGTGACATCCTCTGCCAAACCCTTTCGTCTCCGTGTTTTTAATACAAAGTCCCGCGCCGTCGCCACTGCCGGCGCCATCTCGAGGGGCTTTGTCTTCACTTCTCTGTCCAACGGGTCTCCCGGCACGACACTCCATTTGTCAAAGGCCAGGCTGACGGCAGCTTGGCCTTGGGTGTGGATTCGAAGATCCGTCTCAAAACCAAACGAATCGATGACTGGAATCAACCCACGCACCGAGTACAGTGGCGTTCCGGCGATCGGTCCATCGGACAGAACGTGGCCTCTTCTGCGTGAGAGAACCGTGTATACTGACGCGACTGCATCCGCAGGCCCTGTCATCGCACAAGAGTAGATTGGCTCCATCAAGCGAGGAGAAGCCATGAGGAACGAGGAGTAAACCGCTCGTCGAGTGGTTGGGATGATTTGGCCACCTCCTCGGTAGATGGCTTGGTCGGCGAGCGAAACGTCCGTAAGTCGGAATTTGGTGTTTCGGATAGCTATGTTTCATCAGCATAAGATAGTCAAATAGGCAGTTGTCCACGTCCATGTTCAAGACAAAGATGCAACGTAGCACTAGCACCATTGGGGAAGAAAAGATAACTTACGCTCCTCACAAAGGGGGCCTTCCCTAGTACCCCAGCTAAAGCCTTGCGTAATTGAATCTCTGACGGTGCCAAGGAGTTTCTTGTCAACCTGCGACGGCAGAGTATCATCTTGCAATATGTTCGGGCCCATCTCATCAGGGCCAAAGGCCCAGACGCTCCTCGCAGCGAGTTTGTCCCAGTCGTACTTCTCTTCGAAGAATTTCGCAACTTTGCGGATTGGGTCTTTGATGCTGACCCTTCCACTCTCGATATCCTCGGCAATGCCGTCGTCTAACGGTTCCGCAATCATGGTGACCTTGTTCTTCTTGTTCGGCGTGATCGAGTAGCACATAATGGCGGAGGTCTCGACGACAGTCTCGCAAAATCGAGTCACAGGGTCCGAGACCTTGATTTCCATTTCGGAGTAAAGCTTTCGTAGATCGTGCATGACGCAATCCATGTAGAGCTCGCCTGTTCCCAGGATGACATGCTCGCCGGATTCTTCGACCTTGGTGGAGATGAGCGGATAGCTCTTGTTGATTTTCCGCAGGCCGTCGAGCATTTTAGGCAGTTCTGACGGGTTGACGGGTTCAACGGCGACCTTAAACACAGACTCGGTCATTTGGCGGATCGGCTTGAAGATATGGGCATCCTCGTCGTTCTTTAACTTCAAGGGTACCAGCGTAGCAGTCTTCACTATGGAATTGTCCACCCCACCCAGGAGGACCATGTTTCCCGCGGGAACGCCATTAGTCGGGATGTTGTAGCATGTCTCGGCGATCCACGTATCGGCGATGGTCGCGGTCACCATGTCTTCTTCGTCTTCGGGAGTATAGCCTTCACCGAGCACTCGAACCTGCTGGCCAGGTCTAGCCGTTCCGCTCATTATCCGCCCAAACGCGTTAAACCCAGAGGCATCAACGGTAGAGAAGAGCTTGGTGATATGGACGATAAGTGGGCCATCGGAGTCGCATGCTTTCATTGCGGCCGCTACCTCGGTATCGAGAGGGCCGGTGTAGTATCGTTCCAACATCTTTTGAGACCCTTCGACCGGAGAGGGAATGTGCCCGACAATCATGTCAACAAATCCATTGGCTGGGCCAAAGAACTGTTCACAGACAAGGTTGAGTAAAACCTTCGCATCAGATTTCAGTTGTGAGGGTTTCAAGTTGATTCCGATATTGGCAAGGGTCTCTTTCAAGTCGTCCGGGCTTTCGCTTATCGTGTGGGAGTAGATTTTGTAGATGGGTTCGAGAACAAACTTGACAAAAGATCGCTGCGCGTTTTCTTCCACTCCTTTCCGCGTGAATTTGCGACTTTGAGGGTTGAAAAATATATCGCCCCACAGGCGCAAGGCGAAATCAGAAGCCGCAATCCCCGGATAGGAATCAGCGTACATCTTGGCAAATGACTGGAGTGAGAAGCACCAGCCCATGGAGGCGCAGGCGAAAGCAACGTTGCCCTTCTCCGGACTAAGTCGCCTTTTCTCGCCTTGTCCAGGCAGAACGTTTTCGATAACTGTATTGACCTCTTCAATGACGTGCTTCAACTTGAAATAAGCATCATTAGGAGGTATCTTCAGCTCCAGGATCAATCTATCCATTTTGTTGACCACCATCGTCAGAGGCAGATCCTCTAGCACAGCATGTTTGATTATCTGCTCGGTATTTGCCTGTACGCCTTCAACGACGTCAACCACTAGCACCACGCCGTCGGCCAACCTACACGAGGCAGCGACTTCATCCACAAAATCCACATGACCAGGTGTGTCGATGATGTTCACCAGATGAGATTTGCCCTTGGTCCCCTGAAGAACTAAACTCATAGGTGCCGACTTGATCGAGAGCCCACGCTCTTTTTCTAAGAAGTGGACATCGGTATAACGAAGCTGCTCTTCCTTTCGTCTTCCTGCCCTTTTGTTGAGGCGCTCGGATAAATCGTGTGTTTGCGTGACGAGCATGTCCATGAACGCGGTTTTTCCATGGTGCAAATGACCAACGAGTGCAATATTCCTGATCTGATCCGGAAAGCTGAGCAAATCCGTCATGAATTCTCGCGAGAAATGAACAGCTGGTAGTTCCGCTTCCTCAATGGCGAATTTTTTCTGTTGAACCGGGGCAATTATGGGTTCGGACAATGATTGTGTGTCTTCCTCTTGTACGATGGTTTCGACATCCGCCCCGTAAACCTGCTGCGCGCTTGGGTAATATTGTTTATCTTCGTGAAGGATAACGGCATTAGAAGGTCCCTCTGTAAGTGAAACTTGTCAGCAACTTCCAGGAGCAAAAAGAAATATAGATAGTATCATGGCGTACCGTCCACCTCCATAAGCTGCTGGTCGTTTACACCTTGGTCTTCATCCTCTCCAAAGGCCTCGTCGAAATCGAAACCCTGTGCTTTGACCTCCTCATTCTGCGATTCCTCGTCCGTATCTACCGCTTCGCCGATGTAGTTTCCGAACCTAAATAGCCAGTCAGTCGCAGCGCACCGGGTAAAGATTCAAATGCTCGGTGTCGTACTCGTCATAAAGGTCATCCATGATGTTGCGCCCAATGCTCCTAATATCATTACCAGATGCGAAAGAGGTGGTGTAGAAATGGGTTTATTTCCTTGCGACCTCGCCTGGTTTTTTTTTGGTCTTTTGGCAGGTCGGTAGCAAGAGAGCTTCGGGCTGAACCAGGATCACGGCGGAAGTATTGAATTTAGGTCGAGTTACCCAGGTTGGTTAGCGCCAGAATTCTAAGGTCTCGAGCTTTGGATGCCTTAATTTTGGCCCCGCCGGGAGAGGGGCGCTGCCATTTTGTCTCACCGTTTGGAGGCAAGTCAGCCACCCCCTCAGGAAGCGCTTGGGTCAGACAAATTTGAACCAGATTTCAACAATAGACCATTGCATTCAAAGTCAATATCTGGCATACTTTTGAACTCTACAACATCTAACCCACCTGCCTACAAAAGTCAATTTATCTAAATCCTTATCTCGCCCGCCATGTCTTCGCTCCCGCCTGTCTACATTGTATCAACCGCCCGGACTCCCGTGGGTTCCTTTTTGGGGTCAGATCCCATGAGTATCTTGAATCCAGTTCGAGCGACTGACCCTTTCCTACAGTGCTCTCGCCAGCCAAACCGCGCCGCAACTCGGCTCCCATGCCATTAAAGGTGCGACAGCTCCCTAATACCTATAGAATTCCGCATATTAATGCTCATACAGCCGCACTGAACAAGGCCGAGGGGCTCAAGTCCTCGGACGTTCAGGAGGTATTCTTTGGTAATGTTATTTCGGCCAAGTGAGTCCCAATGCTCCTTTTCCAGGAATTGAAGATGCGATTGAAACACATGTACTCACCCATGATATCTTTGGATTAGTGTCGGACAGAACCCTGCTCGGCAGTGCGCCCTCGGTGCCGGGCTCGAGGATTCGACTGTTTGCACCACGGTCAACAAGGTTTGCGCCTCTGGGTTGAAAGCGATCATCCTCGGTGCGCAGACTATTATGACTGGTAACGCCGACGTCGTTGTGGCCGGTGGTGCCGAGTCCATGTCGAACGCCCCTCATTACCTTCCCAGCCTTCGCAGCGGTGCCAAGTATGGCAACCAGACGGTCGTGGATGGTATCATGAAAGATGGCTTGACGGATGCGGGCAAGCAGGAGCTCATGGGCCTGCAGGCCGAAGAGTGTGCTCAGGACCATGGCTTCACCAGAGAAGATCAAGATAACTACGCGATCCGCACGTACGAGAAGGCCCAGGCTGCGCAAAAGGCCGGAGTTTTCGATGACGAGATCGCGCCCGTCGAGCTTCCTGGTTTCAGGGGCAAGCCGGGAGTCACTGTGTCTCAGGATGAGGAACCTAAGAACGTGAGGACAGGTCCACGTGCCGCGAGTCTAAGGTGGCATTTCCTTAGAGATGAGCATCGCTAACACTTCTTTCAGTTGAACCCTGATAAGCTTCGCGGTATCAAGCCTGCCTTCATCCCTGGAACTGGCACCGTGACTGCCCCCAACTCTTCGCCTCTCAATGACGGCGCTGCTGCTGTCGTTCTGGTCTCGGAGGCGAAGCTCAAGGAGCTCGGATTAAAACCCATTGCTAAGATCCTTGGCTGGGGAGACGCTGCGCAACAACCCAGCAAATTCACCACCGCCCCCGCATTGGCCATCCCTAAGGCCCTCAAGCACGCTGGCCTGTCTCAGGGTGACGTCGATGCCTTCGAAATCAACGAGGCCTTCAGTGTCGTTGCACTCGCCAACATGAAGGTCCTTGGAATCTCCGAAGACAAGGTTAACGTCCATGGCGGCGCGGTCGCTATTGGCCACCCTATCGGTGCCAGTGGTGCTCGAATTGTGGCCACCTTGCTTGGTGTGTTGAAGGCCAAGAATGGAAAGATCGGTTGTGTTGGCATTTGCAACGGTGGTGGTGGTGCCAGTGCTATGGTTGTCCAGTCTCTTGCTTAAAGAGAACACAATCAGGCCCCGATTTTCATCCCTTTCCTCGATCCTCTATTCTGCTAGGGGTGGGGCAAAGATGGAATGCAACGTTACATATTCCCGCTTGATATCATAACATACAACACGATGATAACCCCTCATTCAGCCCGAGCTGGTTGAGAAGCGTTCCTATTACATAGTATAGCGAATATCTGTCTATATTGCTCACTGGCAGGGAGAGTAAAGGAACTCCAATTATAGCCTAATGAATGATCTCTATCGACTGGTTGTTTCATAATCTAGCTTTCTAATAACTTACGATTTACTACGCCCTATCCACAACCGGGCTCGAGCAATGAGAATCCGAATAGCTCAAACGTGAAATCGAGGCTGAAAATGAAAGCTATGAGGCTGTGTACCGCTGCATGTCTACCTGTAGCTCCCTACCACAAGTCACTAATTTAGTGCCTCATCACATGTTTTTTCACCTTCACATAGCCTTTCATCTGTGTCCCAGTCCCTAGCTGGTTCTTCTTCGCCGCCTCCTAGCTCACCGAGAGGGTTGATATCGCCATTTCCTAGTAGCAATACACACACCACTCTGCAATCCAACGAGAACGAAGCCTACTTACCAATATGGGCCCATGTAATGTGGCAGGTTGAAGTGCCTGCGCCCTTCTGAACCCAGCATCTTTGGCTTAGATGGCACTTGGCTAAACGGTGAGAAGTGCCTGCATCCAATGCTTCTGCACCTTAACCTTCGTGAGTCCCTACGCCTCTTATGAACCAAGGCCGGCAGCTAATTCTTGCATTTACACATGTAGCCACATGATGTGTCGCACTGAATATAGGACTACCTATGAAAACTAAAAGATATCACGATATCTTTTGTAGCCGAGTGCCAATCCCTTTAACATGACGTTATTGCGTCGGCTTTCCCTCAATCCAGAATTGTCCAACCTTTAGGTAAATAGTTCATTCTTCGAATCTATGATAGCATTTTTAGTGCTGATTCCTTCAGAGATACTCCCTAATATATTCAGCGAGAGAAACCAGTGGATGAGCCTATCGCCCGAGTCAATCAATTACATCGTTCGAGTGAACGGTACATCGGCGTCAAGAAAATCTGTCTAATGAGCCTCATGGCTAATACATTACTTTGAGGATATGGTCAAGCGACGCCTATCCACTCCCTTACAGGATGGGATCCTACGGAAATCTATAAGAGTGGCTGGACCACGCATTTTGATCAGGAACTCAGCGTGAACGGCCGCAGCTAGATCACCTATCCAGCTTATTTAATCCTGGACAAAGCGCAGCAGTCATACTAGGATCATGAACTCTGGATAGACTTCTTCAAACGTATCGAGCCTGATACTAGCCCGTTCATAATTTTATGTCATACGGCTCACCACATAGGGGCAAGGTGTTATATGTCATAAGCGTTTCTATCCTAGTGTCTGAGATGTGGTAAAACTTGCAGTAACTCTTGGGTATATTCTGAATATGCTCTTGTATTATATAACGACCACAAATACCGGATGACGCGGCTTTTTATGCAAAGGCACCAACGAGCGCCATTAGCACGGCACCGCTGAATACCGCTATACAGGCATCAACGCGCCGTCGGCCCCTGAGATCCGTGTAACTTGACTGACTTAAGAAGTCTTCGGCGAGAAGCTCCACCAGCCCGGCAAACAATAACAGACCACTGCTGATTGCGTTGGTTATACCCACCATGAGCAATCCAGTAGTGCTGCCTGGGTCATAAAGGTTGTGCAGGATAAGCCCAATGGCTTGGCCGATAGGGGTGGTAGTTCCATACGCAAGCGCCATCAGCCATGGCTTCATCGAGGACGGAGCAAAAAGGTCTGGGATCAGAGACGCAATGCGCGACCCAAGGGCGAACCCTTCGAAGGTTTGGTGGAAAGATATGGCCACAAGAAGGACGACAAATGAGGTCCCTGTCGCAACGCTGACAGCCATCCCAATAAAGATGCTGTGAAAGAGTATACCGGCTTCAAGGAGGAGGCACTGAAGAAGCTGGCGTTGAGGATTCTGCACTGACAGCGCCGGATTCGGTCCTTGATGTGAACCGCTTACACGAGGCTGTCGATCGCGAGATCGTAGATTAGAGTTACGAGGCCCTTCAGTCTGAGGCAGCCCGTACGAGTCCGAGTCTTCGGTGTTCGTATCTTCAACTTCTTTCGGGGACAACACTTCTGAATGGGTGTCAATGAACCCGTCCCCTGAAAGCCTTGAGGCAGAATTCCGAGTAAGGCTGTCTGTCTCACTCAGCCCCTCCAGGCGAATATTCTCTGATTCTTGACCATCGGGGCTCAATTGGTCGGCTTCTTCATCGCGGTAGTAGCGCGGAGTCGCACCATCGGCATCTGCAAGCAACTTGTCGTACTCGCTTCCATGAACATGACCTGCTCCTTTCATGGCGAAGAACATCTCCACGAGAACCACAAGGAAGACCGAGATCATGGCAACAAATCCAGCCATGGCACGATAGGTCTCGCTCCAGAACCGAGGAAGGCAGGGATCTGTCAAAGAAAGGAATGCGGTAGGGAGCAAATGAACAAAGGCCGTGGCAATCAGGACTCCTGTACCGAAATGCCTGGAAAGGAAGAGGAAGCGACGTGGTATGGGTAAGCGGGGGAATCGACGGGCAACGATGGGGAACGAGCATGCTGGAAGGACAAAGGTGGTCAGCTTTCGGACAACCATACAGGTCATAGAGGGCTTACCTGATGTGCTTAGAACGAGGATAAGAAACAATGCCATGACGTGTATAGAGGTGTTATATGCACCCCGCTCTCTGGGGCCACATGCTGCTTTATCGCTGTTATCATCGCCTCGAGCTTGGAGTCTTCGAGAAAGCTCGGCTCGTAAGACGGCATCGGATACATTCGCGATCGATGTAATAGCATCCTTCGGGTCTGGCGCATCGCGTTAGTTAGCTCAATTAGGACCATAATTTTTGACAAGCTGAGAGAAAGTTGTCCCAGCTATTTGTCAACGCCAATATCCCTCGACGAAGACTTCGGAGGGGGGTCCCTTAGTACTCACGAGGTAGGCCCTGGTGCTCTTGCTGTCCTCCCATGAACTCCATCATGTTTGCTTAGTTCTGGATTGATCCTCCAGTCCAAGTACATCCATTACTAAAAGCGGCACAAATAGTTCACGCTTTAGCAATATTTGCTGCCTTGATCGATTAACTTCTTCCTGAGCAGAGTTGAATGGAAGATAACAGGTTTCATTAAATGAAGGACGGAGAATCCGGATGCACGGAGGTTGATATTCACAAAGATCTAAACCAATCCATCGTTAGATCAATCGATATCGGTTCATAAGAACAAGAAGGCGTGGCCCCCAGGCAAAGACAGCGTGTGTTGCAGGCAAGGGACGCGCGCTTTTGTAGATTGCATGGCCAAGCTGGGGGGCTCCCACTGCTTACTAAAAAAACAATGATGGCGCCCCATTCCTCCCCTTCCTCCCTTCTGATGCCCCTCATGGTCTCCCCCGAAGAGAACCAAACATGAAGAGAGAATGCTGTCCAAGGTTCATGGATACTAAACAGTCTTTCCCTTTCTTTTTCCTGTTTTGTATCACTATAACTTGGTTTGTCTTTAACAGAATAGGAAGAAGGCAGGTGTTATTGATCATTGATCACTGTTATCGTCACCATCTCTTATCTCTTATCGTTTCCTCCCTCGGAAACCATATCAGTTACGTGGTTGTTAGAGCTGGATAGTTATACGTAGAAAGTTCATGATCTATTCTTCAACCTCGTCCAACCGCTGGTTCCCTTCGACCGATTGGAGCTCTCCACTCTAGTCGAAGTAGTTAGGTAGGCACCATTATACCTAGGCGGGTCTTCCGCGGCCATGGACCCAGTCGATAGACCATCCCTGGCAAGCCTATGCCCCTGCTCTGCATTGGGAGTGGGATCAGTTGAATCGTGCAACGTGTCGTCCCATTCCTTCTTCTCCAATACCTCCCACTCTGCATTTGTCATTTCCCCAAGCAAACTTGCTTTGATTTTGTCCATGACTGCTGTGGGAGTTGAAAGTTTCCAAGTTCGCATGAACTCCATCCCTTCTGATGCGCCCAGAAAAGAATGTACTGTGCCATGGGAATAGTGCCCAAGCACTGGGAACGACTTCGTCCTTTGGATCGTGGTCTTTGGGGCGTCTTTTGTAGCCTTTAACGATGATTGTATGTCAGGGCCGGTGGTTGCTCTAGTTAGTGCTGCCGTTTGCACAGACGGGGCAAGAAAGAGCTGCCATAGGTTTTTCCCAATATCGCAAACTTCTTCCCATGAATCCGAGGCTAGGTTAAGACCTTGCGTTCGGCATAACCAAGACAAATCCCAAGCTAACCAAGTCACCCCTTCCAGGAATAAAGAATAGGTTTTAAAATCTTCCACAGCTAACTTCGGGAGACTTTTATCCACAGAAAGAGGCCGAGACTGGGGTAAGCGGGACTGCGATTTGTCCGCTCCTGTTGTTGAACTCGAATGTGACGAGGTTGGAAAGGGCATCGAATTGGGTTTCTGTGAAAGATATGACCCAGAGGGTGCATATATGGTAGTTGACGGTTGATTTCTATGGGGGAGCACTATTTCAGCGGGGAGTTTTAGAGATAGATAATGAGAAGTGAGGACAAGCAGGCGGGCGATGTAAGACATTGATGTTGATATCTGAACTGGACAGGCCCCTGTTGATCTATTAGTAACTGTAAGTGCAAGTCAAAATCTAGAGTCACAACTTTCCATTCAGATCCCGGAGGTCGAATATGGGCACACCGCTAATCGTGTAAGTTGATTTAAGCTTGCCGCCTTTCTCACGAGCGCTGTGGTGTAATCCATAGAGGGAAGCAATCTCCCTGCAGAGGAATATCCGGGCTTCGGCTGTTCTACTGTGTAAGGTGTGCCACAGATGGTCCGTCCTCTTTGTGTTATTCTGAAGACCAACCAAAGTCGAAGTTTCTCTTCCGGCGAGCTGATACCTTGCAGACCCCGCGTCGGACTTTCGACGGTCCAGCTCAGACTTTCGACGAGACAGGTCGGACTTCCTCTGTTCTATGTCGGCCTCTAGGCGCTCGATCTGAGTGGCAACGGTTTGTCTCCGGGTGCAAGATTTGGCTTCCTCGGTAGCAATATTTTGTACTGCCCGGAAAGTCGAGCCCCCTTCTTCAGGTACTTCCTTCGCCCGTTCGACGTTGGTGGCATATTCTTTCCGAGTATCCCCAGGTGCTAGTCTATCTTCGATCTGTTGTCCAAAAGACTCTCTCTCGAGGCGGATTCTGGCATTTTCGAGCCGTAGCTGGTACAGCTGACTGCGAGCGCAGGTAGGGCAAAAGAAAGTTTGGCGCGATACTGGAGGATGAGAACATATGTGGCAGCTCATTTCAAGATATCTTTTCCAAATAACCTCTATGACTAGCAGTTCACAGTTCCATGACCCAGTTGTTGATGGGAAGGACTGCCTGCTTGCCTGTTAATCAACAAATCTGTTGATTGAGAAGATATCACAAGAAAGATACACAAAGCGATATCTTCACTTTGTGTTTTTTTTATAGGGGGTTTTTTATCTTGCGATCATTTCAACACAGGGTGAAATATCCAACTGAACGATAGGTAGTGTACTGATGTACTGTAAGTAGCTTGATTGAATCAAGCAAGTGGTTGTTATCTAATACAGTACTCCGCACATGAAAGAGGTCTAGAGCATTACTCATGATCTCCGGCTCCGGCCCAGGGCTCACCTACAGGCCCGGAATAACTTAATGCCAGTCCAGTACGTTATCATGCATGACGTAGCTTGGGAACAAAAAGTTAAACAATATGTTCTATGGTAATCATAACAATAGCTCTGATGGTAATAATAGATGAAAGATCATATCATAAAATTTAGAGTAGTGAAAAGTATTATGATTGACATATCCTGGAATAGAAACAGCGGGCTGTTGGAGATACTGTAGGATCAGGTGATTTAGCCAATGATCAGATACGAATATAGAGCAGTTCCTGGATTACATATGAGAACCAACGCCAATGTAGTTAGGCTATGGGTCCTCTACTGGTTACCTTGAGAAAATGGTTGATAAGATAGTTGGCGTGGTAATCGTGGTAATCTAACTACCTAGTCAATTACAGCTTTTACAGCTACAATACCTGACTCTCATGATCCAGTATTTCAGGATCTCAGAGGTCTGGTAGTTATATAGGAGGTGGAATGTAGATCATTCAATCGAGCACATACTCAGTTAGTGTTGGGTCTAGTATAAATAAGATGTTTGTTTACGACGTACCTAGTTAGTAACTACCTCCTAGCTATGCCCGAGAGACCAAGAGCTTGTTGTCATTGAAATCTGAACGTCGGTCGGTAACTACACTGAACATCCTTCAAATTTGTCCAGGCTCGTGGACTGGTTACCCGTCTTGCTCTCCCATATATTCCTTGGTAGTCTAAGTCAACGTTGCCCACATCCTTCTCTCCATGCCACCATCCACCTGAGATATCTACACAATGCACAACACGGCAGAATCTAGTACTTTCCCGGAAGAGAACTCTTTTGAGGACCTTAAGAATTATGACTGGGAACAGCTCCAGGAACGGTATCTGGATCTAATGGAGAAACATGGAGACACCGAGGAACAATTACAGGCTCAAATCTCGGACTTGCTAGAGGTATACCGGCCGGCACCTGATTCAGTGCTATTTCTCTAATCATGATTGACCAGATATTTGCCGCTTGGTCTCGCGTTACTGTTGTTCGCGATGAGACTCGGGCATTCAAAAGGTTTGTGTTTTGCCCAACACTTGAGAAATGCGCGGTGTATTCACGGTAGCAGATTCAAAACACAAATAGAGCATGTGCAAAATTCTGAAGACACACTAGAGCAGAAAAGAAAACACTGTAGGATACCGCCATCAATTTTGGTTTCGGAATACTTTTAACACCTCTGCGCAGATGTTGCTGTCGTGAAGGCATTCGAGAGCGCTCTTGCGCTGCTTAATGGTCGCCTTAAACACTAAGTATTGATTTCCCAGCGGCCAAAGCCTGGCAACGAAAGCGTCTTTTGTTCTTACCTCTGTTCTTTTTTAATGTACTGTATATTACCAATTGCGGAACCAGTGGACAGCTAATATAATTTACAACCTTATCTGAAGATATCCGCCATTATCGAATGTCGTGATGCCATTAATTATCATCAAATGATTTCAAGACAGTTTAAGCCTAGGCTATGATTGAAAGAAGGTACACAATCCTTCACCCCTCTGCTCTGCCAAATTCACTATCTCTGCCGATAGGGGTAGTACTGCCATACAAGCGACTATCCGTTTGTCTCCCGGTACTTGCTAATAGTCTTTCTTCCTCAGCCTCTTCGGCGTCATCGAGTTGTTGCTCATTAGGCTTTGGCGTGCGCACCATAGCGACGATGCTCGCAATAAGATAGATACCTGGTTGATGAACCATATGTTAGCGGTGAATGTGATGATAAAGGGATCTAGAAACAACCTAGGAAGACAAATTGGGACGCGAAGAAAATTGCCCCAAAAAAGGGGAAATTAATCGTCACACGGTTTAAGAAAGTGCTCGTGACACTTGGAATGCAAATGCGGCGCGCAGCCAAATTCGAGGTCATCTCCGAGCAAGGCTTGACGAGTTGCCTAGTATTAGAACAGTTAAGCTGCTCTCCCAACGATCCATCGGTAACGCGATCACAGAACGTCTGTCGGCCAAAAGTCGCATATTGGGGTGCTATGACCATGGGTATCGAGTAGTTCAGTGCAAAAACACTCAACATTAACATGGCTGTTGTTAATAGCAGAGCTTGCGGCGAGGTATGACCTGGTCGGACTTGGAATATTCTCAGGAAAAAAAGTCGAACACCAATAGTGGTAATGCCGACGATGGTGCCGCAGAAGAACACCAGAACAATTGCAGTGAAGATAACATAGTCTGCTGGACTAGCTTTGGCCGACTGGATAAGAGCCCAGTTAACAGGGTTGAATATATTGATGCTTCCGAGAATGTATCCACATCGGTGCTTGCAAAGAGAATTCCGGGCTTTATCTATCATGGTCAAAAGCATGGATATGCATGTGACAAGTGTTGCCATGAATATAACAATACCGATTAGGATCTTGAATGGTCGAAAAGCCGATTCAATCTTCAGGCGAAGTTTCGTTGGCCAGCCTTGATTATCCGCGGCAAGCTCGCCTGCTAGACGTTGTCGCCGAATGAGAGTCCTCTCGTCCCTGACCAGAGAGTCTAACTCTCTGCGGTCTTTTGAGGATAATATTTCTGGGTTTCCACCACAGCGAGTTTCTAATTGACGTTGTCGTTCTCGGTTTATTTCAAGTTGGACCTCTGTTGTTCTTGTTTCCAAATCTCCGCCAGAAGTATGACGTGGGCCTTTAATGAGCCTGATGGGTAGTATAGCGAGGCCAGTTGAAGTATACAACACATATAAAGCCATGCCTATAGTTATCAGCAGACCAAGCGTGAATGTGAGGGCGCGCTCTCCACCTGCAAGATCATTAGCACTGACTTGGTCAGAAGTGGATAACATCGAGCTCACGATTTTCAGAGAGTAGTTTCTTGAAAAAATCAAGGCCGCTACCGTCATTTTCTCCCTTTGGAGCTGGGATAAGAAACCCAACAGCGAATAGAAGAATTGTTATGACAATGAACGAAAGAGTGTATTTCAATGTAGCCCAGAAGCGACGGCATAGAGTCTGCTCTCCTGCTTCAGCGGCAACTTCGTCATATTCTTCATACCAGAAATAGGTAAAGGGTATCACGACGAGACACAGTAGCGCGTCAAGTGTATAAAGAAGGTAATAGGCCGTAGATAATGAGAACAAAATTTTATCAACTTCATCTTGAGTAGCCCACTCCTTGCGCTGACCTAATGCCGAAATATTTGTAGATGATATCAGGGCGATATCTACCGGGAGCAGTAGAACGGTTGCGAGGAGTGTGGTAATAGAAGCAATGCATGTTATTGTCACCGATGGTACGCGGTCTTCGGGCTTTTGAAAGAGATATACAAAGATTGAGGCGACTGTAATGAGCACGAGGATCACAATCGCATACGCAGCCCAAATCAGGGACGCTGGAAGAAGGGCCATGGCGTTGTGAAGCTAGTTGCTGCTGAAAGTGCAGTTTCCCTGTGTAATGTGCTTCAACTAGCAGTTACTATCGCAGTTAGTGATATGCATGAGACCCAGAAGAGGACATACAAGGGTTCATTGTAAATATGATTCTGGGGTTCGAGTTGGCTATAAAGTCGTCGTTGAACTGTCTACTTAGTCCTTACATCATCGGTCGGACCTCCGTTATCAGTCACGTGAATATTGCTGATCGGACTATCGGGCTTGATTCCTGCACCCTCTTTTGAGCCTGCTTTTCGGTTTTATTTACTTTTCTCTTCCTTAATTATTTGATTCACCCAGCGCTAGCGGTAGAATATCCAGCGCTTAAACAAGGACGACAGGCAGAAATTCATGATCTATAGGGATGGATAAGATTGCTGCCCTCGATTCACACTAACAGCCAAATGCAGTGTTATACCGAGCTATTGCCCCCGACTGGGGTCACTCATGCATTGAAACTCCCCTTTCTCTCTGCAGACGCCAATAATCTGGCCATCGCTAGGACATCGGTTCTTCAGATTTTCACTTTGAAGAATATTCCTTCTCAGTCTGACATCGACAGCGAACGATCGTCTCAACCAGGCCAGGAGATAACCAAACTTGTGCTGGAGAAAGAATATCATGTTCCCGGAACGATAACAGGTCTTTCTCGGGTGAAGGTACTGGATACAAAGAGTGGTGGAGAAGCAATTCTGCTTTCATTCAGGAATGCAAAGCTGAGTTTGATCGAATGGGACCCAGAGCGGTATGGGATATCAACTATCTCTGTTCATTATTATGAGCGAGATGATTTGACCCGGAGCCCATGGGCCCCTGATTTGAATGACTGTGGAAGCATTCTTAGTGTGGATCCAGGCAGTAGGTGTGCGATATTCAATTTTGGAATCCACAACCTTGCTATAATCCCGTTCCATCAGCCGGGCGATGATTTGGTGATGGATGATTACGACACGGACGAGGACAACAAGGAACAAGCCAACAGAGAGGGACATCACTTGGAGACACCTAAAACCAACTTGTCCCACCAAACACCATATGGACCTTCCTTTGTTCTCCCCCTAACGGCTTTGGATCCGTCGATAGTTCACCCAATAAGTCTTGTCTTCCTATATGAGTATAGAGAGCCAACTTTCGGTATCCTTTACTCCCAGGCCGCAACATCGAATGCGCTTCTGCATGAAAGAAAAGATGTCGTTTTCTATGCCGTGTTTCAGTTGGATTTGGAACAACGGGCCTCAACAATGTTGCTCTCGGTATCAAGGTTACCCAGTGATCTGTTTAAAGTGGTGGCCCTTCCCCCCCCTGTTGGGGGTGCTCTACTCATTGGATCCAACGAACTTGTACACGTTGACCAGGCTGGGAAAACAAACGCCGTTGGTGTTAATGAGTTTTCCCGGCAAGTTTCGACATTTTCCATGGCAGACCAGTCGGATCTAGCTCTCCGGCTCGAAGGCTGTGCCATTGAGCGTCTTGGTGACCGCAATGGCGATCTGCTCCTAGTCCTTTCCTCGGGCAATTTAGTCCTTGTCACCTTCAGGCTTGATGGCAGGTCGGTGTCTGGTATCTCCGTCTCCCTTGTTCCTCCACATACCGGCGGCAATATCATGAAATCGGCCGCGTCATGCTCTACTTTTATTAGCGATGGGCGAGTTTTCTTTGGCAGCGAAGATGCAGAATCGGTGCTTTTGGGTTGGTCGCGCTCTGTCCCGAATGTAAAGAAACTACGGTCACAGGTAAAGCACACCGCCGGAGAGACCGATGGCTTGTCAGAAGAGGAGCAGAGTGAAAATGAATATGAAGACGATCTATACTCCACAGTTCCTGAAGTGGACAGCCGTCGGTTGTCAACGGAAACAGCAGCTTCTGGGGCGTACCAGTTCCGAAAACACGACAGGCTTTTCAATATTGGGCCTTTGAGAGACTTCACACTTGGCAAGACGCAGAAAAATACTAATAGCAAAGAACACTCTGTCAAAAGCGTCTCAGCCGAGCTAGACCTAGTAGCTGCCCAAGGTACTGGCGAAAGTGGCGGGCTGGTAGTGATGAATCGCGAAGTTGATCCTCTCATCATCTCCTCCATGACAATAGAATCAGCCAACCGGGTTTGGGCAGCACGCGTAGCTCACAAGATGGCGGCGGTGCCCAATAACCTTGCGGGTCAAAATGAGAAACAAGATTGGCAGCATTTCGTTATAATATCGAAACCCAAAACCAGTGAAAAAGAAATATCAGAAGTCTTCCAAGTGGAGGGCCAGACATTGAAACCCTTCAAAGCTCCCGAGTTCAATCCGAATGAGGATATCACTATCGACATTGGAACATTGGAAAGCAAGAATCGTGTCGTCCAGGTTCTAAAGAACGAGGTCCGAAGCTATGAGATCGGTAAGCATTAGTCCAACATGATCGTTGAATGAGAAGGACAGCTAATTTAGTAGATATGGGACTGGCTCAGATCTATCCTGTCTGGGATGAGGACACAAGCGATGAACGTGTGGCTGTTAGCGCTAGTTTCGTGGATCCGTATATAGCTATCCTTCGAGACGATGCTACCTTACTGCTCCTCCAAGCAGATGATAGTGGCGATCTCGATGAAGCTGTATTGAATAGTGATATCACAGGATTACAATGGTTGTCTTGCTGTTTATACTGTGACAAAACTGGACTTTTTTCATCTGATAACCGGGATTCCGAAAGCACAGCGACAGTTGACATGCTACTCTTTCTGCTGAGTGCGGATTGCCGATTATTCGTAAGTTGCCGCAGTACTCATCAAACTAGTATGAAAGCTGTCATCTCTGACAATGATTGGCTTTCAGATCTATAGACTGTCTGATCAGAAATTGATCTCAGTAATTGAGGGCCTCGATTGCTTCTCACCTATCCTTTCGGATGAACCACCAAAGCGATCGACCGCACGAGAAGTGCTAGTGGAGGCCGTTGTTGCGGACCTTGGTGATGCCTGGGACTCTTCCCCTTATCTGATTGTACAATCCATGGCCCAAGTTCCCTCGCTTTACATCGTTTGATAATTTGAGTACTAACGCTGTCTGCAATAGCTTCGTACTGAAAACGATGATCTCGCTGTATACCGGCCATTTGTCACCTCAGTTGAGCCGGGGAACAACGCTACCAAGCTGAACTTCAAAAGAGAACCAAACATTATCCTACCCAAGATGCTCTCCAATCCCGACGCAAACAGGTCAAATACCGAGTCGCGGAAAACCCAGTCACTCCGAGTCTTGACCACGTTATCAGGCCTTATGACCGTGTTCATGCCTGGACATACAGCTGGTTTTGTTTGTAAAACTGCAGCAAGCGCACCGCACTTCCTACGCTTGAGGGGTGAATACACTGAGAGCCTGAGCAGCATTGATACCCCAATGTGTGAAAGGGGCTTCGTGTATTTGGATTCGGAGGTAATTCTAAATACTCACAGTTCGGACGTTCAACGCTGACAGGATGAACAGAACGTTGTACGCATGTGTCAGCTGCCCGAAGAAACGCAGTTTGATTATCCATGGACATTGCGGAGAGTACCCGTGGGAGACCAGATTGACCACTTGGCTTACTCCTCGGCATCCAACACATACGTCCTTGGGACTAGCCAAGCAACTAGCTTTCACTTGCCGGAGGATGATGAGTTGCACCCTGAGTGGCGCAGTGAAGGTTGGTTCTACGCCGAAGCGTGAAATATGTGTGCTAACGACTGCGGTAGGAGTTACTTTTCTTCCCCAAGTTCCTCAAAGTTGGCTCAAAATCATAAGTCCTAAAACGTGGACGATAATTGACAGGTACGGACTACAGAGCATCGTGGCCAATTAGGATATACTGACTGATTGTTTCTCTCCGGTAGTTACGAACTGGGCTCTTCTGAGCACATCACAGCGGTAAAAAGCATGAGCCTCGAAGTTTCCGAAAACACCCATGAGCGTAGAGAGATGATCGTCGTGGGGACAGCACTCGTCCGAGGCGAAGACGTACCTTCCCGCGGCTGTGTATATGTCTTTGAAGTCATCCAGGTGGTGCCGGATCCCGAAGCCCCGGAGACGGACCGCAAGTTGAAGCTCATAGGAAAAGAAGTCGTGAAGGGAGCCGTGACTTCTCTGTCCGAGATTGGCGGGCAAGGGTTCCTGATGGTTGCCCAGGGTCAAAAGTGCATGGTCCGCGGTCTGAAGGAAGATGGGAGCCTTCTCCCTGTTGCCTTCATGGACATGCAATGCTATGTCAACGTGGCAAAGGAACTCAAAGGAACCGGAATGTGCATCCTAGGAGATGCCGTGCGAGGACTCTGGTTTGCAGGCTATTCCGTACGTTCCCTTACGACGACGAGCGTTTATCTCCATCTCGACTTGAGCTAACAACATTTCCAGGAGGAGCCTTACAAGATGAGTCTGTTCGCAAAGGATCTCGACTATCTGGATGTATTAGCCGCAGACTTCCTCCCAGACGGCGACAAGTTGTACATCGTCGTCGCCGACAGCGACTGCAATCTCCACATCCTCCAATACGACCCAGAGGGTAAGCAAGTCCCCAAACCCAACCGACAAACCTTATCTCCCACAAACCCCACTAACCAAATCCCAGACCCCAAATCCTCCAACGGCGACCGCCTCCTCAACCGCAGCAAATTCCACACCGGCTCCTTCGCCTCAACCGTAACCCTCCTCCCCCGCACAGCAGTCTCCTCAGAACGCATCACACCAGACACCTCCGACACTTCCTCCTCAATGGACCTCGACATCCGCATCCCGCAATACCAAGTCCTCACGACATCGCAGAACGGATCCATCGGACTCATCACCAGCGTCTCGGAAGAGCCCTACCGCCGCCTCTCAGCGCTGCAGTCCCAGCTCACTAACATCCTGGAACACCCGTGCGGGCTCAACCCGCGGGCGTACCGGGCTGTCGAGAGCGACGGCAGCACCGGACGGGGCATGCTGGATGGGAATCTGCTGGCGCAGTGGCTTGGGCTCAGCAAGCAGCGGAAGACGGAGATTGCTGGTCGGGTGGGCGCGCAGGAGTGGGAGATTAGGGCTGATCTTGAAGCTGTTGGTGGGGACGGGCTTGGGTATTTGTAGTCAATGGTACTTGAATATATTTATTCCATTTCATTCATTTCACTTCGTTCACTTATAAATGTGGGGGAATGCCCTCTTGAAACTTGTTGATGAGAGCTAAAGCACAACTAGAACCATTCAATTCAAATCGCTCAGAAGAAAGTATAAATTTTATGGACTAGATACGATGAATAGAAAAAATTAATTATAATAACAGCGAATATATCATCAAGAAAAGTAAAAAAAAAAAAAAGAAAGTATAAAATAACAGATGAATAAACCCAAAACCCCCGCCCACTCCCTCTGCCCACACACCCCCAACGTAATTCCGAACGTAGTATACTCCTATCACTCCGCAGCCAATAATAACCCAAGGCCATGTTGAATCCCATATCCATACATGTCGAAAATCTGACAGTTCATAGCGGAATCGAATAGGAAAGATGGAAGTAAGGTGAAGATGAGGAAGAGATGATCCCGAGAGAGATATAGAGAGAATAAACAAAAGATCCATCCAGATGGAAAGTAACTTGAGAGTCGGGTCCGGAGCAGGACGAACATGAACATATATATGAGTGAATATTTGCACGGCTGCCGGTAGGCAGACGAGAAATTGAGACGGAGTTAGAATGTGCAAGATGTAATTGCCAACGCTGACGTTCTCAGAAGACGTCTTCCGCAGCAAAATACCGCTTGCTTCTACCTCTCGCTGCCACGAACTTCATGTCGGGCATGTTGGTATGGTGGACGACGTGGGGTCGATATACTGCGTCCACAGGGGCTTGCCAGTCGTCCAAGCCCAGGGGGAAATACTCATATAGTATATCAGCACTCTCGTTGGGGAAGGGAAGGCTCGATGCAAACGGTTGTTGCATGTTCGTGGTGTCCAGTAAGGGTAACGAAGATGTCGTTTCCCTAGGTTGCACTTGGGAAGTGCTATGGGATACCTTGCGCATCTTTGTTGGGGGCGCCGAGCTATCCACATCCGCGGGGTTCTTCCGCGGCGGTTCGTTCGGATAACGAGATCTTGTCGGATCGCGCAAGGCGATGGGGTTACTGGCATCCTCTTCATCCAGGAGCGTCAGGTTGATGGGGGCAGCCACGGTGTTCGTATCCTGTAGATTGTCTGTCTGCCGGGAAAATTCTGGAGTAGGCTGCGAATACATCGACGAGTGGGACAATACCCCCGACGGGATGGGTGCGCTCCCTCCCGGATGTTGAACCTGCTGCGTCCACCCCGGAGAAGGAAGCTGTGGCGCCACGGCAGCTTGGGAGGATGCGGTCTCTGGCGACGTGCTCTTCGCCGGAGCCTTGGATTTGGCGGCCGTGGGGTTGGCACGGGAAATAGAGTCATTGCGGGGAGCCGCCCTGTTCACGGCTGCCGTCTGCGCGGCCTGCACATTCTTCCTGGAGGCAGCGGCACTGCCACTTAGCGGCAGGTCTTTGCGTGATTGGAAATTGCGAGGGCTGCGGCCCCGGACAATGATCGGACCAGAGCGGACTTCACAGATGGGGATCTTTGCGCCGGTTGACAAGGTTGCGACCACCTTGAGACGGACGACGAAGTGCTGCTGGAGCTCCTTCCTGCGACCATTGTTGGCGGTCGCGACACGGAACTGCAGTCGCTTCCACCCGATGGAAAATTCGGCGTAGTCAGATTCCATGTTCTGACCCGCCATGATATCTAACGGGATCGGTGGGGGTTCTTTCTCGACCTTGGGGTTGGCGCCAGTGTTGGCGGCACGGGGGTTGCTACCGTCCTCGGCGGACGGGTTCCCATTCGCGACGGGGGTCTTCCAGGGCACCGAGATAATCTTGACGGAATTCCCTTCGACCGATTCGGTGGCCGAGACGGTCAACTCCTGGGCCAAGATAGGTATTCGGTCGCCTTGCTCCGTCATGATGTAGCGCAACCCCCGCGGCAAAGTTACCGTGCCTGAGATCTGAAATAAGTTGCGACGATAGCACGTCAGCTCCGCACCTTGTTGCGGTGGGGCATTGTCGTTCGGGGAGGTTGTCCATGGAGACTCTGCCAGAAAGAACATGCCCGTTAATTGGGCATCGATGGACAAGGATGTCCGTCGTAACGAGTAATCAAGGAATGTGAAGTTGTAAACGGGCACGGAGAAACCGAGCAACTTGTTATTGCGGTCGATGGACGAGTCTGGGGGCTGTTCCGGGGGCGTGGGATCGAATGGCGTCATCACATCAAAGGGATCTTCATAACTAGATGGGAACCGGTCCAATGTCGCAGGCAACCCATGCTGGGGGAAGGGGATGTCATCACCGCTAATCGGGGGCGATAGTAAGACCACTGATCGCGAAAGGAAGAAGAGAGAGAGAGATAGAGGGATGGGAGGGGAGACCTACCTGACAAAGGTATCCGAGTCAAAATTGGAGCGCTGGTCTGGAAGATCCATACCAGGCATGGAATTGAGGTAGTCGGTGCCCTGTATGTTGCTGAGGGATAACGGGCTCGCTAGGTAGGGCAGGGCCATGGTATCAAACCCCTCCATGGCGAGGGTGGCGACCGGCTCGAGGCCTGCACGACCAGAAGGCAAGAAGGTAATGAAGACTTTGGCTCTGTCTCCAACGAAGGCGATTGTGAATAATCCCAAAGTATTGAAAGGGACGGAGGAGGCCGAGACGAAGAGGGCGGGGCCCAGCGAGGTGAGAGGTGGTAAGATGCGAGTGAGATGATCGCAAAGAGTGCAGCGGGCGAGGCTAAGGACCGTAAGATATGGGAGTAATCAAATCTTCGAATTTGTGGGATATTGAGCTTTTGGCTGAATCACGACATTTGCTATTGTAATGGGAGAAGGAAAGAGAGCTACACAGGTGGTAAGGACAAGAGGAGGATGACCGAAAGGAAACGAAGAAAGACGCAAGCGAGATGCAGCGCTATTGCTAGCCCTGGTCGCAAGAAGATGAAGAGGAGAGGAGAGGAGAGGAGAGGAGGAGGAGGAGGAGGAGGAGGAGGAGGAAGCAGTAGTAGTAGTAGTTGCAGTAGTAGTAAGTGGTAAAGAGAGAGTGGATCGGAGCCCCCCGAAGTCAATACAATCTAGACAAGGTAGTGGAGAACAGCGATAGACTGTTCTTTCACTTGGCTTTCTTTTTCTTTGCTTCTCTTATTCCTCGGTCTGTGTTTTGCTGCTGCTGCGCTCCTTTGTTCTTCTTTTCTTTCTCTGTTGCGCGCTCTCTCTCTCTCTCTCTCTTTTTTGTTTTGTATAGACTTCTCCTTTTGAGAGATGAGAAGAAATAACAAGATGAAGAAGAATGAAGAAGAACCGCCCGGACAAGGTCTAGTCGAATTGAATGGATAGAGGAGATAAACCGGACGAGTAGACGGACCCGGCGACGGGGTCCGCAGCAGTAGCGACAGCAGGAGCCAACAAGAGGGGCGGGTGAGATAGTGGGGAGAGCCGGAGCGAAAGGCGAAAAGGTAAAAAAAAAAAAAAAAAAAAAAAAAGAAAGAAAGAAAGAAAGAAAGGAAGGGAAATTCGAGGATTGGGGAGGGGGCGTTCACGACGTCCAACACCCGGCGCTGGGACCAAACTGGAATAGTGAATTAGTTTAAACCCCGATAGTCAAGTGAGGTACCAGCGAATGAAGGACAAACTGATGGATTCAGCGGGAGTGGATCAGAAGGACGAGGCTGACAGGCCATTGGGAGACGAAGAATGAGAGGATGAGGAGAGACCATTGGTAGTGCGTAGTGGAGAGAGGAGAGAAAGTAAGAAAAGTAAGAGAGTTGATGGTTTTGCGGAGATAAAGCCGACCGCAGACGGAGGGGAAGTGTTTCCCCACCAGGTTTCTTCTGTCTTTCTCTACCTTTAAAATTGATACATTATTGTAATATATGTACTCTGAATTTATTCAACCCCTAGTCTACCATCTATTTCCCCATCCTGTCATTCTTCAGATAAGAAGAGAAGAATGATTCTCCATACGAGTCCCCCGTATGTATTGAGAACTGCTTATTGTCCAGCGGGGAAGATATCCTTCCCTCGTACCATGGAATCGTACTGTACCGTACCTGACCTGACCCAGTCAGCCTTACCCCACCTAGACCTACTTCGGTATGGTGCAATCTAGTCCCAGAACGGGCAACACCTGGGGAGCGGATACATCAGCCGGATCGGGAGATCCAATTAACTTACCGGGATACTTACCATACAGTATCATACTGTTTTTGATCATGGTCTAGACTCATTCTATTCTTACATTCTACATTCTTCACTCTCACTTACTTTTCCTCTTACTCTCTCTCTCTCACACAGAGAAAGACACAGAGAAAGACAAGAGAACTGAATAGATTAATACTCTAAGGTATGTTCAACACAATCGATATCCACCCGGACCAAATCACTCCAAGTATGACCCAAAAAAGCTAGTCAGTCAGCCCAGAAATGAGGGAACGACCGATATGGAAATATCACCCACAGGTCCAATATATATGTATAGCACCTAGTCTCGAACTAGAAGAAATCGGGCTTCCGTCGGGGATGCTCAGCCAAGTCGCTAAACAGACTCGACACTGGGTTAGACCTATCTGGTCATCCCGTCTGTTCGTCCACATCCATCTCCAATCCACCAACCTATAAGAATGACTTCTCGTTCCGGCACTGTCTAGACAAACTGCTGTGGAAGAGAGGGAGGTGAGGTACCTAGGTACTGTCTCCAGTGGAACTGGGTCTTCTGGACTAGCCTCATCCGTTCTTTTCGACTGACCTAGCCTTGAGCTGAGTATGGTAGAGGTAGATAGATGGTAGCTATACATCTGGGACGACCCACCGAGCCTCTTCAGGTAGCTACCTACCTAGCTATCTAGGTAGGTAGGCAGGTACCTCCCACTGACCGCACACAAGTACCTCAAACAATCAGGGTATCTACCAGCAGCAGATAATCCATCCGGGGAAGATCCCACGATCCTATCCTATTCACAACCCAGTGTAATAGGCTACAGACCCAACGGGCCTGTCTCAGGTAAGGCAAGGTCAGTCACGCCTTGATTGGACTTCTTTCGCCACTAGATATGTACCTACTGTTAGATCCCTACCTTAGTCCCCGGTATGGAAGGACTTTCTTTATTCATTCACTGTCAGTGTACGGAGTACTTCGTAGTGTTTTCTGTCTATTTGCCCCCTCTCTCTTCCTCTTTCTCCCATTGACCATTCATCATCATTCGTTGATCATTGGATGGTTGGCGGTTAGGCGCGGTAGGCTCTAAATATCTCTCTCTCTCGCGCAGGGCTCTTCTTCCTTCCTTCGATCCTTTCGTATTCTCTGACTATCTTCCCTTTTCCTCCCCACCCCTGATCAAAAATGACGGGATCGTTTGATCACCACAGCCCTCCGTTCCAGATAAAAAGAGTAGCAAAAAAAAAAAGGGACTGACTACTTCCCTATGTAGGAAGGTGGAACAACAACCCAAGCTAGTCCACCCCCCAACCCTGAAAATATAATAAAAAAATGAAATAATTCACATTCTTCTCGAACACACAAGTGGAATCTTCCATCCCATCCCAACCTGACAGGGTCGATCCAAGTTTGTGCCGAGGTCTCCGAAAACAGCGGGAGAGCGGGTCGAGCTGCTCCGCTCTTCCCCCCATCCACTAACCAACTAGGTAGTTAGCCAAGGATGGGATACTTTCATTTTAACTTCTCAAATTGATACAACTGATACTGAGGGGGGCTGCTTTAGAGTTTTTGCCATCTCGTGGTGTTGTTCAACGTGGGTATCATGCATCGTGAGGCATTTTAATATATCATCTTATATTGCTGGTATGTACCTCGTGCATCCCGGTTTATTTTGTACACACATATTCTCCTTGTTTGGTTTGTTTCTCGTAAAATAGTATTTATCTCGTAAAAAGGTATTCAAAAAGGAAAACAGAAAACTCAAAATCCAAATTCAAAAAAAAAAAGAACGAGCAGAAAAGGGGTGCTGAAACCCCCATACACAGTGGATATCATGCAGGTGGATGCGACAGCAAGAGAGCAATCCAAAAAAAGAAAAGAAGAAAAGAAAAGAAAGAGCACGCAACCGGACTTATGGCGCCGGCACCATGGCCCACGTTGCGGCATCGCAGTTGACTTCCTCAAAACTATGCAGCGTATGAAATCCCATTCCTGACAAGCAGTCGAAATTGCTGTCGCCATCGACCTGTATACCACCATATTAGTAAAAAATCTCACCATCCAGCCTAAGACGAGGATTATACTCACACAGTCCATGATCACGGCGTCTGCGCCTTGTTTACGGACCTGCTTGATCCCCAGTAAGACCAACCCCTGCATGACCGTAGCATACTCGCCTACCGACGGCGAAATGACCGGCGAAGAGATGCCCCCTGCTGACGCATGAGTGGCTTTCAATGCCGGCATATGCTCTGCCAGTAGTGCCCGATTGTTATATACGACCACACTGCCCAAGATCGCCCCATCCGTGGGCCGCTTGGCCCGGATAATGCCACATCCTGGCGCCCCTCCAAGAGCCAATTTGTAGATGTCCATCACTCCTTGTCGAGAATTGGTCTTGACATGGTCAAGGATCGATTCCGCATAGTCCCATCCGTACACGAGGTCATACGACACTTCCGTATTCTGTAAACCTTGCAGCAAGCCGCCGGATGGAGTCCACGTTTGTAAGTTCCGCAGCACCACACTGCAGACGGGCCGGGAGAGCGCCGTGTTCCAACCCAGATTGGCAAACCATTGTCGCAACCTCTTCCGTTCAACGGGATTGGCCGATGGGATCCCCAGGTAGATTCCCGGCAGGCGTGAACCGAGCTGAAACCGTCGCATTCCCTTGCGCTGAAGGAGAGTCCGGATGGCACGGTTATGAAGGGATGTTCCAATGGAAAGTTTTCGCCTGGTCGGGTCCACGATCAGCGATCCGATAACCCCAGTCCCCGTCGATCGGAAGTAATATGTCGAACAGAATCCGTAGATGGCTTGGGTGCTGCTATTGCGCACAACAAAGTGCGCCTCGTCGATCTCCTCCCGCCGCAAGAAAAAGCTACGAGGCGTGACGCCTTGGAGCTCGGAGCGCTTTCCCTGAACGCAGTCCTCCCGGACCATGTCCAGTAAGCGATCCAGGGCATGAGTGTCCCTCTCTTCATTGAAATGTTCCACGAGCCAATGCTGTCTTGCTTGATGAAGCTTTTGGCTGCGACTGATCGACCCCGGAAGCATGCCCATCGGAGTGCACTCCCCGTAGAGGACTTTGACGAGAGCCTCGAGCGCCGTCTCCGTGAAGTCGTACGTGCAGAGGTAGGTGCCGATGGTCGGATCCGTCGCAAAATCGTATGGTGAGCTGACAGCAACGACAACCATGGGCTTTTCACAGGGTTCACCGGTCGCAGTGAACTGTGATCGACAGATCATGGATACGTGCTTGGTGAAGCCATGCTGATACATATTCCGGTTAGCATCTGCCGTGACGATAATCACTGCCGATGCCCGGTCGATGAGGTTCTCGTGTATCGGGCGAACACCATTGGCGGTATAAGACGTATGGAGGACCCGCCCATTCCGCTGCCGTGAGAGAGACCTCCCCAACTCCTTGAAGACACTTTCACCGCTCAGAACAGAGGCAGTCCGATCCCACACGACCGGATCGAGGGATGAGTCTAGGTGTTCTGTGATCTGGTGAGACACTGCGGAGGCCGGCAATGGTTTCACCAGCGGGGTCAAGAGCAGCAACTCCTCATGGGGCTCCAGTATGTTGGAAAGGGGCAGCAGATTCTTCTTATCCCGCACAACGGATACAGAGCTGCTATATGCCTTGGTCGAGAGATTGGTATGCGATGGTTGCATCTGTGTGAGGGAAGGGAGCCCCTGGGGGCTCAACGCCTGCTCCCACGAGGTGCATTTTGCCTTCAAGTTCAGTATCCGGTGCAGGGATTGTTCGATCCGCGCGCGGCCAATGATACCGTTTTCCACACCGAGTTTCAAACCGTTGATGGCTTCTTGCTGGACTGGGAATGACCGGCAAAGGAGGACGATGTCGCAGCCCGCATTCTTCGCCATCACCGTCCCGCCGCCAACCCCGATGTTGTGGGTGAGGGCCTCCATTTCCAAACACTCGGAGACAACAACACCGTTGAACTTCAAGTCTTTCCGCAGCAGGTCATCCACGACCTGCTCACTGAGGCAAGCATGCATGACATTCACCCCGGACGAAGACATGGAGACACCTCCTACCATCATGGAATCCAACCCGTGGATGATAGCGTTTCGAAACGGGACCAGCGCGGTCAAGCTGAGCTGTTCGAGCGACTCGGTGATTGTGGGAACGTCGTTTTGAGAGCCAAGGAATTCCAGATTGCCGTACGATGGGAAATGTTTGCCGCACGTCACTAGCCCCCCGGCCTGGTAGCCCTTCAAATACTCCACGCCGTACTGCGATACCTCATGGGGGTCATCCCCCGTGGTGCGGACGCCCAAAGGTTGACTCCTTACGTTCGTCAAGACGTCTAGCACGGGGCCCAAGATCCAATTGACCCCTACGGCCTTGAGCTCCCGGGCGGTGGCCATAGCCACTTCGCGTGCTAAGAGTTTTGACCCCGTGGCGGCGACGCCCATGGCGCTGGGGTACTGTCTGATGTATTGATCATCGTACAGGCTGTTCACGCCGCCATTTTCCTGATCAAGAGCGATCAGTAGAGGGACCAAATGGCCGGCATTTCGGGCGATGGTCTGTAGCTCGAGAACCAGACGGGTTGCATCTTCTGCCGCTGCAGACACATTAGTGTACATTGACCCATGGGGGATGTCATGACCGCGACCCTAGCGAGGCCACGGACGGGATCACAAGATCAACAGGAGATGGTACATTTCAGGTTTTTGGCAGTTAGAAGGACAGAGCCGACATGGTAGTTCTCAATGAGGGAGCGAATCTGAGGGTTGACCGAGGTTCCATCAAAGCCCATCATAAAGAGCTGCCCCATCTGTCTATCGAGTTGACATGGTTCCGGGAATGATCAGTGACGGTCATGAATAGCTTCATAGGATGGTAGGACAGGGAAAGAGAATCGGAAGAAGGCATAATCTTCCTGTTGATCTGCATGTTCATTTTTGTGTTTACTTCTGTTTTTGGGTTTGTTTTTCTCATCCATATTGACAAGAGACAATCGATCATAGAAGAAGAAATCGAAGAGAGGGAACCATACTGGGTCACAACAACCAAACAAAAACAAAGATAGAATGAAAAGAATGCCAAGACCGAATCTGAAACCTACCTGTCTAGATCTTCCCAGCCAGGGGGCAGCATATCCTCTCTCGGGGCCATGAGGGGTGGGGTGGCGCCCTATGTGAGGAATGCCAGGACTAAAATTGACAACAGGTTGCAAGCACGATCCGGGGGACCCGCAAGGTCCGCGCTTAGGAAGAATTGGGTTGGGGGGGTGTGGAGGGGGCGACAGATGGTGTGGGACAATGTTGCAAACGACGTTGGGAAGCTGACGAGTGCCAGAAACGGCAGGTTACCTAGTGGAAGTTAAGTTTCCTCGAGTCGGGGCGCGTGGAGAATTGAAGCGTTACCTTACCTACGACTAGGTCAAAACTAATGAGGGGAAAAGACACAGGATCGGATGGGGTGGGAGATCCTTACGTGGGCAAATGAAGATGCAGCGGAGAGATGAATCGAAAGGGGAAAGAAAGGATTGATGGATAGAAAGAAAGGTGTTGATAATACGAGGAGCTCTCTTCTCCCGAGGATAGTGCACTGTTTACTCCGCATGAATATCTCCATCCACCTAATTAGCCTCGATTGGGGCTGCTAACCAGTTAGGGAGATTAGTGACTATTGGCTTGTTTACCAGCATTAGATCTCGATCACATACCATCGTGTATAGAATGTGTTGTTTATAACCTCATATAGCAGTTCAAATATAAGTTATAGGTACCTATTACTATGTGCTCCAGATATCCATTAGATGATGTCTGTCGGAGATTTGATATTGATCTTGACAGTATTGTAAGATATACTAAGCCATACCCGATCGAATCTGTATCATACCCGCCGTAAGTCATATACAGTACTGTCTGTATCCTGTCTGTATTCTGACCTAACATAGACGGGTAAGTAAACATACTAATACAGACTAGTTCCGGTTAGGTTGCATGTCTATCACGGCGTCAATGCTTTTCTCCCCCGGTTTCCCGAATGCAACAACGGTCCTCAAGCGGAGATCCCACAGGAAGGAAACTCGGTCCTTCGGTATCATGAGTACCATGAAGGTATTGAAGATAACTCGGTCACACCCCACCTTCCCCAGTTAGGCATAGAGGATCCGTTCGGAAGGCTGAAGATCCCATTGCGATATGCCACCTTTGACTGTAACATCAGTGGATTTAATGAATGAAACGTTTCTTTGCCTTCCAACTTGCCAACCCCACCGTCTGATCTGACTGAACCTCATGACAATGGTCCATTCTTTCATTGCAGTCCGGACCCGGTGATTGGCTGTCTGCATCCTGCCAGGTGGGCGTTTTCGCCTTCCTCATCATAGTCCGAAGCCTGGTTGCGTCATCCTCCGGGTTGAATCATCATCCCGATGTGACCGGAATATCTAATCTGAAGCACGAGAATACGCAATGGGGGAGAGATATCGAGATGCCTGAGCTTCTGGTTTCTGTTCGCTATAGTCAAGTATGCTATAGTCAAGTATGATCAATTACTTTGACTGGACAGGTCTTAACAAATACGAATACTGTTCCCTCATGTATGCGGAAAAAGTGCGCGAGATAAGATGACGATCCGCTCCAGACCGGAAATTACCCAAGAATCCAGAGTCCAACAATAATCTCCAAGCGCCACCATAATGGAATTATAGGCATGTGGCGCTGGGGAAGTGGTAGACTAAGGTAGGGTCCGAGTAGTGTGGGCAACATCATCTCGTCACACTCTCCACAGCTGATCCAGAATCGATTCCTACCACGATTGAGCAGAAGAGTAGATATGTAACAAACCCCCGGCCGATGGGACCGCATCCGGCATTTTTTCTATTCACCTTTAATCGTCCCCAATTTCAGTCTGCCCCCAGCTTCTTCCTTCTCTGTCTCCTTTCTTGTGCTGTACCAGAACACGGCACCATCGACAGACTATTGCGATATCTGTCTTACCTTCCTGCTTCTTTCGTCCCTCGCGTGTGTTAGACATCTGTCTATAGGGTCTCGAGTGTTCCAGACCTGTCTTGCTTGACACCCTCCTCATACTCGCTAGCCGCAGGGGTGCGCTACCAGTGACGTAGTTTCGTCCTCCATCAGCCAACATGTATGTCTTATATCTCCTCGTGCTCGGATTGCTTGTTTGCCAGTATCAAAAACAATGAATCTAAACAATGAATTACACTGACACGCGCACCTGTTCCAGGCGGGTCATCATTCGGGAAAATGCCTGGGATGTGTCGGAATATATTGCCGACTATATCATCAGTATGTTGTCATCTACCCGAAGAAACCAAACGTTCGCATCCTTACACTGTAATCAGGTCGCATTAAATCGTTCATGCCGACAGAGGACCAGCCGTTTGTGCTCGGTCTCCCTACTGGCAGCAGCCCTGAGCTCATCTACAAGTCTCTGGTGCGACGTCATCGGGCTGGTGACATTTCCTTCAAGAATGTCGTAACCTTCAACATGGTACTACCTCCCATTGACCCCGTTCTCTACCGCATACTAACAGAGATAGGATGAATATGTCGGTCTGCCCCGTGACCATCCCGAGTCGTACCACAGCTTCATGTACAAGAAGTTCTTCTCGCATGTCGACATCCCGCCCCAGAACATCAATATCCTCAACGGGAACGCCCCAGACCTCGGCGCCGAGTGCGCGTCTTTCGAGGCGCGCATCGCTCGCTACGGAGGAATCGAGCTGTTCCTCGGCGGAGTCGGTCCCGACGGCCACATCGCATTCAACGAGCCCGGGTCCTCCCTGAGCAGCCGCACTCGCGTCAAAACCCTGGCCTACGACACCATCCTCGCAAACTCCCGCTTCTTCGACAACGACATCGACAAGGTCCCCCGGCGGGCCCTGACAGTCGGTATCCAGACGATCATGGAAGCGCGCGAAGTCGTCATCGTCGCCACAGGCGCCCACAAGGCCTCCGCGCTGGAGAAAGGCCTCGAAGGCGGCGTGAACCACATGTGGACGCTCTCCGCGCTGCAGCTGCACCAGCACCCGCTCATCGTCTGCGACCGCGACGCGACCCTCGAACTCAAGGTCAAAACCGTCCGCTACTTCGAGTCGATCGAACAGTCCGGCACAGACGCGCGGACTCAGGGCCCGCCGCTCGTCTCTCGCCCCAGAACGTACATCCCTTCTCCAGTGGGAGTCCGACAACAGCTTACCCCGACGGGGACACCGACGAAGATCCCCAAGGACCTGCGGATCAACACGCAGCTGAACCAGACTATGGAGGACGACGAGTTGACTCCTGATAGCATGTCCTCCCGGATGGTCGATTCGGCGATTAGTGGGCTGGACACGGCTATGAAGGGTGATCTTATGCTTGATCGGATGGGTGCTCGGGTTGTTTCTCATTAAGCGGATTTCTTTTCGTTTGTTCTGTTTTTATTTCACCTCATATTGTGTTCTGTCTGTTTTGGGTATCTACTGGTATATTCCCTGGTTTTATCGGGTGTCTTTTTCTCGCACTACATAGATGGCGAGTTTGGTTGATATTTTGATTAGCATGTTCTGTCTTTTTCTTGTCTTTTTCTTGTCTTTTTCTTGTCTTTTTTTTTTTTCTGTTTTGCATGACGAAATAGCAGGATGGAAAATCAAATATGGAAATGATGGCATGATCTGAAACAACTTTGTTTTCATTGTGATTATCATAAGATTGTAAATAAAACATTGATTGGTATTGTAAGCCTTGTCACACACTGAGAAGTAGACAATTTGAAATCAGTAGGAGGTGGTCCCTCTATGTATGTCCTATTCAGGTTAATGTATTCATGGTATCATTTTCTAACATATACATCTGGTACCTTCAGCTAACAGCGAGCCTCCCTACTCAAACCAATTACTCTTTCTCACACGCCTGTACAGGAAGAGATTAAAGCTTCGCAAAAACAGTCGCCATCCCCCCACTCATATCAACATAAGTGCTCTTATTCTTCACCCAAGCCTCGATGCCCTTGCGGCCATTCTCAACGCCCACACCGCTCTTCTTCCACCCCCCGACGGCCATCTCAGCCGGGCTGTCGCCCCAGGTGTTGATCCAGGTGATACCGGCCTCGAGCTGGTCGATGACCTGGTGGGCCATGTTGAGGTCCTGGGTGAAAACGCCGGCGGCGAGGCCGAGCTCGGTGGTGTTCGCGCGGCGCACGGCTTCCTCGACGGTGTCGTAGTAGAGGATGGACATGACGGGGCCGAAGATCTCCTCTTTGACGATCTTCATGTCGTCCGTGCAGTCTGTGAAGACGGTGGGGCGGACCCAGAAGCCGTTTTGCAGGTCTGCGGGGACGGCGGGCTTGCCGGAACCGCCGTAGAGGAGCGTGGCTTTGTCGGACTCGATGCCGTGGCGGATGTATGCGTTTACTTTGTCGAGGTGGGCGGCGGAGCTGAGGGGGCCCATGTTGGTTGCGTCGTCGAAGAGGGGACCGGGGCGGATGTGTTGCATTTTGTCGAGGAGGGACTTCTCGAAGGCGTGCTTCATGGAGGACGGAACGAAGACGCGCGTGCCGTTCGTGCAGACTTGGCCCGTGCTGTAGAAGTTTGCCATCATGGCGCCGTTGACGGCGTTTTCGAGGTCCGCGTCGGGGAGCACGAGGAGGGGGCTCTTGCCGCCTAGCTCCATGGTCACGTACTTCATGTTGCCTGCGGCCGCGCCGGCAACCTTCATGCCGGTGGATACCTGGCCGGTGAAGGAGACCTTGGCGATGGTGGGGTGCGTGGTCAGGTGTGCCCCGACGTCGCCGGCGCCGTAGATGACGTTAAAGACGCCGTCGGGGAGTCCGGCTTCACGGTAGATTTCGGCCAGGGTCTGGGCGTGCAGCGGGGTGTATTCGCTCGGTTTGTAGACCATGGTGTTTCCGGCGGCGAGACAGGGGGCGGATTTCCAGAGGGCACTGTTTTTTTTTTTAGTCAGACCATGTTTATTACTGAGCCAACGACAACTGGCGCGTAGACAGGAGGATAACTTGAAGAAAAGCCATGCCAGCAAAAAGAGCGCAGAATGAGAAAAGTGGGAGGGACATACATCTGGATGGGATAGTTCCACGCGCCAATGCCCGCACACACTCCCAAGGGGGCCTTCTTGGTGAACACCCACGCGTCCTTTCTCAACTGGGTAGTTTCGCCATTGAGGCCGCCCGCGCCAACCAGGTTCGCATAGTATTCCAAGACATCCGCGCCGCTCAGGACATCGACCGTGCTGGTCTCCGTATAGGCCTTGCCGGAGTCTAACGTTTCCACGCGGGCGATTTCATCGTTTCGTTCGCGGAGCAAAATAGCGGCCTTTTGCAGGATGCGCGCCCGGGCGGCCGGGGAAGTCTCGGACCAGGAGGGAAAGGCACGGTTGGCGGCGGCAATGGCCGTATCTACATCGGAGTTCGAGGCGACTTGGATCTCGGCCAGCGGGGTTGCGTTGGACGGGTCAATGGAGAAGAAGGTCTTGCCGGACGACGCGGGCCGGACTTGGCCGTCGTAATAGAGCTGACGGGTTGGGAAAGGGAGAGTAGAAGATGCCATGATTGACTTTGTCCTGATTCCTAATTGAAGGGAAGACAGTCTTTTCAGCATTGTCTCTTCCGAAGAGAGTGAAGAAACCGGGTAGTTCTGGAGTGGAGAAGTATGATACTCACCGCCAACCCCATAGTAAGGTAAGTGGCAACTGGCAATACTCCAACTGTCTCTCGGTCTGGGCCGAGAGATCGTCCGTAGAAGGAACAAAGGACGATCTAGGCTTTCTCTTTCTATCTTTCTTTCTTTCTTTCTTCCTGTCTATTGTGTGTTCTCATCTAACGTGGAATGCGACGATTACTAGTATGTAGTGTACAGACATGGACAATGCGTCTATGATACAACAAGGTAACGAGTTCTTCCATCAGGTAAGATGATAATACACAGACTCCATAATGTCTCCTGTAACCAATAGTTTCCCAGAATGTCTCGGCATTGAAACTCCGATCCTCAACCCACAGAGGTTTACACCATTCAGCGCTGATTCTTCCCTTATTAGTCGGATGCTTGTGCGCTCGTGCCGTGGCGTCCTTTAGCGTCTGTCCTCGTGCGGAGTGACGTCGGCACCAAAGACCGGGGATCAGAGTATGCGACATAAGACTCCGCATTGCATGGAGAAGAAAGACAGAGAGAAAGACAGTCTCTCCTATACTGCGCGGACTGTAACACCTCGGTACCTACCTCCGTAAAGGTTCTATCCCCAAAATGGACGTGTTATCTAATAAGAACGTACAGTCCACGGCTCCACGCGGTCCAAGAACCTCATCCATTGGGCCATTTCTGTTCGGTTCCCCTCCCGGGCGGTGGAGAATGATTGAAAGGGAAAAGAAAAAAAAAGGGCCCGAAATGGTCTGATGCTTCGGTCGAAATACGGTCATTCAATCACCGCCATTTTCCGGTGGTTTTTTTCTAATCCTTTCTTCCTCCTCTTTTGATCCTTCCCCGTTTCTCCATCTTCGATCCTCTGCCACCCCCCACTTTCCTCCCTTCGGATTCAAGGCCTTCATTCAACATGGCTACCACAAACGAGTTCCCCGCGAGCGACGTCAACAGCTACGACTATGTCATCGTCGGCGGTGGCACGGCCGGCTGTGTCATTGCCGGTCGGTTGGCGCAATACTTGCCCAACAAGCGCATCCTGGTCATCGAGGGTGGCCCCAGTGACTTTATGGATGATCGCGTCCTCAACCTCAGGGAGTGGCTCAACCTACTCGGAGGCGAGTTGGACTACGATTATCCCACCGTCGAGCAACCTATGGGTATGTCTTCATTCTTGATCTTTTCGGTGCAACCACTGGTCGGAGAAGGGGATCAATCCAAGAAAGTTCCTGATTGTATCTAATTTGTTTTAACTTTGAACAGGCAACAGCCATATCCGTCACTCGCGTGCCAAAGTCCTCGGTGGCTGCTCCAGCCACAACACCCTCATTTCCTTCCGTCCTTTCGAATATGACTGCAAGAGGTGGGAGCAACAGGGTTGCAAGGGCTGGTCCTTTGGGACCTTCACCCGCCTCTTGGACAACCTGCGCAACACCGTCCAGCCCGTGCATGAACGCCACCGTAACCAGCTGTGCAAGGATTGGATCCAGTCTTGCTCGTCCGCCATGAACATTCCCATCATCCCGGATTTCAACCAGGTCATTCGCTCCGAGGGAGAGCTGACCGAGGGCGTTGGTTTCTTCAACGTGTCCTACAACCCGGACGATGGCCGCCGAAGCAGCGCCAGCGTCGCCTACATCCATCCCATCCTGCGCGGTGAGGAACGCCGGCCGAACCTGACCATCCTCACCAATGCCTGGGTGTCGCGTGTGAACGTGGACGGCGATACCGTGACGGGCGTCGACGTGACCTTGCAGTCGGGTGCGAAGCACACCCTGCGGGCCAAGAAGGAGACCATCCTCTGTGCGGGTGCCGTGGATACCCCGCGACTGATGCTTCTGTCCGGCCTGGGCCCGAAGGATCAACTGACGTCGGTGGGTATCCCGGTGGTCAAGGATCTTCCCGGAGTCGGCGAAAACCTGCTCGATCACCCGGAGACCATCATCATCTGGGAGCTCAACCGCCCGGTTCCCCCCAACCAGACCACCATGGACTCCGACGCCGGCATCTTCCTGCGCCGGGAGGCTCCCAACGCCGCCGGCGATGATGGACGCGCCGCCGATGTCATGATGCACTGCTATCAGATCCCCTTCTGCCTCAACACCGAGCGCCTGGGATACGACACTCCCGTGGACGCCTTCTGCATGACCCCCAACATCCCCCGCCCCCGCTCGCGCGGTCGCGTCTACCTGACCTCCGCGGACCCCACGGTGAAACCCGCGCTGGACTTCCGCTACTTCACCGACCCCGAAGGCTACGATGCTGCCACCATCGTCACCGGGTTCAAGGCCGCCCGTGAGATCGCCAAGCAGTCGCCATTCAAGGACTGGATCAAGCGGGAGGTCGCCCCGGGCCCCAAGATCCAGACCGACGAGGAGCTGTCCGAGTATGGCCGCCGCGCCGCCCACACGGTCTACCACCCGGCCGGTACCACCAAGATGGGTGACGTGACCAGCGATCCCCTGGCCGTGGTCGACGCACAGCTGAAGGTCCGGGGTCTGAAGAACGTTCGCATCGCCGACGCCGGCGTCTTCCCCGAGATGCCCAGTATCAACCCCATGTTGACCGTGCTGGCCGTCGGTGAGCGGGCAGCCGAGTTGATCGCGGAAGAGGCAGGCTGGAAGCGCGAGCAGCCTCGTCTGTAAAAACCAACAAAAAACCATAACACAAAAGAAAAGAAAAGAAGAAAAAAAGACAATGATCGAAAAGTGAATATTACAAGAAAGGTACCATATCCATTGCCGAAGCTACGGTGACAGTAGCCCGGATATTGGATATGGACAACCTAGCGCAGTCAGGGAAGGCTTTTTGTACAGGAGCCGAAATTTTTCCTCCTCTTTAGGATACGTTCCAGCGACTTCATAATTTTGCCGTTCATGTTCATGAATCATGATAGATGTCATATATAGAAATTTGCATCGAGTGGATTATAGTCAATTTGAGATAAGCTCTTGGGTATGCATTGTTTGGTAATTTTTTGTCATGGAGTAGATGTATTGTGCTTTAACCTGAGCATAGAATGGCTTACCTTTGCTTTTAGAAAGTAATTGTTGTAGATGCCGACGTCAAAGAAACGGGTATATTGCCGTCCTGCTTGAGTAGGATGGCAGTGAGAGTAAAATGAGGGAGAAAGATAAACAAGTCGATAAATAGATAGATAAATAAACAAACAAATATATATATATATATATATATTTGTTTATACACATCCATAGCCACATTTTAATAGAAATCCCAAAGTAGAAACCAACGCTGACCATCATGCGAGACAATAAACAAATGCACAAGCTGGCTAGTCAAGAAATACCAAAACCACGATAAATCAAACGAAACAAAAAGAAATCTAATACGTTCAAGCACAATAAGACATCCCCACAGAAGTCTCAGCCCCCCCTTTCTCATTATCGTAGATCTTCGCGCCCCGTTTCCACACTTGGGCCACAGTCAGCGTGGGTCCGGAATAAGCATCCTGCACATCATCCAGCACGACCAGGTCCGCATCGGCGCCCTTATCCAGTGTGCCCTTGACGCCCTGCAGGCCGAGCAGACGCGCGGGGACGGCTGTGACGGAGTTGAGCGCCTCGGCAGTCGAGGCGTTCGTCCAGCGGCGGAAGTTGTTGACGCACTCGATGAGGGTTGCGGAGCTACCGGCGATGCGGTCAGATCCTTCTAGGGTCAAGCGCGCGCCGGTCTTGACGATGCGCTCGCCGTTGGTCCACTCGTAGACGCCGTCGGGGAGACCGCATAGCCTCATGGCGTCCGTGACGAGCACGAGGCCTTCCGGGTGGGCGTTGTAGGCGATGCGGATGGAGGTGGGGTGCAGGTGGATGCCGTCTGCGATGATCCCGTAGTACGGGCGAGGACGCTCGTTCTGGCCGAGCAGGCCGAAGACGCCCGGGTTGCGGTGGTAGAACGGGCGCATGGCGTTGAAGAGGTGGGTGATCATCGTTGCGCCTTCCTTGGTGGCTGCTAGGGCCTGTTCATACGTCGCGTCGGAGTGACCGATCGAGAAGATGATGTCCTGGGAGGCGACGGCGGCGATGTTGGAGACCATGTTGCCGACTTCGGGGGCGGCGGTGATCATCTTCACGGACTTGGTCGGCCCTGTTAGGTTCTCCTTGCCGTAGCAGGCTTCTAGGTCGTCCCAGTGGGTGGCTGCGCGGAGGACTTCGGTTTTGTGGCATCCGTTGCGGCCTGGGCTGATGAAGGGCCCTTCGATGTGGGCTCCTAGAGACTCTGCGCCATCTTCTGAGCGGTGCTTCTCTCCGGGAGGACCTAGAGAGGGGAGGACCTGAATGTGGGCATCAGAGTAGTCCTTCGGGGTGATGACTGCGGAGGCTGTAGCGACATACCTGGGAGTATACTTCGGGAGTCGAACTAACAACGGTTGGAAGATACGACGTGACGCCCGTTCGAGCGAGGCCCCGGTTGACTGCGCGTAGACCCTCGTCGTATTCCTCCTTGGTGGCACAGGGAATGGAGAAGTCGAAGCCTTGGGCGCCATTTAGCTGGACGTCTATGAGCCCCGGGGAGAGGATGCGTCCGCCGAGATCGACGACCTCATCTGGAGATAGATGTAGCTCGTAGAACGCTTCCTGGTCGCGAAGAATCTTTCCGGACAGAGAGTCGATCCAGAGGTCCTGCTCGACCAGCTCGGTCCCCTTGACGATCCGGCAGTTTGTGAACTTGGTGATCCGGGGAGGAGTCGACGCTTTGCCAGGCATGATGGGCGGAGTATGTCGTTTGTTGGATTAGATGTCCAGTACCTGGTGGGGGAAGGGGAGGGGGAAGGTTGAACAGGGGATGAGTCAGGCCAGACAGCGACGCAAGTATATACTCGAAAAAATCCGACGGGCGTCGCGTCGTTCTGGAAACAAAATGGAGAGAGAGAGAGATCGACAACGGTCCTCAACTCCACGAGGCGTTTATTGTTCTGACGTTGACGTTGCTTTCATCCTTTAGGAATGTCACGTAGGGAAAGGAATACAATGATTGGACTCCATCGTATTTTGGCAGGGAAAGGTCGTATGGGGTTCAGACCCGGCTTTCCATGGAATGCCATCTCATCGAGGGGAATGTCATCTGTTGATTGACTCCACTCATCATCGCAACAATGGGACCAACGCCGGTGACGTTATAGATTACCGCTGACATCCATTACATGCAGAGAACGGTAGCAAACCGGAGTATACCGGATCATACCATACCATACATACCATACATACCATACACACAATACTTTCTTCCCCTCTTCTCTCCTCTCTCTCCTCTTTCTTTCTCCACTCTCCCCATTCATGCATCAAATTGGCCAAATCAGATGGAATTATGTGACTAAACCAGCCTAATTAGCGTACTTCCAAACAGCCTCAGCAAAGTATTAACAGCGGGAAAACGCCAAGCTCCTCTCCACTCGTGAAAGAAAGGATACTACCTCGCAGCCACCGTGCCAGCCAAACTGATTCCGGAACCCCTCCGCATTCGGCCACGCTGGATGGTTACAGACTGTCAATGTCACCGTCTCTTTGAGTTGGCTCTCGATGTGGATGCGTGAATCCTATTATGACTCCTTTCTCATCAACCTGCCTGGATTGTTAGGTTCAGCGAGGATCAGCTATGGATGCCTAGACATCCTTGGATTTCTGCCAGATCAGGATCCCAGGGAACTATGCCGCAAGTGTATGTTCAGTACTCGGCGTCATGAAGAAAAGCAGCTAATAAAACTCTCAAATAAAAAGAGGGGCGCTTTTGATCCAATCTAGCCTATTTGAGCTCGACATGACTGTCTCGTTGGGTCTGAATTGAGCGTGAAAGCTCTCTCCTCATCCGGAGTTATATGCTCGAGCTGTGCGGATTTTGCATCTACTCAGTCTTATTTGTTCTTGTTCCTTTATTCTTCTTCTGCCTTTCTTCTCTTCTGTTTTGCTTTGCTTTTCTGTTCTCTTGTCTCTTATACCTCTGATCTGATTTTGCCTAATCGGTACGTCTCCGGAATCTACTTTCCACTTTCCACTGGGGTCTGGAGTCAACCCCATGGGTGGTGTGGATCGCATCCCGGCTCCTCGCGTTCCTATTGAACTACCGTGGAATCGTACGCTTGGGTGTTGCAACTTAGGCCCCTCGGAGAGGTGGGTCGACCGGGGTTAGAGCCTATAGACGCCTACCCCAGCCAGGACGCAACCCTCCCCAATACCCAAAGATAAGGAAAGTTTGTCTGTGGCGCTCGCCTTATCTTTTCGCGATTGCTTGTTCCCGTCCTCGAGCATTTGGTTGCTGTAGTACTTGGGAGGGATCCACCCGTGACTCTATTGACTGGCTGGATGCTACTTCTCCTTGCTGATTGCTACTTTCTCCTCCTCTCCCAAAGTTTCAACCCTCGATGCGTGAGCTGATTGTCCCAGAGGGGGGAGAAAAAGGAAGAAGGGACAGAGAATAGAACTACGGTTTGAATCTATCCACCAGACGTCATATCAGAACGCCGACTTTCCTTTTCACTATTTGTTTCGCGTTATCCCCCACCTCCCCCCTCCCCCTTGTCTTACCCCGGATTTTTATTCTTGGTGTACAACGGAACAAACATTCCAGTGGTTGATACCCTTACTTCACCTTCTGCACGATTCTTGTCGACGGTGGTGCCCTAGTGTCATCCGGTCGGGGTTGTCAATTTAAAATATCTTCCCGCCCCTTCTTAATTTGCTTCAAACCCCCTTTTAAAACACCCACGCCATGGCGAACTCGGTCAGCGATGATGATCCACGATCGGAAAAGGGACATGGAATTCCCACAAACACGTCCGATGTCGAGACGGGTGGACAGGACACCTCGGTCACCGGAAAGCCGTGGATGTACAAGCCAATCAAACTCGGCCCCTGGACATTCCCGTGGTTCGCTTCCCCCGAAACCCAATTGATCCTGGTCTCCTTCGTTTGTTTCCTCTGCCCAGGAATGTTCAATGCCGTCAGTGGCCTGGGAGGCGCCGGTCAGCTCGACAAGACCGATGTGAACAACGCCAACACGGCCCTGTATAGCACCTTTGCCGTAGTGGGCTTTTTTGCCGGTTCCATTGCCAACCGCATCGGCCTCCGCATGACCCTCTCCATCGGCGGTTTCGGCTACTTTCTCTATGTGGCGGCGCTTCTGTCCTATAACCACAACAAAAATGACGGCTTTTTAATTTTTGCTGGTGCGCTCCTGGGTGTCTGCGGGGGTCTGTTGTGGTGTGCTCAGGGGGCGGTCATGATGAGTTACCCGACCGAGCAGGAAAAGGGGAAGTTCATCTCTGTCTTCTGGGTCATCTTCAACCTAGGCGGCGTGATTGGAAGTCTAGTCCCTCTTGGCCAGAATCTGCACTCCAACACCGGTACCGTCAATGACGGTACTTACATCGCCTTCTTGGTCCTCATGGCCATAGGGTTCGTCCTTGCCTGGGTCCTATCGGATTCCAAGTACATCAAGCGCAAAGATGGATCGCGTGTCATCGTCATGAAGAACCCCACCTGGAAGTCCGAGTTGCTGGGTCTTTACGAGACCTTGCGTTCCGACTACTACATCGTGCTGCTATTTCCGATGTTCCTGGCAAGCAACTGGTTCTATGCGTACCACTTCAACAGCGTCAATGGCGCTTACTTCGACATTCGCACACGCTCTCTGAACAGTCTTCTCTACTGGCTGATGCAAATGGTTGGAGCGCTGTTTTTCGGCCAAACTCTGGATCTGAAGTGGTTGTCGCGTCCCAATCGAGCCAAACTCAACCTCTTCCTTCTGCTTGCTATCACCATGGGCACCTGGGGTGGCGGGTATGCCTTCCAGAAGGGCTATACCCGCGAGACGGTTGAGGCCACGAAGGACTGGACCGACAGCGGTTACGTCGGACCCATGTTCCTCTACATATTCTACGGTTTCTACGACGCCGCGTTTCAGACTTGCACATACTGGTTAGTATCGACACCTCGGGTTTACTTCGCATACTAACACGCTCTTTACAAATAGGTTCATGGGATCCCTCAGCAACAACGGTCGCAAGCTAGCCAATTTCGCAGGTTTCTACAAAGGCATCCAGTCCGCCGGAGCGGCAGGAATGTGGCGGTACGTGCTAGACAATTACCACACAGTCTCGAGAGATGAGCAACTCGCTAACACTCTAATCCCACAGAATGGACGCCCAGGGCGCACCATTCATGACAGAGTTCGCCTCCTGCTGGGGCCTCCTCGTCGGCAGCCTCCTAATCGCATCCCCAGTCATCCTGTTCAAAATCAAAGACCACACAGACGTCGAAGACGATCTCAAATTCTCCGACGAGGCCCCACAGGACGTCATCGGGAGCGATATCGCCCTGGAGGATCAAGAACCTGCGGCGAAGAAGGACGAGAAACGCATATCCGTGACGCAGTGAATGTTTTATTCAACGACTTTGCTTGCTTTGCAATGAGTGTTCTCGCGTGCGGGACTTGACCCATATTTTCATTTCTATGTTCATCATCAAGAAAAGGAAGACTTGTACACTAGTGAAGGAAGGATGGGTGGGTATGTATGCATGCGAAAGTCCGTCCCTTTGTACATAATCCGATTTCACATAATCACGTGTTATGAATCTCTGGCCGTCTGAGACGGGCATGAGGTGGGAAGTTACGATTAATCAATACATAATGTTGCCAGTATTTCAATCATTAGCCACTGTAAATAAGTGACTTATATACATGTGACCGCGTAGCGGATTCCTTTATCTGTATTAGTAGTATATAGGACGGGACTTGGGATCGCTGAGTTTATGTAGAATGATTATTTTCTTTCTATTTATTTGCTTTGCCTTTTTGTCTGGGGCAATAAACACCTCAACGCATCTGTACATTAGCCAGCCATGTCATTACATTGACACTGCGCCGACGGCGTCATTCGCAATCCCAGGACTGATAATAAAAACGTCATAAACGGGGAAAAGGCTCAAACTCTAGCACTAGAAGTCGCCGGAGGCAGCGGCACAAACGACTCAGTGTGCGTGGCCCTCGCCGTCCCGTTCGTCTTATAGCCGCCCCAAATAGGGGTCGTACCCTTAGCAATATCCCACCCAAAGAGGGTCCGGTTAAACAGCTGCAGCGAAGCCGCAGGCTGGTAGTAGGGCACTTCATGACCCGCCTGATAGACACGGGTGAAGGAGAAGTTGCCGTACTCGCGGGTCTCGCCGAACTCGACGCCGTCGACGAGGAGGGGCGCGTAGCCTGCTTTGCGGAAGTCGGCGCTGTGGGTGTAGTTCATGGCGAGGGAGACGGCCTCACCGCCGAACCAGTTGCAGATGTAGTCTGCGTCGCCGTAGATGAGGGAGATGCGGACGGGGAGGCGGAGGAGCTCTTCGAGGTCGTCGATGAAGTTGGGCCAGACGAAGTCGCCGGTTTGTTGGAAGGCGTAGAAGACTTCGCTGCTGGATTGGGTGTAGTTGATGTTGACGCCGATGGCGTTCATGACGGTGTCTTTTTTGAGGTAGTCTTCGTAGTAGGGGGGTGGGGTTGGGTCCTGTGTGATGATCTTTGTTAGGAGATGTATGAGGTTAAATTGTCTGGGGGTTTGAAGCTTACGTCGGCTGGGTGGCGGATGTCGTATACACCCCGGCCACTGTATTGATAGAAGGGGCTCTCTGTTGACTTGGTCAGTCTTGTTCCTTTCTCTTCTTTTTGGTGTTTGTGTTCTGTGCTCCATATATATTGGGAATGGACGACTCACCAACATTATCCCTGCACATGTTGCCAGCCTCCGCGCAAATAGCAAAGTCCGCCAACGAAGTTCTGTTCGTCGCTTTACAAGCGGCCACTTGATCCTGGCATCCATTGTGCATTTCGTTCGCGAACTTCATGTAGTTATAGACGGTATCGTTCAACTTTCACATGTCAGTACTGTCTAGCGGTTTTTCTTTTGTAACCAAGACAAGGTAACTCACAGCCTTGATGCCGTAGGTATTCTTGTTCGCGAATTCCGGATAGTGAGGGGCCTGCGGATGTCAGTACCGAAGTAACAAGTATCTAGCTGGCCGAGGGGTCACACCTGGATGGCTTCGTCGATAATGCCGTTTATAATCCCCAAGGAGTTGAAATCGAGGTGGATGCCGTCCACAGTTCCCTTGGCGATCTTCTCATTTTGCTCCCGGAAATGGTTGAAGAACTGCTTCATTAGAGTTGGGTCCTGAATGGTCGGTTCGGAATCTGCTCACTGCTGGTCCATAGTGCCTGAAGAAGCATAGTTGTCAGCAGTGGTCATTGACGCTGTTATAATGTTGGACACTCACCCTCCATAGCTTTCCGTCCACAGACTGAACTCCTTGGACTTGATCTTGGAGTCCAACTGCGGCAAGCCGCCCAGGAAGCCCTGCAGTACTTCCCATGTGGCATGGGCCGCGAGATCGGTTGTAGCTATCGCTCGTTAGGGCCCTGACTTCAATCGCATATTCTCAACGGTTGAAGTAATTACAAATCTTCGTGGCATTGATAATCGGATAGCGGCCCTTGATTCCATCGAACTTCTCGTTCTCAACGACACCGGTAAACGGGTTCAAGGATCCAGCCTCTGTGTCACTATACGAAAAGCCTACAGCGCTTCGTTAGTACGTTTGAAATAAACAGGGACTGGAATACTAACCAACGCCTACTGGCTGCGACAAAAAGAGCATGTTGGAGACTTCGCTCCACGAGTGGGGATTGACATAGGACTCAATCTTCTCATTAATCTGGCAGGGACCCAGCTCTGAGATCAAAAGTCAGTATCTCTCAGTCGCAAAGCGGCGGCTATCGCGACACCTACCTTGGAATAACCCGATCAACGAGTCACTCCCCGGACCACCATTCAACCACAGCGTGATGGGCGCATTTTCCGGATCATGGCGAGCTTCAAAGAACCAAAAGAAAGTATGCGAATCAGGAGACAGATCGACGTATCCCGAGTACGATTTAACGCCCGGCGTGGTCTCGCAGACACCGTCTTTGCCCGGTTCCTTGTATCGAATCGTGACATTGTTAGGCGTCTGGATCGACTTTACCCCGGTAGGATCTTCAGGCAACTGGCGTCCCAAGAGCGACGACGGTCTACCAGTTGCAGCGGCCCAGCCGCCGGCGGCCAATGGCAGCAGCGAGAGTAACTGAGAAGCGCGCATGGCTTCAGGGGACAGTAAGCAGCGAAGTTCTGCTTTCTTACTCTCGTGTTAAGCAAAGACCCACTGGTTCCAAACCAGGGGCAAGAGAGGCCTTTATACCTACTCAATTCTTTGTCCTATGATGTATCGCACACCCAGCCGACGCTAGGTGGGGAAACACCTTACATGGGCAATTCTTCGACGGCACGCATGCCGACGGATCTTTGCGCAGGTGGTCGCACGATAACAAGGTAACATTGGCGCAATCACAATCCCTGACCTGAGGGGTTGTCGAGGTCCGGGCCCCAACGACGATGATCCATCCCTATCGTGTGCCATGGAGTCTTACTCAGTGCGAAGGTTAGCACTATAAGTGTGGGGGAGACTAGTGCGTCGAACGCATCAGCACCCTGTCTGCCGGGATAGTGTCTGATTCTGATCAAATCAGATGGCCGGACAGCGTTGGTATATTGCGCACCGCTATTGTTAGGCGGGCCACTTGGTAGGGGGTAGCACGGGCGGAGATTATTAGCATTTTGACTCAGGGATGAGGGTGAAAGTTTGATTTGGAACTGGACGGGCAACACAGATGTTGAATAGACCCGTAAACTATTTGATCGTGGAGAGTGATGGAACGGTTCCCCACATGCGGAGTTGTGTGTGGAGAGAAGAGAGAGGAGGAAAGTGAGGAGAAAGATGAGGACGAGATCATGTGTGAGACAGAGGAAGACAAGAGGGGAGAGAAGGAGGACCAGTCGACTCACGTTAAGCCAAGGCGTTTCCCCCCTGTCCAAAACAAACATCCACTTGCTTAGCTGTTTCTCTTAGTGTTTACTAGCAAGGCTATCCACTACATTTGTCCTCGTCTGTCCTCGTGCTGTCCTCGTGCTCGGTTATATTATGCAAACAAAGTACCGCCCCTCATCAATCAGCTTCCATGGCTTGGAGAGCAACGGTTAAGATGCTTGATTGACCTTCGCCTAGCTGGAAAGGAAAAGCCTCAGAAGTCACCCAATGACTGTCGATATAGCAGCCTATTCCTCCTGTTGGCCATCTGAACCTATCGCAAACATCATCAACGATGGCAGAATTTGCTAAACTCTAGATCACAACGCTCGTGCTTCCATAGTAAGCGACCTACGAGCAGAGCCTTTCGAAAACAACCGCATCGACGTTGACGCTGGCTGTTCAACAACGCTGACTGCAGCTGCTGCAATCTCCTACAACCATCCAATCATTGATTGTCAGTTGCAGGTGACTAAAAGACGCCGCAGTGTGCGGTGTGCAAGTATTCTCTCTCTCTCTCTCTCTCTCTCAAAAGAAGGACCTGGCTCTGCCATTCCCGTCACCTTGCCATAGAATATACACACTCCATCCGTTTATCCATTTCTTCTATACCATTCCTCTCTCCTTTCAGGGTGATTACAGATGGGGGAGAAAGTCATATATAAAGTCGTTCATATTCTTCATCTCATGATTGATTCCTTTTTTTGGTGATACCACCATACCATCTATATACATGACCGCCGTTGCCCGTTAACTAACTATCCAGTTAGATATTAACAGAGAATAGGCCATCCCAGAAAATAACAACACAAAAAAATGTACAAAACAAAGCAAAGTCATAAAAGATTCCTAATTCATGCCCTTGCCCTTTTTTTCTTTTCGCCATCCAAATGGATTCGCGATTGCTGTTTGCAATGGAATAAAGTGAGATGAAAATGAAAAATAAAAAAATAGAAAAAAAGTATAACAGTCGCCTGGTAATACAATATGATATAATGTAGTGTCACAAGAAATGTAGAAAAAAAAAAAAAAAAAAAGAAGATGGCATGAAAATCGTGGCTTTCAGGGCGTTACAGGTTGAGTCCCAGATCGGTGTCCAGGTCGGTGGTGAGGCCGTTCGCTTCAGGCTGCGGTGGGGCTTCGCTGGCGACGCCTAATGTCGACGCCGGGCGGTCACCTCCCAATGGCGTCTTGTGGTTGGTCTCCGGGTCGAAGCCCATCATGCCGGGGACGTTGTTCATAGATGCCAGTCCGAACCCGTTCAATCCCTTGGTGTTGGGGTTGTTGCCCTGGTGGTCGTCGGCCGAGAAGAAGTCGGCGCCAGCGTCGTCGAAGTTGATCAACGCGTCGAAGTCGTTCTGCGTTACCTCCGCGTCGTTGGCCAGGTCCATGAGTTCGCTGAGGCTCAGTTCGGAGTCCAGGTTGGGGATGCTCAGGGCGTCTTGGTGGTAGCCGTGGTTGAGGTTGTTGGTGCTTCCGTTTTCGCTGCCGTCGGACGGGGGCGGTGTGGAGGCGAACAAGGCCGCAGGGCCATCTTCCGCGAGGCGGCCGGCAACACCGGTACCCGTGGGTTTGGGATAGGTGAGGTCCGGGATCTTCTGGGCGAGGGAGTCGGGGGGTGGGGTGAGGGTGCTGAGGCGCGACCGCGGATCGGGGTGGTGGCTCGCGCGCGCCTGCATATCCTGGGGCGAGACGGTGAGTTGGATGCCGGCCTTGCGGATGGCAGCCTCCAGGAAAGAGGTGGCAAAGTCGGCGGAGGCGTAGATTTCGCGCAGGCGCTGGAGGATGCGCATGCACTGGTAGAAGCGCTGAAGGCTCGTCATGCGGATGTTGGGATCGCTGGATTTGATGTCGAGGAGGTGGATGATGACGGCGGGGAGAAGCACGGTGACGCCCGTGGTCGGGAAGTATCGGGTCAGGTCCAGTCGGTGGAGGTCCTGGGCGATGTTGGTGATCTCGACCGCGGCGAAGCGGACCTTGTTCCGGGAGATATCCTGCAGCTCCGTGTCCATCGAGGGGAACGGGATCGCCGGGAGCACCTGCGGACGGTGGAGCGCGCTGGACGTCGTCAAGTACACCATCTTGAGCAGGGCCCGGTGCGAGTGCAGGACTTCCTGCGCCTCGCTGAGTTTCGCGGGCGCGGCCGGCATATACCGGATTTCAGCAGGAAGATTGGCCAGCCAGTCTTCTAGCTCCTGGTCGCACCGGCGAACCTCGAACGTCTCCGCGGCCGACTTCTTGGGGACCAGCATCATGGTCGTCTCCATCGTACCGCCGAATTTGTGGCTCAAGACCGAATACTGGGCGGATAGGACGTGACTGACGCAGAGACACAGCTTCGCCTTCTCAATGAACATCAGCGCGAGCTCCTTCTGATGACTCGTACTCTGAAGAACCTCCGAATCGCCCACCATGCTCACGACCTCGGGCGAGAACGGTTGGAACTCGAAATCGTCCAGGGTCAGCATGGGGACGTCACAGTCGTCGTCCTTGACGCGCATGGGGCGGCGCATGCCCAGCGCGATCAGACGATCACGCGTGTAGGTGCTCCACCAGATGCGTTTCCACATGCGCTGGCGGCGGGCATCCATGCGCGAGTTGGCGGGGTCGCGGTGCAGGCCGATGGTATGGGCCAGGGACAAGCTGACGCCCATCCAGTGCCAGGTATCCTTCTGGTCGTCAGGGGTCTCGTACCAATAGGTCATCAGCAAGAGCGACTGGACGAGCGAAATGCGGTCGACTTCGTAGTCGAAGTCATACAGCAGGCGTGCGCGCTGGAAAAAGGCCTTGCGGGCCGATTTTCGGGAGCCGTACCCGGCGGCCTGGAGATGCCTCAGGTCGACAAACGCGGTCCCCGCAAACATGACCGCCTGAAAGAGGAGGAGACTCATTCGACGAATGCCATCATTCTGGGCTATCGTCTGTAGGAAATCCTCGAGGTCGAGCAGGGGCATGTACGTATGCACATAGTGGATGTAGGCCTTCAACAGCTCGTTGCGCAGTCCCACATCCGGCACCGTCAGAGCACCTTTCATGGCGAGGTAATCAATGTCTTCCTTTTGCAACCGCGGGGGGAGACCGCGGATATAATCGGGAAGGATGACGCCGCCCGATTGGGGATTGCCAAAGGACGGGTCAAGTAATTGCTGGATCTGCGAGGTGACATGGTGCAGCGGCATAGTGGCCGGAACAGCTGGGTTGGGCGCCATATGTCGGCGAAACCGATCGCTCGATGGGATCCTACTGGTCTGATTTTGATAGAGAAGATGAGGCATGTGTTGCCCTTGATCCAAGTCGACGGATCGCAGGGATGGAGATGCCGGGGTGAGATCTGGGAGACCATTGCATTCGCTGAGCCTTCTCAGAAGGTGAACGCTGCTGTCATCGGGGAGGTCGACGGGTGATTGGGAATGTTGATGTTGGCCCATATTGACGCCGTCCACTTCAACACGTGACTTCCTATACAATGGCACCCATGTTAGCCATCAAGATCTCACTTGCCTTTTTTTCTTTTTTTCTGATTGCATTGCGGTGGTAATGGAGGGCAAACGAACTTTCTTCTCTTGCTCTCCGTCACCACACATTCTACCTGATCCAGCCGGCAGTTCGTGCAGGGGGAGCCATTTTCGACCACATCACAGCGGACTTTCCGCGCGCGGCAACAACAGCACGCCTTGGACGCCCGCCGTTTTACAGGTCGGGAGTTGGCCGAGATGCCGGCTGTCGAGGCCTTGCGTTTCCCCTTCGCGTCGGTGTCTACCGAGTGGTTCGCAGACGGCGACGGTGGTGACGCCGTCGTTGGCGCAAGTGTAGTCATCGTTCAACGCGAATGTCCGTAGACCAAGCTCATGCGTGTGTGATTTGTGAAATCAAGGAGGCAGTTGATGTCGGAGTATATCGAGATCGCCTAGTTAAAGGGTGAGGGGGAAAAATATGATATAGATGAGGACCGTGGAAGGTAAGAGGAATATGAAGTTAAAAAGATGTAAGAGGAAGGATCCAAGAAAGTCAAGTCAAAGTGATGTGCTTGCGACAAGGAAGAGTGGAGATGTGTCTGGATTATAATTCGTGTTTAATGTGCAGATATCATGGAGCACCACGTTCTTTTTTTTTTTTTTTTTTGTGTCTGGTGAATGTCGTTGGTGGACGTGTGTCGTGAAATTCCTTTCCTTTTTATCTTTTGGTGTGCACCCTTGAGAATTCAAAATGTTCCTTAATTTTTTTTTAATATATTTTTTTAAAGAATGATTTTTTTATACCCCGTCCAAAGGACGAAAATCAAGGGCAGGTCTGGGGGCCGGGGGAGAACCAGTGTTTAAGTAGGTACTAGTACGTAGTCGGTCAAGGAACAGGAGTGAGGGAGGAGGTGTGGGCGTTGGGGATAATGATGAGCCCCCAGATCCACTCGCAAATGTTGCCTCCCCCAGACCAAGCAGAACCAACTCCGTTCAGGAAGTCCAGAAAATGATTCAATCAATCAAATAGCGATCAAAAGTCACAGGGGACGCCATACCGGGTCTGGAAGGGAGATTTCATTGGAAGAGTTGGAATGCCAGCCATGGGGAGGGAGTGGTTGACGCTAAACTGTGTTGGAGGATTAGTGGGGTATTATCTTATTCATTATTATATTATTTTTTGTTGTATTTTTCTTTCCTTTTGGTTTCTATTCTTTTGATTTTTTTTTAAGAAGATTCCAGGTAGATACATAGTGTTGATAAGGTACCCCGGCCGATTTGGGTTCTCCTCGCTCTAGGACGATTGAGGTTAGAATGCATCGAGATCCATGATACAGAAGACTGAGGGATAATAGGTATAATCCTCCGTCCATGCTAAGGTCCAAGTTCGGCGGGTCGGCAACGGACCAAACTGAACCAGTTGCAGACCGCGGTTTACAATACCGACTCCACGTGCCGGGTCCAGAGAGTAATACTGATAGGTTTTTGGTCTCTCTTTAGATCCACTCTGGATTCTGTGGGAAGATAATAACAGTGATATAATAACAAGAATCATGGACGGCCCCACTCCATCCACGGGGTAGTTTAGTCCAGTTAGTCACAGGGACGGCGTTCAACTATCTCGGCCCGGTCACGTTACTGGCACGCCGCCACTAACCCTCTCTATCCAATGAGATATGGTGTCGTCGTGTACCTTTTAACCTGTTTGGGAATAATGTATAATCTTAGTCAGGAAATGATAGAATGGAATCCTGCAGTTGACTGTGCTGTGGAGGAAAACCTTCATTTGCGTCATTTAAGGAAAGACCCGTCCACCCTAGTGTAGTCAGTTCCAGGTTGAGATTTCCCATGGGGGTTTAGTGGGTGGGTGGATGGAAGTTTTCACCTGGAGAATTTTGGGTGTCTGTTCTTTTTAATTCCCCTTTCCTTTTTCTCAAATATTATTGAAAAAAACTAATATAATATAATCAGTACACCATAAATATTGTCAATTGATAAATTGAAAATGAAAAATATGACGATTCAGTGAAAGCGGTGGCTAATGTGGCTACTCGTTCAACAGGTTCAACATTGATCGACCTGGCTTGCCATAACTCCCGGGGTTGACAATCAACGGGGAAAGAGCTTACTCATCTGCCTGCATGAACCGAGGTCCGCAGTCCATACTAATACTACACCTACCGAGTGTCCTAAGAAAGGTACGAACATCGATCAGGATGAACCCTGTCCTTCCAGTTTATAGTACAGTCATCTTTATGATTACTTTCGATATCTGTGGTTATGTATTACTTCTAGAAATAAAGCGGCTGGTCGTGGATAATAACGGACCATCCAGTAGCGCCATCAACTAGAGCGGAAGAGGCAACCAGGTAGGCAGAGAATCCGAACGATCGTCATGACCGCCAGTTCAAATTCCTGCTTCCTGAGTCCTTCTTTTTCAAGACTAATCAGAATAATAACAGACCGGCAACCCGTTAGACCTGAAGACTACGAGTACGGGCTGCGAATTGACCGACTAACTGACATGGTCGGACCAGAGCGGTGCGGATGGGCCAGAAGATCCATAAGTATCTTCCAATTAATCCGCTACATCTGGACCATCACTGTCCTTGTGACCGATTGATTTTTCCCATCTTTTTTTATTTTGATCATTGATGGAGTCCACAGTCAAGACAGTAGTGCGTGGAATCGAAAGCAGATCGATTTCTTTCCATCGTGATCCATAGCGGCTTGCTGCGGAAGCCCTGGCTTCCCCGCGGCTCATCGGCAGGAGAGCGAGAGTCATTTTTTTCGCCGACGGCATCGGACCGCCTGCACCCGCTTCCACTTCCACTTCCACTCCGTCCTTGTTGGTTTGTTTATGTCAAACCGCCACAGTAGCCTCCCCCGGGTTATTTTTCTTTTGGAAGCTCAGGAGGAAATGGTGTGGATCGGTGGAGTTTTTACTCTTTATAATTTAGCGATGGATGATAATTAATAGTATTCAGCTTTTCTGATCATCTCTTTATAATTTAGCGATGGATGATAATTAATTAGTATTCAGCTTTTTTAATCATCGTGATCATCGCATCACACAAACATTGTATGCAAATATTTATGCTGGATGCATTAGATATGAATTGAAGAATAATCAATAAATACACCAATACATAATCAAATAATGATCAAGTCAAGAAATCAAGAATCCGTCCATGTGAGCATTCCATCCAGACAACCTTGCATACTAAAAAGTGCCGACAACGGAAGAACTTCCCCAATCCAGCAGCTCAGCGCAGACCCCAAAGCATCGGGATAGCTGGCCAGTGCACACGACACCCGATCAACCCAATAAGACGACCGGGAAGTAAAAGGGAGCGGTCCAGATTCGTACCTCAGGCTAGCTCGTGATACTGGCGAAAACCGGAGGATTTGAAACTTTGAAGATCGTCCCCAACATCAAATTAAAATTAAATCAGAACCAGACCACAGAAAATGTATCCGTAGAAAATTGAATGCTACCCCGTAAATTACTCAATAGTGCTGGTGGACATGCAAGATGTCGTCATGGGTCCTGGACTTGGATCTTTTCTGCTGTGGTCCACTCCGGTATCGGAGTAACTTCCTTGTGTTGGATATCACCAGGGAGAATAATCAAACAATCAACAATGGAAGGAAAGCAATTGAAAGATAGATAATCAAAAGTAAACCACTCAATCAATCAATCACTCAATCAACCAATGCAAAAAATGAACAAACCCTCCAAAGGAAACCATGACAAACAGCACCCAACCCACCAAGCAGAACCTGCAAACAAGATCCAATCAGGACCGTAAAGACGGATACTGCAGTGGGCCTAGCTTGGCACATCCAGACTGTCGTACGTACATAATAGACCCAGTCCAGATGGATTCTTTTCCCACGATATTATATCCTCTCAATAAGAGGGATTTGAGTCAGGTTAGTAGCAATTCCATTTCCCACCCCCGAAAATGCCTCCCCGGACGGCCCCGGATCGATCCTGGGTTTCTTGGCGTTGAGCCTGGACTTGACTTTACTGTCTCTGTCTCTGGACGGAATGCGGAGTACGGGGTATACGAGTCAATCAATTAGTCAATGGGTTTGTGTCTGTCGTATTGTATCTGGGGCAGCATAGGTTAGAGAACAGATAGCTATACTACCTAGTACCTACTACCAGGAGTACTCAGATACCTCAACAGATACAGACTATACAACCAGTCTCAAGTCCAAGTACTATACAACTACAATAATACATCCCCCTAAGAAACCAAGACAAAAAGGCAGGTCCACGCATTATCACTAGCAGCCAGCATGACTAGCCGCTGAATTGATTACCATTTTACCACCATCAATCAATAAACCCCGCAAGATCCCAGATCCTTCCCACTGCCGGACATCTGAGCGTGCGGGGGAGGGAAGAGGGGGGCAGCACGGAGACTACGGTCCGATGTCAAGGAGGCTGCCCATCGGCGGTAACCCGATCTTTTATTTTCCCCCCCTTGCCCCTCCTCTCCTCCTTGTTAGGTCATGTTGAAGACAAGACAAGGACAGAAATGGAAATAGATCGGTTACTTTTCTCGCACGGTTGTTGTGTGGCTGGCCAATACGGGGTGGTTGGTTTCTCATACGTTTATGTTTATGTATTAGTATCCACTGATACCAGGAGAGGAAAGTTGAAGAGCAATGTTCTGGAGAATGATAGGATGAATCACGGTTGCAGGATATCTTAATAGAATAATGGATGGAATGGCGGTTTGGTATACCGTCCTCCTGAACAAAACAATATGAAAAAAACAAGAGTAAAATATAACGTAGACCGTCAAGAAGAAAACGCCATGGGAACATGAAAACATCAAATCATCACAAAACGTTCATCGTCGAATCCTCTCCCTCAAGCCCCACGTCCCATGCGCTCGATCGACCCCATAATGCCCGCCCGTCCCGGCGTAAACACCGCAATCCCCGACTTGCCGCCGCTATTCCCACGGGCGTGTCGGTTGCCCGGGGTGGGGATCTTGTTCGGCACCCTCTTCTCCCCTCCCGGGGTGACTCCCGTGCTGGGGAGTCGGATCCCGCTGGGTCCCCCGCGGCTGACACTGACACTCCGTCGAGGCGCCTCCACGGCAGGTTCGCTCTCGGCGGGCTCGGGGGATTCGACCTCGCGCGAGGGAGGAGGGGATTGGGTCTCGCTCGGGGCGGGAGGTTGCTGTTGCTGCGCTTGGATCAAGAGCCATTCGTCCACGGCTGCCACCAGTTCGCCCTTCTCCGCCCGCTCCATCTTCAACTCCATGCGCACCCGCTCCCCGTCGTCCTTGAGCGCTGCCATTTCTTGCTGGAGTCCCTTGATCTGCGCCTCGAGCACTCGCTTGTCAGCCTCGTGCTCGTCCTTCTCGTGGACAAGCAAGCTGGAGTCGGGTCGCGCAGCCTCGGACATCGCGTGATCGCGCTCGACCTTCAAGCGCTCATTTTCTTCCGTGGCAGTCTTGAACTTCTTCTCCGCATCGCGCACCCGCTTCTCCCAGCGTGCCTCGTAGCTCTTCTTCAAGGCGGCAACCTTGGTCTCGTGTTTGCTCTTGTACAGCGTGTGGAGCTCCCGGGCCACCTTTTCGACAGCATCCTGCACCTCGTTGGCAGTCTCCTCCGCGGTTCGGCTGCGTTCAGAGCTGCCCACATCGCTGGGTGCGGATCTGCGGGCGGCAGTCAGCTGCGTCTCAATCTCAACCACTCGGCTCTCGAGCTGGTCTCTGCTCTTCTCCGCTTCTTCCACCCTCTGGAGCAGTCTCTCCTTCTCTTGTTCGCCCTCGACGATCTCTGCCCGGACGGTCCGGAGAACGTCCTCCATCTCTTGGCCCCGTCGCTGCCACTCAGCCTGGTCAATCTCTAGCGCCTCCTTGCGGGCAGCTTCGTTGCGAACTTCTTCCAAAGCTTCGCCGACGCGTCGTTCGGCATCGGCAATGGCCTGCTTCAGGCTGGCTACCTCTGCTTCCTTGCCGCTGAGGGTGGCCTTGAGGGACGAAATCTCGGACATGAACCCCGACTTCAGGGACTCCAACTCGCGAGGCGTCACCGTCGGAATCGATCGGGGCGTCGGGGCGGCGGGAATGTCAAAGTCGAGCAACGAGATCTTGGCAGGGGACCGGAGTGACTCGCGGACGGTCCGCAATGGTGACCTCCGCGACGGGGAATACCGTTCTTTCTGAACGCTATACCGCCTACGCGGGAATAAATCGTGCTGATCTGCGAGGTCAAGTAGATTTGGGGTCCCACTTCCCCGTTCAAGATCTCTCGGCTCTCTCTTTCTGGGGGTGGGCGAGGCAGCAGGGGAGCTGAAATCGAGGAGAGTGCTTTTTCGTGGCGAATTCCTCGGCGGAGTAGAACACTTAAAGTCGTCGACTTTGCTAGGACTCTTAGGGAGAGGACGTGCACCTTTGATGGGCGAGTTTCTCTTCAAGTCCGCAAAACAAGTCATGTCAACATTTGGAACGGCGGAAAAGGTGCTGAGATGGGTGTCTTCCATAGCGTCATACGAGTCGTCCATTGTGGTATCTGGAGCGTCGTCTCTTTCCTGTAGGTCGGTGTTTCCCCTTTCCCCGGAGGCTTCGTCATGATCCCCCTGGAGCACGGAGCTCATCCCTTCATTAAGCTTCTCTTCCAAGACACTGCTCCCGATATCCTTCCTACCCATGTTGAAGTCCTGCCCATTGGCAGCCCTAGACTCCTCATCGGCAAAAACACTGATCTCAGAGTCATCCTTTCCCTTCTTATGGCGATCATCCGTATCCTCATCCACCCCTACATCCCCCGGCAAGATTTCATAAGAGCGCTTCCTCGGCGTCGCAGAGAGTTCAGTAGTAGCGGCCGACAGCTGACGGTTCCGAAGAGGCTGAAAGTCGCTCACTCGCTCAGGGGCATCGTACATAGAGGGGGAGCTCGACGTGATGTGCGCAGACTCGTCCATGTGCTCTCGGTCGGCTCCGGACTCATACGTAGCGTCGTAGCTCATTTGATCGTTCGCGTTGGTGTAATCGTCAACCGCCTTCTTCGGACTCGAGAAGGTACCATTTTCATCTTCGTAGTTCCCAGACTTCTCCACACCCAGGTCGCTGACACGCGGCGATTGCGTCCGCGAGTTCTGGCGCGAAGACGCCAAAGGAGAGAGAACCGTTGGCATGGCCAGGACGGTGCAGACCAGAAAATATCAATTCCAACAATCAATCTCAATCAGTAAATTCACTTTGTAACAGAAGAAAACCAGGGGAAATGCGAGAAGTCCCGGTGTGATATGGCCCAGCAAACGTTGATGGTGATTATTTTGGCCTGTTGCCCGGATGGACCTTGGATGTAAACAAAGCTAAACCATTCTCGGTATCGCTTGCTGTCCGACAGGGCGGCGGAGAGTGGCAAATTTGTGGTTTCTGCAACGCTTGGCTCACCGCTTTGCTTACCGCGGATATTGTGCCTGGGGCATTGATCTGGTTACTGGGCTATAGTTATTCACTTGCATACGTCCTTGCTTCTTCTTCTGTTGGGATATCAGTCAATTTAAGTCCTTCCAGAGTTCTGGTCAGCATTTTGGTGCAGTAGCTGTCATCTTCTAATGGCCATCCTACATCGCCGCTACCGGCATCTCCTATCAGGATCTATAATTATATACATCCGCCTCGAAAACCAGCATTGACACCAGAAGAGTCACATAACTAGCGCAAATCTTGTTTAAGGCATTGATCAACTATACGCTTGGCGTATCTTAATCATGACCATCACCGCTGTGTCATAACACGGAAGTTCGACAGAGTTGAAGCGGGCAAAGACGACGATGAAAGGCTTTGGGGAACGAACCATTTGCCAATTTCAACGCTCTAGAAGTGGCACACATAATCCCACATTCCCTCGTGACGGCCGAATCCGGGTTAGAGTTAGTATGTGACTCCATAGAGTGAACAAGTGGTTAATCTTATCTAAAAGGCCGCGTTGTGTTCTCTAGATATATTCGATCCCGACATACGACCTCTCGTCGCAGGGCCAGAAATTGATCGATAGTCCTTACAATGCGTTGACGCTAACACAAGGTCAACATCAAGCGTTCGGGGCTTTGAGATATATTCAGAGAGAAGGACCCTGTCATTCCGCACGTATTCAAGGACCCTCCGAGATATAGATGAAATCTGCGTCTCCGCAGATGGATCTACAGACCTAGGACGTTTTGTAAGACGACTGGCCACTGATTTGAAACGGTTAGCTGTTTATAGCCTGATTGCTTTTGTATGAACGCAGCGAATGCTTCCGCAAGCATGTATCAATATCCTATGGATTATCTGTGACTGGACCAGGGGTACTGTCTGGTCTTTGAAGTATTGAAATTAGGATACTTGGCCAACCCAGTTATTTCTCAAGACCGCTACGCCAGAACGTTGACCAACGATTGGTATAGGGCTTCACCTGACTGATATACTCAACATTATTTACTAGTATTGAAACTTTGGTCAATGATACAGAGACTAAAAAACCCCGTGATCTATATAACACATACGATTCAGGAAGATCACTGAATAGATATCATGTCTATTATCTAATACTCATGCTATTTTCACCTTATCACTTATCCTATTACCCACTGCGCCAATGAACTGCGGAACGCTCCAATTTATATGAACATGGAAATTCTTCTTTTTTTCTGAAGATGCACCCCTGGACCTTCCATAGGTACTAGTATGAATGCACCATCCTGTCCCCATTTTGGGCAAAACCGTGATTGGCATCGGTATCAGCGTCCGTTACAAGGATATGAACAGTCTCTTTGGGGAGTGCCTGAGATTCACCCCCAATAGAGTGATAGCGCACAGCCGGCTGCACCGTGACGGAAGCATGTCTCTTTTCATGCAGAAACCACAGCTGAGCGGCTCCGAGAACGGCGATAAATGCGCTCCCCCACCAGGCAAGCGCGGTGAGCCCCATCTCTGCACCAAGGCTGTACAGATACCCGGCGACGGGAGGAGCAAGGGTGCGGGACGCAGCCCCGGCAGATGCGGAAAGGCCGTTGATCTTACCCAGGACCGAGTCGGAGGGGCTCGCTTGCTTGATCAAAATCAATAGGACGGGGTACTCGATGATGGAAAGGATGTTGCGGGTGCCCAGGCAGAGGTAGATCCCCAGAAACAAGCAGGAATTGGGAAGCAAGATGAGGAACGGCACCATGAGGTAGGTCAGGGGTTGCAAGGCCGTCACGGCTACAAATAGCTTCCAAATTCCTAAGTATTCTGCTAGGACGGGGAAGATGACAGCTTGAATGACGAGGGCGATGATGCCGTCACTCGACATGATCAGGCCGACGGTTCGGGTCGACAGACCGACTCCGCCAGCGAAACTGGAGTTATCCTTCACATGTTTGTCCTGGAGGAAGATGGGGAAAAGATGATCGAAGGTCATGGAATGGTATGTGAAGATTGCTAACGCAACGATGAGCATGGTAACCCTCGTGGTAAACAGAGCTGGTTTCGGCGCAACCGATTCCGATTTTGACCCATCGGTATGCACCGTCCAGTTGATGTCTTCCTGGAGGTGGACCTGATTGAAGGTGCCGTAGGATTCGGCTCGCAAGTCTGCGCCTGCGTTGGCGGTAGCACCTGCAGTTGCTAGAAGGGGATGTTCCGGTGATGTGTTGGTGTTGTGGTGTTCCTCGGTTACACTCCACGGCTGCATATCAGGATGGGTTTCTTGAAGGAAGAAACAACTGATGATAATGCTAAATAGGAGTAAGATGGAACAAACCAGGTTCGGTAGAAGGTAAGGGAACCTGCCGAAAAGACCAGTGGGGGAGAATACGGAGGGAAAGCCTTCGGTGGGCTTTGCGAGTAATCCTCCAATCGCTGTATAGCAAACAAAGCAGTCAATATCTGAGTGATTTCCTTGTCAAGGCGCATTATTGAAAACGTACCTGGCCCGATAATCGTACCGATTGACCAGACAAATGGCATGATAGCATAAGCACGGGCTATATCGCTCGATAGTCAGTACAAACTCTGACCCTCCAAAAACGACCAAGGAGGGGTTACTCACGTTCATGTTCCGGCTTCTTGACCAATTCTCCAACCATAGTTTGAATGACACCAATGTTTCCGTTCAAGAAACCCCCCAAAGCGCGGCCGGCAAGTGCAACCCAGAAGTTGGAAGCCAACCCAACGACCAGCAGGGATAGAATGGTACCAAAGCAACCAGACAGGAGAACAGGCTTGCGACCGACTCGGTCAGACAAGCTTCCCCAAAACATCCCGGTGAGTGCTTCAGCAAGCGAAAAGGCAGAGACGAGGATCCCAGCATAGAACGAGGCATCAGCGCCATCCGCAACGTTCATGTCCTTGACCATCACCCACGAATATGGGAAGATGGAGGTCAAGGCGATGGGCTCCGCGACGCGACATATTGCTGATGGATATTAGCTAGGATCGATTAGCTATATATTGGGCATACGCACCTAGGAGCGACAGCTGGACCGTCGGAAACTTGTCGATGGAGGCAATTTCTCTTTCCTGAGGTGTTAATATCATCTTCTTTCGAACTATCAAGAATCTTACGGCAAGCCCCCCAAGACACTCAGAGTTCGCTGTTGAAACTTGTCGTATTGGATCTTGGAATTCTCCCGTTTGTCGATTCTCCGTTGGTATAGTTGTCGATACTTTGGCTGTTGTTCTGTTTCGTCCACTCCAGTGTCTCACGTATCCGCTATTTTCTAGACGCAAATCTCAGATCTAGGGATGGGTACGATCAAGCTGACAGCACAAGTGGTAGCAAACAAACAGCGGTGGCGACAGGTGAGGTTCAACCAGTGGCAAAGTCGATCCCGAACCAATTCCGGGGTTGCGATTAAGGTTTCGGAGACGGGCCCGCCATCGTACTTTATATCATCATCATCATTATATTGAACTGAATGAGGTAGTCATAGAAAAGGGCACAGTGTAACTGAAATGGCCATCAGAAGACACGGGAAAGTACCTTATGCACTGTCTTCCAGGTCAGCATCGTCCCTCAAGGCGATGCCTAGTATTTGATTGTCCCCCTCCTGCGACTCTCCATACCCTCCCCACAGACTGAGCAGCAAAAGGCCCATCGAGGCTCAAGATCGGTTACGCCGTTGTCGCACTTGTCCTGCGCGGGGGCCTACATGTGAGCAGTGCTCACACCTGTTTGCGACTCGGTGTAACTCTCTGGGCGACAGAGCAGTACAACAAAGGAACAGACACTTGACACACTCGTGCGAGGGCAGCATTCGGGTTACATCCATGGTTGAATGGGGGGAGTAAGCAATGGATCAAAGATAGGGCAGAGACCATGTTTGCCTTGAGTTGAGTCCGTACTACTAGGCCCCTGCTGGTGTATGATCTATTCCCATGTCTACCTATACATACCTAAGTATACTACTCATCCAAACTGGACTGAGAAAACAAGTCTCTGGGAGAATGTCATCTGGCCAGGATCGAGACAGAACAAGACAAGAACGTCCGCAGAAAGAGCTCTGATTGACCTAGTCAACCCACTGGGACGAGTCTACCGCAAGACAGATATGTACGGAGTTGAATTCATATTTGGTATCATAGGAAATACAAGCCAAATCCAAAACCTCACAACCATCCATTGTATAATATCCGAGAAATGCCAGCATCCCACAGACTTAACGACCCTAATTTCCAGAAACAGGAATATACGAGCGTCGCTCTCGTGCGGCCTATAACCCGTCAGTAAGCCTCCCCCAACGATCTCCAACACGCAATCAAAGCAGACACCTACCTCCAAATATTTCTCCACCCAGGGTTTGAACAGGGCCCAGCCCAAGAGGCCACCCGTGGCAAAGATGAAGATGAAAACAATGGCCTCATCCTTCTTGGAGTCTCTCTCTGCGCGAACATTACCGTTAGCACATCATGCGCCATATAAATGGGCAAAAGAAAGGTATCTCGTACGGAAGCAAGTCGTGACGACGTCGTCCTCTTTGGCGCCTTTGCATGTCGGCAGTTTATAGCTCAGGCAGAACTTCCGCGTGCAGTCATTGCAGCTCAGCGCGCGATACTTAGGCGCCCTATCCTCCAGCGCATTGTCAGGTTCGTCGGGAGAATCGCTGCGGCGGAGGAGAAACTCGGCGTCGCCTAGCGACCGGGATTTGGACTGATCGAGAGGGATAATGGTACTGTTGGAGAAACACGTGCATTTGCAGAAGGATGCGGGAGCTAGACAGCGAAAGCCCAATCATGTTAACGTTCTGGATGGGGACTCAATTCGCGTGTGTGATATATGCGACTGCTTGGGCGCGTGCGCCTTTGTCGACTTACAGGATGCGAGGGTCAGCGATGCGAAGCCAAGGAAGGCTAGCAGGAGGATGAAGAGACGGGAGGCGCTGTTAAATCGTGCCATGGTGGGATATGTGCGTTTCTGCCCCCTCACCGACACTTGGAATAAACTGTATTTGACTCAAGGGTGGATAGCTCGACCTGTCATCGCAAAACGCTCCGGGAAATGTGTTGATTGACGGACTCCGGACATGCAGCCCGTCGTCATGCGTGCTTGGCGTCATGTGACTGCCTCCGTCCGCATACATCGCCTGCCCTAATTTACGATGGAATTGTAGAGCTTCTTTTTCTATAACATTTTTTATTTCTGTAGACATGGATAGACTAGGGTCATGCGCATATTTGACCAAAAATGGTAGATGAATTTCCTCTATTAGCTAAATATACTGCTCCAAATGCCTGCTATATTTTCCGATGCGAAACCCCCCCAAGAGATAAAGCACCCCAACCCTAGGATCTCCCTTTCATTCCCTTGCTTCGGTTCTCTCGTTGTCTCTGTTCCTTGGCCGCGTCGCGTCGTCGCTTCTTCCAAGCCCGGTTGTTGTCACCGCGGTTCTCCCAGAACCATTTGGCGAAATCGGACTCCGCGTTTTCTGCGGCTCCGAATTTTCGAAGCGGCGTATTGACGACACCGGCCTCCGTTGCGCTGTCATCTTCCTCCTCCGAGTCCCACTTGATGTTTCGATTGACTAGGGCCGTGTCCGGGGTCGGCGCCGCGCTTCTCAAACCCCGGCTTTGCAGGTCCCTTTTCGTGAACGGTGTTTGGGGAGCTTCAGAAGCCTCAGCAGTGGCGGCGGGCTCTTTCATTTCCTCGTCGGAGTCGATATCATCCCCTTGTCCAAAGAAGCTGAATTGTGCAGTGGGCTCTGGTTCTGGCGCTTTCTCGGCAGTCTTGGGCGCTGGTCGCTTGAAGAGAGCCTCGAGCGGATGGACATCGCTCGCGCTTGGCTCATTCGTGGTTTCTGCCGGACGTTCGTCCGATTTCACTGATGTCTCGGAGTCCGATTCTGAAGAGCTGGAATCTGCCTCTGCCTCTGTGGGATTGGACTGCGCAGTCGGATGTTTGTTTCCTGCCGTAGAAGTCTTGGAAGTTTCCGATGCGCTGGAAGATACGCTGTCGTCGTCATCTTCCGAGTCGGAAGAGCTGTCATCAGATGAGGCGTCGCTTGAAGTCCAATCTTCCGATTCGCTCGTAGATTCCTTAGAGGCCTTGTTCTTCTTTACTTTGGCTTGAGCACGCTTGAGCGATGGCCGCTTCTCCTTCGCTCCTGGCAACTGCCCGGGTTTGTGGTCTTTGGTCCGGACGCGCTCACTGGGTTTCTCTTTGACATTGTCAGACGCATCGACCCAGCCTTTCCCTTCCTCGAATCGAGAGACAGGCGCGACATCCTCGCCTGCGGCACGGAGAAAGCTAGGGTATGTCACGGTGTTTTCAAACTCGTGGACGGTAGTTTGTAAAGGGTCCTTGTTCTTCTTCTTTTTGGACGATTTGTCCTTCTTTTCACCGTTGGAGACGCGGTTTGGAGGAAGCTTGGCCTGGAACAGACACTCGGACTTCTCGCTATATTTCGACTTGGCCTGCAATTTGGCCTTCTTCTCACCCTTCTCCTTCTTCCTCTTTTCCTCTGTCCGGCGTTTCTCCTTGGCACCCGTCGACTCGGTCCAACTTCTCTTTACGTGCCGATCCGCCGGAAGCTCGTACCCCTCCACCACATTCTCTGTCGCCTTCCGTTTCTTGGACTTCTTGTCGGCCTTCTTGTCGGACTTCTTGTCAGACTTGGGCGTGGGCTCCGCAGCTTCATCATCGTCCTCATCCCTGCGCCGTTTAGACGGCCGGGCCGCCTCCACCTTGAACTTCTTGCCCTTGAGGATCGACCCGTTGAGCTTCTTCTTGATCTTGTCGGCCTCCATCGCAGGCAGGCTCACGTAACCGTAGCTGTTTTCGGGAAAGGTCGCGATTGAGTGGAAGGATATCTCGGACGCCAGAGGTCGAATTGAAGCGGGGAGAACGGACGGGAGGATAGAGGGATCAAAGGGGGTGATGTGGAGGCGTTTGATTTCCGACGATTCGGTAGTCGTTTCCTGCATCAGGATTGATGTGGAATCTAGATGATGTGTCCACGGGGGTCGTTGACAAACTTGATAGCCAAGGGAGGTGCGTATTTTCAACAATAAATATAGCGACGTCTCTTCAATGACTAAATCACGGAATGACTCCCAATACCCAGAAATCACCAAGCAGCAGCAAGGAACCAGATCCGATCATGGCGTCTCAATAATTTTGCATGATTTTCCTGTGTCTAACCTATTCGGGACATCTATGGCGCAGCACTGATAGCGTTATCAATCAGCCACATCAGATACACCAGCCACACTACACTGACTAATCAAAATGATTAATCTCCACGTGACTATCGGCGAACCTCGGCACCCGCCAGTCTTCCCGATCGGCTTTAGGGCGCCGAAACCCCACGTTTTTGGAGGTTGGCGCTTGTGAACATCGTCCTCTCCTCTTCTTCCCTCCTTCTCATTCCTGATTCATGTTCTGTTGTTGCCTTCTTATGATAGATAGGTATTACGCTTTTATGATATAACGATCCGCCATCCCTTCTCTTGGTTTTACAACATGTCGTTCCTTGGTGGCGCTGAGTGCTCGACCGCGGGCAACCCGTTGACTCAGTTTACAAAGCATGTGCAGGATGATAAGTCGCTGCAACGGGACCGGCTCGTCGGACGGGGTCCGGGGGGCATGCAGGAGAGCATGCGGTCTAGGGGTATGATGGGTGGTCAAGATCCGGTAAGTTATGTGCGGAGTTAGGCTTCCGGCTTTGGCTTGATAGAAAAGGAATATCTGGGGCTAACCAGTTGACTTCTGTGACTTGATGGTGTCGTCTGCAGATGATGGATGAATTCGCTCAACAACCGGGCCAAATCCCCGGTGCTGCCCCCCAGCCTTTTGCGATGGAGCACCTGAGACGGGAATTGGATCAGTTCCAGGCCACCCCCCCGCGGACGGGTTCCCCGGGCTGGGCGGCTGAGTTCGATGGTGGTGAACAGGCTCGTATGGAACACGCATTTGCCGGCCCCCAGGGTCCCATGATGAACAATGGGTCTGGTTTTACGCCGGCGGAGTTCGCTCGTTTCCAACAGCAGAGCCACGGGGGCATGCCGCAGCAGGAGTCCGCGACGCCGATGATGTCTGGCTACCAGCGTCCGATGGGTATGGGTGGTGGATACATGGGGATGGGTGGTATGGGTGGTATGGGTGGCATGGGTATGATGCGTCCTCAGTACGGCCCGATGGGCATGCAACAGCAGCCCGCGGAGGCCGCCACCCAGGACAAGGGCAAGGGCCGCATGGTCGAGCTAGACGACGAGAACTGGGAGGCACAGTTTGCTCAGATGGAGACAGCCGGGGACCAGAAACTGGATGACGCGGCCAACGCGGCGATGGAGGCGGAGCTGAACGATCTCGACAGGTCAGTCCCCATTTCCAGTACCGGTAACGCGCAAGATTACGGTGCCTTTGAGAACGCGTGGCAGAGAGCCGAAGCTGAAACGGCCACCAACAGGAAACTGGCCGAGGGCGAACCCGAATTCGAGATCAAGGACAATTTGCACATGGGCGATTTGGAAGAATGGGACGGCTTTGAGTCGCTCAACTCCCGCTTCCGAGACCCCCAGCTGGGCGACTACATGTTCGAGGAAGACAACGTCTTCCGGGGTGTGAACAACCCCTTCGAGGAGGGCGTCAAGATCATGCGTGATGGCGGCAACCTGTCCCTGGCGGCGTTGGCCTTCGAGGCGGCAGTCCAGAAGGACCCCCAGCACATCCAGGCCTGGACCATGCTGGGATCCGCGCAGGCACAGAACGAGAAGGAACTGCCCGCGATCCGGGCGCTAGAACAGGCACTGAAGGTCGACCCCAACAACATGGATGCGCTCATGGGGCTGGCCGTCTCCTACACGAACGAGGGCTACGACTCGACGGCGTACCGGACCCTGGAGCGGTGGCTCTCGATCAAGTATCCCCAGGTCATCAACCCCAAGGATCTGTCAAACGACGCCGACATGGGATTCACGGATCGACAGATCCTCCACGACCGGGTCACCGATCTCTTCATCCAAGCCGCGCAACTGTCGCCCTCAGGCGAGCACATGGACCCCGACGTCCAAGTCGGCCTGGGCGTCCTCTTCTACTGCGCCGAGGAATACGAAAAGGCTGTCGACTGTTTCTCCGCAGCGCTGGCGTCCACCGAATCCGGCACGGTGAACCAGCAAGAGCAGTTACACCTGCTGTGGAACCGCCTCGGAGCCACGCTGGCCAACTCAGGCCGCTCCGAGGAGGCGATCGAAGCCTACGAGCAGGCCCTGAACATCAACCCGAACTTTGTGCGGGCGCGCTACAACCTAGGCGTGTCGTGCATCAACATCGGCTGCTTCCCCGAGGCGGCGCAGCACCTCCTGGGGGCGCTGTCCATGCACCGGGTCGTCGAGCAGGAGGGACGCGAGCGCGCGCGGGAGATCGTCGGCGGCGACGGCGGCATCGACGACGAGCAGCTGGAGCGGATGCTCCACATCAGTCAGAACCAGAGCACGAATCTGTACGACACGCTGCGGCGGGTGTTCAGCCAGATGGGACGACGGGATCTAGCGGACCAGGTGGTCGCCGGCATGGATGTGAATGTGTTCCGAAAGGAGTTTGAATTTTAGATACTGAGATGACCGTCTTCGGTCGTCTTTTCGGATGTAATTATTTATTTTCGCAGTTTATTTTCGCAGTTGATCTGTTTGAATAGATACCATGGATGGGATGGATCAGAATGGCCGTGCATCCCTATATAATAGATGATAGGCTTGTATATGGATTTATTGTTACAAATCTACATTTTACAGTTCTACTTCTACATTCTTGTAGAATCAATTTCTAAATAATATCCATCTGCCTATGTTATTTACTAATATTTACTAAATCCGATTGCGTCAGTTCCCTCGGGAAAGCAACGATCTCTTCTCCTCATCCCGCATTCTCCGATTCCGCGACTCCACTTTGACCCCAACTTTCCACTTTCCATCTGCCTAATGAACCACATGCATCACCTCCCCCATCGATGATATCCTTCCATCATTTTTGATTATTATAATATCCGCAATCGCTCACAGTTATGCCTCCCACAACAGGTGCGAAACTCATCGCCCAGTCCCTGCGCGACCTCGGCGTCACCGTCATCTTCGGCATCGTCGGCATCCCCGTAGTGGAGATCGCCGAGGAGGCAATCAACCTCGGCATTCGATTCATTGCATTCCGCAACGAGCAAGCCTGCAGTTATGCGGCCAGCGTCTACGGATATATCACCGGCCGACCGGGTGTCTGTCTGGTAGTCGGAGGGCCAGGTGTTCTCCACGCGTTATCAGGAGTAAGTTCCCCGATCGGTGGGATTCCCACATTACTAACTGAGCATTGCTAACCGACGACGTATAGATTGGAAACTCCTCCGCAAACAACTTCCCGCTGCTGGTGCTGGCGGGCTCCGCGGAAACAACAGCCGTGACCAAGGGCGCGTTCCAGGAATTAGACGCGGTGTCGCTCCTGACGCCTCATACGAAGTTCGCCGTGCGGGCGACCTCGCTGGACTTCATTCCGGGGGCGGTCCAGAATGCGTACCGCACGTGCTGGTACGGTCGGCCGGGTCCGACCTTCGTCGACCTGCCGGCGGACATCATCCAGGGGAAGTCGTCCGCGGGATTCACCCTCCCTGCGCCCGAGACCATGTTAGTCCCGGCGCCGCCGAAGGCAGCTGGTGATCCGGCGCTGATCTGGAAAGCGGCGCAGCTGCTGCGGAGCGCTCGAGCGCCGCTGTTGATTCTCGGCAAAGGCGCGGCCTACGCGCAGGCGGAAGCTGGCATCCGTCAGCTGGTCGAGCAGACGCAGATCCCGTTCCTGCCGACCCCAATGGGCAAGGGCATCGTCCCGGATTCTCATCCTCTAAATACGTCCAGCGCGCGCAGCGCCGCTTTGAAGAACGCAGACGTCGTTCTCGTGCTAGGGGCGCGGCTCAACTGGATTCTCCATTTCGGCGAGGCGCCCAAGTGGTCCCCGAAAGCGAAGATCATTCAGGTGGACATCTGCGCCGAGGAGATCGGCCGCAACGCCGGAACGGCTGAGTTGGGCATCCTCGGAGACATCAACCTGGTGGTTGACCAGTTGACCAGCTCGCTGGCGAAATGGCGGTACGGCCCCTCGCCCGCCCCGGGCCATTTCCCAGCGGTTCTAGCCGAATCGGCCAAGAAGAACGAAGACAAGGCGCAGAAGGCGGCCCTCCGTCGGACACCGGCCAACACGCCCCTGACATATCAGCGGGCATACCACATCATCAAGACGACGATCAACGAGCTGACGCCGGCCGAAGAAGGCAACGTGGTGTACGTCTCGGAGGGCGCCAACACAATGGACATCTCGCGCTCGATCTTCCCGCTCGACCACCCCCGACAGCGCCTAGACGCAGGGACATATGCGACTATGGGCGTGGGAATGGGCTACGTGGTCGCCGCGCACGAAGCGTTCAACGCGACCCCCACAGCAGCGAACACCAAGCCAAAGAAGATCGTCGCGCTAGAAGGCGACAGCGCCTTCGGCTTCAGCGGAATGGAGATCGAGACGCTCGCGCGATACCGCATCCCAGCACTCATCTACGTAGTCAACAACTCAGGCATCTACCACGGGGACAGCACGTCCGAGGAAGCTTGGAAGACGCTGCAGGCCCAAACGACAGCCAACGATACCAGATCCGGTGATGGGGGAGACACAACCAAGGGCCTACGGTCAACCAGTCTGCTATACGAGACGCGCTACGAGATGTTGGCGACTATGTGCGGCGGCAAGGGCTACTTTGTGCGCAACGAGGAAGAGCTGGAGCAGGCGACGCGCGAGGGCTTCCTGAGCGATACTGTTACTGTGGTTAATTTGATTGTGGAGCCTGGGATTGGGAAGAAGATTGGGTTTGCGTGGCAGGGGGATAATAATGCGAAGGAGGGACAGGCTAAGCTGTGATTGTACCTTTCTCATCGGTGTAATTGAAGTATATATAGGTAGTATACATGTATCCATTCAACAGCTACATGTTGACCATGATAACCATATTCGAGTGCGTAAACTATTACCCTACCCTATAGTCTTCCAGTCTACTACGCATACCTACCTACCACATATGAAACCCAAAACTACAAGAGCAATTATTTATCAAACCACACTAGAATCTATCTCTCTGACTTGTGATGTTATGTTCGGTCTATAAGTATATATGCTACCTACTATGTATCCATCCATACCCTAGCTTGAGATCTCTAATGAAGTAGTCATGAAGACAGAGTAGGTACCTAGGTACCTGGGTACTTACCTATTTATGTATTTGATTTCCTTTGCCACTTCTCGGACATCCCTTTTCGTTCTACTGCTGAGACCTTGCTGCTTTTTGCCCACCGAGCATCATCTGGTCATTACATAGTCCTATCGAAACACAGTTGCTCATTAGAACTCTTGACCCCACAAAAAGCCGGCCTTATCAATCCAGCAAGAGACAAACCGATAGCGGGGCTACATTCGTGAGCTTTCCTATTCTGCACCTATGCCACCATATATTCACCGCAACCGCCCTCCATAAATTTGACGCACAATCATAGGGAACAACCCCACAACCAAAACCAAGCACCGTCGTGGTTGAACCGGGGGACATTGCCCCCGACTTTACATACCAGGATGCCATCAAGGACATCAAGATCAGCACGTTCCCGGGGTACCATCTGCCTCACGTGTGGCTCGCCGCCGACGGTCAGACGCGGAAGATCTCGTCGCTAGATCTCTGCGGCCGGGGCGCGTTCACACTCCTCACCGGCATCGGCGGAGCGGCGTGGATCAAGGCGGCCCAGGACTACTCCTCCGCAGACAAGGTACAGATTAGGGGCTACGCGGTGGGGGTGGGATGTGATTATATGGACTGCTACCGAGACTGGCAGCGGACACGAGGAGTCTCCGAGACCGGGGTAGTGTTGGTTCGGCCTGATCACTTTGTGGCCTGGAGGTGCCAGGAGTTGGTCGAAGATCCTGTCCAGAAAATACACTCGGTGATGCAGAGGATTCTGGGGCAATGATGCCCAGTGGGTTGTAACCAACTCCCTGACTCATTACGGAGTAGATGCAATGACTAGCCAGGCTTGATTGCTGGAGCCCGCTGCCCCATTTGGGCGGGTCTGACCTTATACTAATCATAACGTTCCTGACTTTGCATGGCAGATATGAGCGAGTGTGGGTTGCTGTAGTCAGCCCCAATGACAGTTAAGCCTTCAGACAAAAAATATCGCGAGAGAATGGTGACTAGAAATGGAGAGCAGCGTAATTCTTGGACGACGGTGGGTCCATGATATCCGCCGGGGCCAATCTCACGCTACTGCAGTAGATACCTCCACTTTTCTCAACAGCTCTCGGTATGATGAATAAACAGGTAAAGTAACCTTCGACCCAACGCCTGACTATTGGTTCGCGGTCAGAGATTGAGGTTATCCCATCGACAATGATTTCTAATCTTCGCGTAGCGACACTCAAGTACGGGTGGGTGTAGAGAGACATAAGTAGAACAGACGCCGTGCCCCCAGTATCATTTACTTCCCTGTGCAGTCAATAGTTTCTGATCACTCTGTACTATTCCTAATCTTTTACCCTGTTTATCACTGTCACGCCAAAGCGAGCACCTCTTGACTTCCCCCGACTCCATCACCACCCCACAGCCATGACGACCCCTATCAGCATTGATCCCAAGGATATTCAAGCATATTGGGCCAAATATCAAGGGGACAAGTATGTTGAGGGCTGGGCCTCCCTCTGGGACAAAGGTGATAATATGCCCTGGGATCGTGGCTTCCCCAACCCCGCGCTAGAAGACGCCCTGGTCCAGCGAGCTGGCACCATTGGCAGGCCCATCGCCCAGGAAGGTGAGAGGCGGAAGGCCCTGGTGCCCGGCTGTGGACGTGGAGTCGACGTGCTCTTACTCGCGAGCTTTGGGTATGATGCCTATGGCCTGGAGTGCAGCGCCGCGGCTGTCGAAGCGTGCAAGAAGGAGGAGAAGGAGAACCATAGTCGGTACCGCGTGCGAGATGAGAAAGTCGGGAAAGGGAAGGTTACTTTCGTCCAGGGGGATTTCTTTGATGATACCTGGTTGAAGGAAATTGGAGTCCCTCGAGATGGATTTGATGTCATCTATGATTACACGGTATGTATACTCTCACTGCCGCTGTTGGGCTCCATTCCGTCATTGCTATTATTTTCCTCTCCACCTGCACTCTGCGTCCTACAGAGGGACCTGCAAGATGCTTCACTCTGTCTGTGGAATTCGGATGTGCCATTTCCGACCCACCCTGGATCCTTCAGGTCTTTCTGGACTTCCTTTCTGACAACCATCTAGTTTTTCTGTGCTCTGAACCCAGAGCTCCGTCCCAAATGGGCTCTCCGACACACCGAGCTCCTTGCTCCCTCACCTGCAGGCCATCTGATCTGTCTGGAATCTCCTCGTCATAAGAACCCCTTGGCCCCCGGCCCTCCATTTGCCTCTCCCTCCGAGGCCTACATGGAGCATCTGAGCCACCCCGGTGAGAAAATCTCCTACAACGATAAGGGTCTTGTCGATGCGGACCCGTTGCGAGAGCCCAGAAAGGCGGGCCTGGAGAGAGTGGCGTTTTGGCAGCCAGAGCGCACGCACGCCGTGGGCAAGGATAAGAACGGGGTGATCCATGACAGAGTCTCTATTTGGCGTCGACGTGACTAGTAAATGTGCCTGCGCGTTTGTGTGACCCAAAAAGGGAGGAAATGTAGGGGATTTGGGAGTCCGGCCCTGGAATTCAAAGGCCAGCCCGTAGACGCTCAAGTGACAGTCGAAATGAAGGGTCGGGATGCAAAGGGCGCTTTTTTTTTAGAGTAATTTCGCGGACATAGGGAACATATACTGGGGAAGGATTTCCTCAACTCCACAGCGGGATCCTGCAAAGTAAGCGGATATCATATCTATTGTAGACAATTGATCTTTTTATACATAGTTCATGGTATTTCGCACACAGGGTTAAACGCCCAAGGATCATCAAGGGTTGCAAGGCGAATGGCATTCTCAACATCGCGCTTTCGGAACGCTGGTCCGCGACCGAGACAGATAGTGCAGAGGGAAAGATCTACGACAAGGTCAGTGAATGCACGGACAAGAAGACACAAAGAATCCATCGATCTTGGCATTACTCACATTGAATGAAGCTCGCTGCGTTGAGCTGCGGAGCTGAACTGAACCGGGGCCCAGAGAGGGGCGAGCTCGGGTCCTGAATACGAATCCCTCGCTGCTGTAGCAGCCATTGCACACCACTCGCGTCCATCCACTCATCAGCACCCGATTCATTGACAATTTGCCACGTTCGAGAGGAGACGGCGAGTCGTTCAGGCGAGTAGCTGTTCCTCCTTGAACTGAGAACATTTGTCCTCAACTCGATCGTGTCTCCTATTTGGTCGTGCATGACAGCGACGAATCCAGAGATCAAGCAGTTGCGCTCGTCGATGGGCAATCGTTTGCCGAAGATTGCTTTGACCCTGGGATCGTCTCCAGATAAGCTTGTTAATAGATAGTATCCAGTCTCGCAGCATTGTCGGACCAGAAGGTGTGAGAGTGTCCGGCACCCTTGCTTTAAGAGATTCTCGGGCGATACGATAGCCGGGAAATTCAAGGCGGGACTAGGGATGGATGGGAAGGGGATATGTGGAGACGACAAGGCTATTCCAAACGGTAGAATTGCTTGTTCTTGGAAGGGTGGCGTGGGGGTTAGTTGTGATAGTCCAGGCCTCTGAGCCGCGAGGTCCGACGAGGACTGGAAGGCATCGCCGATTATTGGCAATGAATCAAGTTGCGTTATGAATGGATTGTAATTTGAGGGTATATCTTGTGTATCGCTGACCGTGGGAGACGTCGATGGCGATACGTCCGCCGGGGCTACAGGTGCTTGTTCGGCCTCGTCGGAGCCCTTTTTTGCAAGCAACACGTATTGCCGTGTAATTTTTTGCAGAGCAGCTGTGACACGAGGCTGATTCTGGAGAGTCCCAGCCTCGAAAAGAAGATTACTGAAGGAAAGGAACGACTCGCTGAGCTCTTCGATGCCCGACTCGAGTTCCTGTACGCGAGATAGCAGATTGGCAATCGTGGTCTCTTTTCTCTTGCGATATGCCTGCTGCGCGACGCGAAGCTGCTTCCGACGTCTCTGGATTCCCTTTTGTCAGTTCCAACTGGCTCTGTACACAGTTGCTCGGGACGTGCCCACCTCGGGAGCTTGCTGATCGTCCGTCACATTTCGTGGCCGGCCTCTCTTGCGAGGAGCGGGTGCGTCAGTCATTGTTTTGACCATCGTGTATTGCTTTTGAGGTATTTTCTTTTCTTTATCTTGAAGACATGCGGTGATGTAATGAATAATCCGAGAACGCGAAAAGGACGTGACGGCGTGGCTTTACTCGTCAGGGTCGGGGGCATCAGATCAGGACTGTTGAATAATCGAAAAATGGGTGGGTCGCCACGATTGGCCCGAACTGCGCCCAAAGTTTATCCATCCATGATGGCTTTGAAATTGGCTGGAGTCGGGCTTCTCATGCTCCGTCCGAACGTCATGAACTCATCATCAAGACAGGAATATAAATCGAATCATCGACCTCAGCTTCTCCATCTACAATGCTCAATACCTTCATCCGCAGCGTACAGCGTACAGCCCTCGCAACATGTCTTCATCCACTCAGCCGATGCCAGTAGTTGCCTGCGGCAAAATCCCCGCGATGGGGAAATCAATCTCCCAGCACCTGCTGCCGGAATATGAAGGTTCTTGATATACATTCGTGAGATAAACAAAGTATGGTGCTAATGCTCCTCAGTCATCCACTTCATCCTGTCATATGAGGCTGCAGAGGCCGAGCTCCCGCATCTGCTTGCAGGCCGCGATCCTCAGTCTCGGAGCCCCAATGAGATCGGAACCCACGATTACAGCCGGCCTCCTCGCGCGGTAATCTTCGGTCGCGGCTATGAGCCTCAGCAGGTTGAAGAGCTGAAGAAGAAATTCGCGGGTGCTGCTAAAGAACCTGTTGCTTGGGTTAGGGGGAACCCAGCAGATTTGCCTGCCGGGGCCGCTGGACCGGACTATGCTCAGAATATCGCGGCGAATATGAAGAAGGTGCTTCATGAATGGAGGGACGGGGGAGGAAAGGATGAGGATATTTTAGTGTACTAGTTGCTTCTGTTCCCAGCGGAACCCTCACTTCGTAGGGAGGATTGACTGCAGCTGGATACATTGGTCCGCACAGAGCTTCTGTTCTAAACAGGATACTCACTTCATGGGGAGGACTGACTTCAACTGGATACATGAATCCGCACAGAGCTTTCATTCATACCAAGTGCAAAGACACTACCGCTACAGGTAGCCAACATTAAAAGAAGTTTGTTGGAACACCAAAGTCTTAAAGGCAGAAGAGACGACATTAAAAGTGAGGGAGGATATTCAAGTCAGCCATCTCCTCTCTTTGTCATTTTACTACTCGTCCGATGCTGTGATTACGAGTAATGCAGCCCAATACAGATGCCTTGGAAGGAGGAAGCCTGGCCAATAGTCTCACAAACTACTTATGTGGCTTTGCTAAGATAAAACTTCGACACCTATCTGGAGATTATCGGAAGAAGAACATGCTAAGGTTCAAGAGAGCTTTGATAGGAGTTCACGCACGCATTTCTTGCACACAGTATACATACATTTTACTTGATTTTACTAGCTAGGTGTAGGATATGATCATGAAAAGACGATCTCATACATAAACAACGCATGCAATCCAAAAGTATGAATTGTTCAATGAGTGCAGCCAGCCATGTAATGGACATGAAAACTGTGCTTGCACAACCGATACTTAATTCTAAACTTTCAAGGAAATAACCGCCAGCTAACAAGCCAAAATCACAAATCCGGATCATCAAAGTACCAGGTAGAGTTTCCTTCAGGGTCCAGCTCTGTCTCGGTGTACCCGTTACCAAAATACTGGAATCGATTGTCGGAGATATACGAGATATCGAAGTCCTCAAACCGGACGTCCTTGAGCGCCTCGAAATACTGCAAGCGACTGCCAGCCCAGACCGCGACCGTGGGTCCGTGGACTTTGCCGTTCTTGAACCATGATCGACAGGCGCTGCTCCAGGCAGTGCGCTTCATCATCTCGTGGGTGTGGTTGAAGAAGTCGCGCTGAGCCTCAGCTTTCGGGTTGTAGGCTTTGATACCCTCCTTTTGCATCTTGTCGATCATCTTGAACATGTACCGGGTGTTCCACCCAAAGGTAGGAAGGGTGGAGCTATGACTGACGGGACCATTGGGTCCGACGAAGACTGTACAGACGTCAGTGATCTTTCTAAAACCTTGAAGGGGAGTATACCCCTTACAGTACATATTCGGGTACCCGTTCGCCATGACTGAAAGATACCCTTGAGGCATAATGTCCCACTCCTGCTGGAGATTCCGGTTGTTTTGGCCGATGACGGAGAAATGCGGCGCGAAGTTGGTATTGAAGCCAGTCGCGCAGACAACAACGTCCACTTCGTGCTCTACCCCGTCGTCATCCACCACCCCCTTGGGCGTGAACCGCGCGACGCCCTTGAATTGCGCATCTACGTTGTCTTCCGTCAGCGACTCGAGATAGCTGACACCCGGGGTCAGCCGTCGACAACCGAGCGCGTAGGAAGGAACCAGCTTCTGACAGAGCTCGGGGTCGTTTCCCAGCCGTTGGCGCATCATGTTGGCAACAACCTCCTTGGACTTCTTTTGGTCCTCGTGCTCGAGTTGAACCTGGTTTGTAGTCAGTTGCGATGTTCTCTCAGCGGACATGTGCGAAGAGAAAATACCAGAGAGAAGCGTTTGTTGAGTTCGCCTTCAACGGTCCGACAGTACTCATCGAACTTCTTAGGACTCGTACGGAATTCTTTTTTCTGCTCCTCTGAGTCTATGAAGAGAGGGTAATCCTGTTAGCTGGTACGACTCTTGAAAGTGACAGGAAAGGGGCGCGTGGTGTATTCACAAGAGAAGTTGGTTCCGTTCGGACCGGCCATCTTCGCAGCGTACCCGGTGGTAATCCAAACGGGCGACCTGAGGAAGGGGATCAATTTCTTCGCAGCTACCTCGCGTCAGTCAAAGAGAGCGGTAAGGATCAGTTGCATTAAACATACACTTCTGCAGAACAGGGATGATTTGAACGGCAGATGATCCGCCTCCAATCACGGCAATGGTCTTTCCAGCGAATTCCTGAGTCGCATCCCATGCAGCGCTGTGAAGCAATGTGCCCTTGTAGTCTAAGATTCCGGGGACATCGGGCCACTTCCAGGAACTAGAGGAGTTGTTAGAAAGGCATTTGCTAGGGTTTTCTACATTGAAACATACTTCAAAAGACCCGAACAGTTGGCGAGGATTTCGCATTGGTCGTGCATCTCAGTGCCATCTGGCTTGGTGATGACCAGGTCCCACTTCCCTTGATTCTCGTTCCATTGGGCCGAGCGAACCTTGTGCTCGAACTTGACATATTTCTCTAGATCGTACTTCACCGCGATGGACTTGAAGTATCGCCATATTTCCTCGCTAGACGAATAGCTAGAATGCCCGTCAGTCTTTGGAGATTCCCACAACCTCTCAGATATCGCCGGATGGCGAGAACTTACAATCTACTCCAGTCCGGGTTTCTTTCCCAGGCGAACTGGTAGCTGTGGGAGGGAATATCGCACTCACACCCAGGATAGCGGTTCTCCAGCCAGGTACCTCCCACGTCCTTGTTCTTCTCGTAGATCTGGAACTCCACATCCTTCAACTTCCGCTCCATCTTGTAGGCCATTTGGAGACCCGACGCCCCGGCTCCCACACAGACGATTCGCACCTTGCGTCGGGTCGCAAAGGGCTGTTCTGATACAGTATAGCCATCAAAGCTCTGGTTATACCAGTCGTTTTCGTGGCGCTTGTTCGCCTGCTGGTTGGCATCAGCGGGGATTGCGGGCGCAGTGCCACTCGAGCCATTGGGGATCATCTCGTTTCTCATGTCGACTGACTATCCTTATTATAACTGTAGTTGCAACTGTTATGAGTGGTGCTACATATAGTGAAAACCTAACGGCCCTGTTATATAGGCGTCATTCGTATGCAGCTTCGGAACCAAACGCTCAATCTTCAAGACCGGCCAATCCCTACTCGGCAGTTACTCTTCTGGAAGTTGCGCGCGCTACTATCGGTTCGACTCGATTCTAATTCCGATGACTTCTGACTATGCGTCGAGGTCTGTGCAGAGCCCCATCGCTGGCTCGGTTCATCTGGAGAACCTCTCGGCAAATGTGGCAGGTTGTTCTGTAGCCGCCGAAGGTTCCGACAAGCATTCGGAAGTTATAAGTCTCTCCCTCCCGGTAATCTAGGGGGCCAGCATACCTAGTCATTCCTAAGATGATCCACTCTCATAGCCCAGAATCACAATCTGGCCCGAAACGCCGCGCCCCTGTAGCTTGCAGGGCCTGCCACAAGCGCAAGGTACGCTGCAACGTTGCGGCAGATGGTCCGCCATGCAGCAACTGTGCCCGCGACGGGACCGAGTGCGTGTTGCATGTCCCCGAGAAACGAAGACCGAGAAGAAGCAGGTGGGACGCAAGCGGTGCAAGCGGCCGGTCTCACTCGGCGACTCATTACCAGTCTCCGCTGCAGGCACGAGGAAGAGAAGACAAGGGGCCTCGTGGGTATCTCCCGGAGGCCAGTATATCACCGGCCCAACCACCCACGCAGGATCAAGCGCCGAGCTCATCCAGTGTCCCTGCGTGGACGGTGGACCAGGGGGGAAATAGTGAGACTCTCGTCAACGTCGTGGAGTCCCCCCTGGTCCCCAGCTTGTCCACCCTAGAGCCTTTCTTCATAGGTGACTCCAGATGTTTGCGATTTCTCTTCAACGTACTCGGTGAGGATTGTATCGCTGCCAACTCGCACTATTGGGTGCCCAAAGCGAATGCCATCCCGCTACCCCCAGAAGACCTGGCCTTCCTCCAGGCAAAAGGAGCACTCACTTTACCTTCCCCCGAACTGCGCGAGGAACTGATCAAGGCGTATTTCAAATATGTCCACCCTTCCTTGCCAGTGCTGGACCACAATGAGTTCCTTCACCAGCTGGCCACGCGCGACATTTCGGAGATGAGTATGTTACTCCTGCAAAGCGTGTTATTCGCTGCAAGTAGCGTCAGTTGTCCCCCTTCGCTGGGCGTATTTCTCGAAAGGTTCCTTGCTGAAATTTTTCTGACTTTCTTATTGCACATTTCAGTTTGTTGACCCGCAGGTTCTCGCTATGTCCGGAATGGCATCGATAAAAGCTTTGAAGCGCGATCTATACCTACGAGCAAAGGTTTCTCCGCCCCTGCTTTCATATATCATGCATAACCCATGAGCTAAACAGTTGTGGCGCCTCCCTCTACTTCCGCCTACCAGACACTATACGACTTTCATCACGAGAATAATAAGATTACCCTTATCCAATCTGTTCTCCTCATGAGCTACTGGTTCGCCGACACCCGTGACCGCTCTGATAGCTGGCACTGGGTCGGAGTTGCGTCGAGTCTCGGCCAGACCATCGGGCTGCACCGGGATCCCGGCAGCAGCTTCAACATCCCGCGCTTCCATCGACGACAATGGAGAAGGGTTTGGTGGTGTTGCGTACATCGTGACCGCTGGATATCCCTCGGGATGGGACGCCCCACGCGCATCAAGATGAGTGACTGCGACCAACCCCCGCTCACCGCAGATGATTTGGTAGATGAATCGTCCCAGGTTCTCCCGGTGCAGGGGGGCAAATACGCTGATCTAGCCAAGCGCTGCGACGAACTGGCCCCTACCTTCGTCGAGGCGCTCAAGCTGAGTATGATACTTGGCGAAATGCTGGACAGGCTGTACTCGGCATCTCCGGCGCTGCAGATGGCAGACATTCATGTGTGGGAGACTGCCCTTCAAAGTTGGCACCAGAATCTCGGCGCGGAGTCCAGAGTGGATTTCATGGCTAGGGAGATTGCCGAGGAGCCCGTCGTGCTGCTTCACAATCATGTCTTGCATTTGCTCTTTCAGTGAGTCGTGGCTCCACCTTTCCCCTTCCCCTCCCTGGTGCGATTGGAACTAAGCTGACCTCTTCTTTTCCAACCGTAGGGCTGTCGTAATAACCCTGTATCGACCATTGATGTTCGCCAATCCTCAACCCCTAGAAGACCCAGAGATTTACACAAGCACACTAGCCAAGAAGGCTCGAGAAAATGCATCGTTCGCAGCGACGATGGCGACCGACTCACTCAGCCGACTGATCAACCTGAACCTCATCTCGAAACTTCCGCCCTTCAGGTATAGTGAATCTGCCGGACAGTCTTCGCCCGTATGCTTGCTGACTATCAAATGGAAATAGCGTCACCGTCCTCAGTCCTGTTATCGCCATCCACTTTGTCGAGCGCTGGTCCGCCACGGGTCTAAAGCTGCAGGTGGCCTCCCAGAAGCTCGACCTGTGTATGTCGGTGCTCTCGGAGCTTGGGGAAGAATTCTGGGCCGCCAACTTCAACCATAAGTATTTTTCAGCCGCTTTCCAGCGTATCGAGGATATTCATCGCAGCAGGAATTCTCGCAACGGGGTGTCAACTGCAGATAGAGCGGGTGCGATGGGGGCTTCTTTCCGGGGAGGAGGTGGTGGTCTCGAGATGGCGAAGGAGGGAAATCCCGATGACGAGCAGGCTGCACTCGTATCCGCCTCTGAGATGTTTAATTTTCCTTTCTGGGACGACGATGATGGATTGTTTGCCACGTTTGATTTTTCTTGATTTTTGTGGAGCATGCACAGAGTCAGCAAAGTTAATTTCTTCAAGTCGTAACGAGAGTATCACTCGATATACCACTTTAGCCGTGCCGCATGTGGCTATTTCGTATCCCCGCTTTCAAGCCCCGCAGACTACCGAGTGGTTGGGAATGTCCCTACAGACTACCCCATACGACGGATATCCAGTAGATGTCATCTTCCTCTTGTATGGCTTAAAGTCCTCGCAGGGGTCAATGAAACCAACCGCGCATGCGGATCCTAGCGGGCGCGGGATTCTTGTCTCCATTGACCAGCGCAACCACGGCCAGCGAACAGTTTCAAGCATGGCGAGACTTATTTGGAAGATGGAAATCTGACACACACGTGAATAGGGCTATTTCTGATCACTATGATTATGTCTCTGATGTTGGAAGCAGGCAAGACGTGTGTACGCCTTGAGATATTCCCCTCCGTGGGACGTGTTAAGCAAAACAGTCTCGATCTATTAGGGCACCAGCCATGATATCAACACCTTGATCTCTTTACTTTTCCTATTTATCTTTTTACATGGTAGATGTTCTCTTGCCTACGTGCTGTGTGTCGTTGCAATCATATGTAGCCACGGGGCTTGATAGGGGATGTTAGGGCTTTTTTAGGTTGAGCCGAAAGCGACATGCTGTATCAGTATTGCTCCTTGCTACAGTAGGATGCGTGTTATCCTCAAGACATCAAGGTCTGTCAATTGTTCTGGATATTGTAATCATTACAGTGAATTAAATTGTCACCTCTGCCTCCCCACCCCTAACCCCTTTTAGTTTGACACCAGCTTCTAGTGAGGACGTGCGTTAGTTCCAGGCTCTTCCCCGCAAAAGTGGCCCCGAAACCCCACCCAGTCATCCCGACTACTTAATGCGGAGAAAATCCCTATATCTTCTTTTAGAAGGAAACGTGAAAGAAAAAGACCACTTCGAGAGATGAATTGAAATGGATTCCAGTTCCGAAAACAGTGATACCCTCACTCCCACGCAGCAGCTCTCCTGCGAGATCTGTCATCGCCAGTATCAACGAAAAGAGTCTCTCATAAGACACCGCCAGAGTCACAGCTCAACTTTCAACTATAAGTGCTCGACCTGCCGCCTGACCTTCTACCGCAAGGACATTCTGATGCGACACAAGCGGATCCATGACTTTCCTCCACCATCATCATCTTCTTCTCCTTCTCCTCGCAGCCCGTCCCATAGACCCCGCGCGAGGATAGATCGGCAGCGTGGAGAGAGGGCTTGTGTGCACTGTCGTCGGTCCAAGATCAGATGTGACGGTCGGCGAGACTGTTCGACCTGTCTTCGAAAACATCTGCACTGCTCCTATGAATCCTCAAGTCGGCGATTAAGCCAACGGTCTCGATGTGAGACGTTGCCGTCTTCGTCCCAGTCGTCTCAGCGGAGGACAAGTGTGGATACGCCCGTTCGAACGGTTGATGTTGGCATATATAAGCCAATAATGGGCACCACTAGCAATTCGCCAATGCCGATTCATACCGGTCAGCAGCGGCATGATGACGCTATCTCCAGCCCTGATGTGTTTGCACCAGAAAAGGTGGGCACAATGGCGGGGGCTCCTCCAGATAGCACAGTCAACTACTCAGCCTGGCACTATGGTAGGTGCTTAAAATATGATCGACTCTTTTCTGCGATAATTGATTAGAAAGGCTGTACTTGAGAGACCTTGCTTGATCCTTATCTAACATTCACATTGAACAGCTCTATCTCACACGTCTAATGAGACGGGTCTTGCTCCTTCTATCCCCGAAGAGAACGAGCTTAATGACTGCGGTGTCATCGATTTCGAGAACGGAACTTCCTGGTCCGATTCCACGAAATGGGCGTGGGCTCATGAAGACCTCTTTCTACAGGGTGATCTCGACTCAAGTGTGGACTTGTTCGCTGCCTGGGACGACAACAATAACGACCTGAGAGGTGCCAATCCCGTCGCCGGCGAGCAAATAGGAAGCAATACTATCCCTCAAGCAATCGCAGTCGACATCTCGGCTGATAGTTCTCTCCGTGCGTTGTTGCCAACGGATATGATGCGGACAGGATGTCTCACAAGAAGTTCATTGCCGCACAATCCGATCTTTGAAGTCGGCGGGTGTCCACCACCACCCCCGGCCATCGCGGTTTCATCGTCAGAATCTAGTAACAAATTTTGTGAGCCTGGTTAGTATCCTACTCATAGTTTCTGTCTGTTCTGGCCTCTCACTGGTGTTGATTCATAGACTTCCGGAGCATAGGCTATATTCCGACCTCACGAATGCCACTCGGTAGAACCAACATGGTGGGGGCAACAGTGGCCGATGAAGAGCGTCGTCCATTAGACCGTCAAGAAGTCGTTGACAGCCTAGTGAAGTTTGCCACACAAAACTTCTTAGCTCCCAAGTCGTCGTCGTTTGACTGGGGTGAAAAAGCGCGAGAAGTCGAGCGTGCCTTTGAAATTGTCGATATGCCGCAGAATTCATCGCACGTTCTCGATTACTTCGTCCGTCTCTTCTTTCAGCACTTCCACCCCTTGTGGCCGCTATTCTGGGAGGCTGGGTTCGTTCCCGGCAGTACGCCGCCAATACTATATATCACCATGGCTTCGATCGGCGCCATGTACGCCGGTAGTCAAGCCATGAGCTTTGGCTGTCTGATGCATGAAGCCCTTCGGCGGAGCTTCACAACGACGGTTTTCCCATACTACGAGACCGATCGTCGATCCGAAGTGCTCTGCCAGTCAATCCTTATGACGCAGGTCACGGCCTTGTATTTTGGCCACAAGGAAGCATTTTCGTGTGCCCAGCAGCTAGGTGCCACCCTCATCATGCTGGCGCGACGCATGGACTTATTCAACGACGGGATCACCACTGATCGCGGTGCGTGCGATCTCCAGACCCGGCTCGGCGTTGGGGAATCTCGAGCCCTCGAGATATGGGTGAGAGAGGAAACGCGCAAGAGACTGGCCTTCGGGATCATGAGGACCGAAACGTTTACCAGCATCCTGATGAACACTCGACCCCTGGTCTCCCCGGAAGAGATGAATATATACACCCCCTGCTCGGACCCCATCTGGACAGATCCCCACCGAGACGCGCAGCAAACCATCCACATGATCGCACAGGAGGAGTCTGGAAAACACCATCTATTCTTCTCCGACCTATTCCGCATCGCCATGGACCGCACCGAACTTCTCCCGAGTCTGCGCTCGACAGAGTGCGAGCTGTTGCTCTTCGGCCTCCAATACTCCGTCTGGCGATTTAGTCACGACCAGCAACTCTTTCGTCGCTTGACCGGTGGCCCGCGACCATTTGCCCAGTCCATGCCCTCCCAACTAGACACTCTAGCTTTTTCCCTCCGTTCTCAACTCGACCTCACGTCCAAGACCAGAAAAACAAGTAATTACAGTAGCAGCGCCGCCCCGCCAACAACGACACCCCAAAACCTCCGGGCCAACATCTTCCAACACCCCCAACAAACGACCCCCTCGACACCTCCCCGCGCCTCATGCCCGACATGGAGCTCGATCTCGAACGTACCTTCTCCGCCATCGAAGAATGGCGCCAATCAATGGACCTCGGCGTCCGACCACCCCAACTGACCAAGGAGCGCCACTCGATCCTCACCAGCCGCCTCCTCTACCACATCTCGCTACTCCGCATCCACGCGGACGTAGAAATCCTCCACAAGCTCGCCTACACCTCCGCGTCTTCCGCCCCGCCTTCTTCTTCTTCTTCTTCTTCTTCTTCTTCTTCTTCTTCTTCTTCTTCTTCTTCTCCTTCTTCCGCCCAAGACATCTGCCACGTATACGAATGGTCGCGGGGCGAATCAGCCGACAGGGCCCTGTTGCACGCCTGCGCGATCCTCAAGCTGCTGACGGATGAGTGCGCCCGCGATAAACACCTCCGCGCTAGCTTCAGCATCATGACGTTTATCTCTATCCATATGGCTTCTGTTGTTATCTGGGGTTACGCGGGCACTCACGACCCCTATCCAACTCCACGCGGTGGTGCATCACCACCACCACCACCACCACCACCGCAACCGCAACCAGCAGCGGCAGCAGCCGGCGTCAGCGGTGGCGGCGGTAGCGGTGACGGAGACAGCGACAGCAATGGCACAAGCGAATTGCTCACCTTCTACCACCGCGGAAACAACTCAGAACTCCTGAGCGAGTGCGCGCAGATCTACCGCCGGATTAGCCCCGGCTGGAGAATGGTGTCCTCGTTTGCGGCGGCTGCATCGGCTATGGCAGCTCGACCGTTTCCGTTACTTCAGTGAGATGTATACTAGTATATATGTGCATGTGGAGTTGTGATGTGTCTGTTACTGTTGCTGTGTGTATATTCATTCTCGCTGGGCCTTGAGCGCGCTTGTAAAAGCGATATATAAATGTGTATAATAGTAGTCTCACCCGGTAGAGCAAATATGTTACGTACAGATAGATACCTGGGTAAGTAAGTATAAGGTAGGTATTCTGCAGAGTCTGCAGAGCCCTGAAGTAGAAGAGTAGAAAGTGGAGAAAGAGAAAGAGAAAGATAGAAAAGATAGGCACCGGCCGGGAGAAAGAGGGAAGAGAGAGGAGTGATGTCATTTCTTCAGCCTGTTACTTTTTCTGTTTTCTTCTGGAGGATGATCTTCAGTTCTGATACCTTAGTCCCTTAGTACCTACTATCTACCTACGGAGTATGTTGGAGTACTATCATATGCGTTATGCTATAAGGTCGGTGAATCAATATCTTGCCAGATTAGGTGTTCAACAGTTGCTCAATTGGCCAATTAGCCAATCCGACTATTTATCCACTGCACATACACTACCTATCTACCTACCTACCTATTTAGGTACTTCAGTATCGAACATCTCTTCCTTCTTCGTCCAAAGTTTCCTATATTACCGAGTAAAGAACTCACCAGAAAAAAACCCTCCAAACGGATGTCCTCCAAGCCCAAGTCCATCATGACATCATAACGCATCCACTAGCTCCATGATCCAATCCTCGGACAATTCGCGGCCCAATCCGCTACGGGCTGAGAAAGTCCGTGCTAAAGCCAGCGCCAGCGGTAACGGTGATCACCTGGTGGTGGTTGTTTCTGCTGATCGAGAAGTACGATTATGTGGATGGATGACGGATGGAGGGGTCATTTTTTTTTTAAGAGTCTGTTGGGTCGGAATCTATTTCCTGAGTGTTGTTGGTTTGTGCGTCATTTGACTGGTTTTGGTTAGGTCTGCTGATTATCTGTGGACTAACTACTTTGATGGTTGGTACGATTATATGGTGGTGGCATACTCTGTACATATACTATTCTGTACATACTATTCCGTACATACAGCCGAGTACTACTAATAGTACATGTACATGACAAGGGTATTGTCTACCGATCTACCGCGCCCTATGATCATGTGGCGTCTAGAAAATCAAGTCATGAAGGAAAAAAGTCACCATGCTAGGTATTGGGTATTGGGTATGGGTATGGGTATGGGTATGAGTTTGGGTTTGGGTCTGTGGTTGTCTCTGTCCAATGGGTCGGGTCCACGGAGGCTTAGCGCGGAGAGCGTGAACTGGTGACGCCAAACGAGCTGATCGTCTGTGAATTCGATCTGGAGTCCGTGATATAGCTCTGGTGTCTTCTTCGGATGTCAGGAGTACGGTCGAGTTGACTCTGTGGACTGCGACTTGGCTGATGTCGTTGATGATTCAGTTGGTGCCGGATTGATGGTCTGGGGCGGTGGTGGACGGGGGAGGACAAAATGATGGGATCGACAAGGGCACGGAGGCGTGTACAGTGGCGTGGTGGGAGGTGTTGTGGCTGTATCGGGTTGTCGGCATAAGTAGATCACGGCATCGAACAAGGGCGTGACCGAATTCCGTCAGAGTAGCATGGTCGGAGAGCATTGTACATGAAGACCGGATACACCACACTAGATACCACCGGAGGGAGCTCCAAACGAGAGGCCAGATGTGATCCCATTCTGGATCTTATCATCTTTCTTCTTCTTTCTTTCTTTTTGTTTTTGCATTTGATGAAATACCAGAACGTTACATAGAGCCTCACCTTTCCTGTAGAAAAGCCATCACAGCTCCCTAGGGAGACCCTGAAACGCAGATCCAACAAGGTTTCACAAAACACATAAAGATGGTACAGAGCAGATGGCAATTGGACGGACAAATCTGTGACTCTGATCAACACGGATAGATTGAGGGGGAACGGTCGTTTCGACCCATTCGACGGTTCATTCGTGGTGCTCGTGAGGGGAGACGTAGTCGGCCAATGACACTTCCAGGTCATGGTCGAGCTTGCGCAGTCGATTTTGGAAGTCGGTGAGCGCTGCCCATGGGTCTTCTTCCGTAGGAGCGAATTTGTCGTCCAAGACGTTTGTCGTCGTCGTGCTGGCTTGGCTGGGGCTGAGAGTGGCTTGCATGGACCGAGTCTCATCCGTCTCGGAATCTAGGAGCGGCTCCGATCTTTCGTCACCTGTGTCCATTGGTCAAAAATGAGATCCTCGGCCACGGGGAAGAAAGAGACAGAAAGAAAGGAAGAAATTACGTCGGATGGATCGGAATTCGGGCAGCGGGGACAAGGTCGAGGCCCTGTCCGTACCATCGGGAGTGTAGCAACTCATATCGGTCGGGGTGCCTGGCAGGATGAGCGAGAGACAGTGAGATAGCAGACATCCGGCAGACATACCGGGTTCGGGACTGGGCTGGGTGGCGTTGTCGCGGGAATGATCCTCCCAGTTGGTGCCTTTTCTACGGGCGAATCGAGCGATACGTTTCTGGTCGACTTCTTGACCATTCACCCGAAAGGCCGTCTGCTTACCCCGGGCCGCCCGTTTCTGCTGTTTTCGGATCATGATCTTGATATCTTTGGCTTTGATGTTCTTTCGAACGTGCCACGACGCTAGGCGATCTTTATATTGTTTCTCTCTGGAGCGGTCTGAGTGTCAGGGGTCTGTCTTGACTGATGTGTCATGTCGATCGAAAGAAGAACAAAACAGGACGCCAGAGAAATAAGGAAGAAATACATGATCAACGCCAGTTGAAAAGTAGAGCAGAATTAGGGGACAAGAGGAAGAAGAAGGGGAGATGAGAAGAAGAAAAGTAAGCTATACGATGCATGAAAGTTGTAATCACGCTCCATGATGCGTTTGACATCTCTCAATTTGAGTTGATGATCGCGATAGAGTTGTTCGATGGCGGGACGGTACTCCAGCCAGTCGTCGGATCGTCGAGGACGGAAGATGGCCGAGGATGAGGAGGAAGAAGTAGAGGAGAGGCCAGACAACGGAGGGATCGAACCATCCATCTTGCACAGATCACCAAGGATCTCTGTCAACCATACTCTGGAATTGGAAAGAAGGAGACGAACAGGCCATACAAGAGGGAAAAGTCCGAGTGAAGGGGGATGGGATGTAGGCAGGTAGGTTGTGAGTGAGTGAGTGAGTGAGTGAGTGAGGAGTGAGGAGTGAGTGAGTGGGGGAGATGGGAGTGGATGAGTATAAGGCAGGAGATATGAAGAGGAAAGGAATGAGGTCTGATATTGTGGAGGATTCGAATGATAATAATATAATAATGATAATAATAATAATAATATAATAAGATAATACGATGATAATAAAAATAAAAAGAAGAATAGAATAAATAAATAATAAAAACAAAAGGAAAGAAAAATAAAGACAGAAAATAAAAATAAAATAAGAACGAATGAAAATCAATCAACAGAGACAGAAGAATAAAATCAACCAAGCAGCCCGGAATCAAACCAGCAGGAAATAGGCGAGGTGAGGCGAAGCGAGGCGTCAGGCTGTTGTCTATTGAATAGAATATAGAATTATAGAAATAAAATTGGAGATTATCATCATGATCATTATGTGTATGATATTCATCATCTGAAAGAACCATTAATATCAGCCAAAAAACAGAAAGATCCAATACCAGATGGTACTCTGTATACTCCGTACTCCGTACCATCCAGATCATATCATATCGAGGCAACCGTCCAGGGCACTGACTGAGCCTGGAGGCCAACCTGGACTGCCATTTGCGGCGACTTGCTGCTTCTTGTCCTCCCGCGGATGTTGCCCCTCCCTGCTTCCCCGCTCCAATCATCTTCTCTCTTTTTTTCATTCGTACTTTTGGTCTTTTGTTTCGATTGATTTCGATTGATTTGATATTGTTTCTATTTATTATTCTTTCCTCTTCTATGGCCGAATCTCTCCATAGCCAGTTCGAGTCATTCCTCTGACTTTCATGTCTCATATTTCATATTTTATTCATATCCCCCGGCACATCGTGGGTCTCGGAACAGACTCAGACACATGCGCTGCTCGAGTGGATACGACAGACAATGCCAATCTTCTAGTCTGGATTATTCAGTCCTCAGTGATCAACCTCCCCTTTCCATCTGGTCATCCACCAGTCCAGCCAGTTTCAAGTCAAGCTGAAACTTTAGACCAACCCCCGAGTCCCGAGTCCCCAGTGTCCTAGACTGATAGATATCGCCTTGCGCCGTCTATCTCGACCGTCCTAGGATGATCTGAGGATGATCACCGCTCAGTGGAATCACTAACAACCTTGGTATGATAAAACATACACCGTTCTTGGAAATACTACTAGTACGGTGCCCATGGCGCTTGCGTGCGCCATTTCTGCAGGTGCAGCCCTGCTCCGTCATTATTATTCGTCCCGATGATGTCTTCTTACATGGATCTCGCTGTCCCGTCCTTTTGCTCGCCTCTCTTCCCCCTCCCTTTCCGAGGGATCATCCAGATTGGATCTCAATACTGTTTGGAATATGAAACTGTCCAGAGATTTTCCAAAAATCGAGCAATGAATCATTAGTGCTAAATTTAGGGAAAATAAAAACAAAATAGGAGAAAATGTCCACCGGATTATAATTTATGAGTTGATGATCCACTCTGAAAACACTCTTACCCTCTCGAACCTATCTTTCTTTTTCTCCCCCTCGGACTCTCCCCCTGAACTATAATCATAATCAAACGTCGTCTCCATCGGGTTGGCGTGCGAGTCCCTCCCTAGTAGGGAGTCCCTACTACCTAGGTACTAGGTACTATTAGTTTCGGATGATGAGGCCTGAGCTCTCGCGGTCTCCTACTTTAAATGGACCGGACCGCACTGGACGGGACTAGGCTTTGTCATCGTCAAAGCGCCAGCTCGGTATAGATTAATCAGAGCTTGACCGACCCGTTGTGATTCTCTAGTGCATCCTGTTGATTCTCCTATTTGAGTTACAGTAGGTTGATTACTTGCTTTTTATCTTCACTTGATATGATTTGATTTTGCTATTATCTTATTCTATTGACTGACTTTATCTTACTGTCTCTTCTTTCCCATATAAAGGAGAAGAAAATCAAATCAACTGAATAATAAAAAAAAAACAGGGATTTCGGCCCGTCAGACTGGCGGACCGGATCGGTGACCCGCCATCCGTCCCAAGATACCAAAATACCACCCTTGGTATTGAGTATTACACCAAACCCCTACCATGTACTCCCTACCAGCGGACGCTAAACAGTAACCAACCAGTAACCACCCATCCAGCCAAGATCCGTCCCAAAGTCCGCGTGTTTTTGATATACGCCATCGATCCTCAAACATGACCTCCTCACTTGAATCTTCGGGATAATTATAGAAACTGCACACATTCTTGCCACTTCTGAAACCCATCCTCGAGGCTCCGTTCCGCTGTTTCATTCTTTTTGTGGCACGCGGGACCTAACTTACTGTAGCCATTCTTAGAGATCCTCGAATTGAGATTCGGGTTGATAGCATGATCTTCATAATATGCTCCCTGCTAGTCTGGACAAATGGAAGAAGACAGAAAAGCAAAGATAAGAAAAGAGAAAAGAAACAGAACAGAACGGGAAAACGAAAGTCAAAATACAAAGAAAGACGAAGAAAAAAGACCAACGGCAAAACACACGGCAAGTAATCATTAAACCTACCAATGATCGACCACAAATCCCACGATGCAAGGCAATCATTCCTCGTTTCCCGTGGCGGGGTGGACTGACTGACTCAGTGACTGTCATCGGCGAAATTACAGCGAGTTGCCTTAAAACCGCCCCTTGTTTGTGGCTGGTATAGGGGGGGGGGTTGCCCTGACGCAAGACTGACTGACTGACTGACTGATTGACTCACTTTGCCTGCGTGTTCGTCCTCGTTGTCTGTCTACGGAGTACTACCTTAGTTACCAATTGCAAGGCTAGACCGGGTTGGCTGACTGGCTGGCTGGCTGGACTGGACGGACTGGGCATGTTCGGTCGATCGACTCGACTGGGCAACGCGGAATGCTAACTAACTAACTAACCATGCCATGCCATGCCATGTTGCCTTGTCTCCCTAGCGTCCCCCCGTCCGTCACCCGTCCTTTTGACACCTTTATCTGATGTGCAGACGAGGTTCTCTTAGTTTACCTACGGGCTTCGCCGTCTCGGGATCTGAACAACCTACCCCAGGACCAAAAACGATGAGGCCATGCATTTCCCCCTTCGGATCCTGACATGGCTCTAGTTTGATTACTGCAGTCCACCCCATCCCCCTTCCTTCCCTTGAGGCGGAGGCGGAGGTCTGACGGGGTAGGTCTGCGGTTAGAAGGCCCCGCTAGTTTAGACCGTCTGTCTAGGGTCTTGCTGGTGATGAGGTTGGTCTGCCTGTGGTTGGTTAGGATGGGTGTATCGTGGCGAAGCTGCGGTTGTTATCACATTTCTGCGGGGTTTCGTGATGGCGACGGTGGCGAGGCTATATGCATGCATGTGAGATGGACAGGCCAACAGATGGAGAGAAAGATAGAGGGGTCTTAGGGTGGGCAATACGTACGTAGGCACGTACGTATGTACGACCTACTAAGTAGGTAGGTAGGTAGGTAGGGAGGTAACTATAGGAAAGGTACCATCATCTCCCCCGATGGCATAATCCATAATCGTTCTGATATTCCATTCATCCCCACGCGTGGGTATACCCGAGACCAGACCGCACGAATCCGGTATATGGTGGAGGAAGAATAGCCACAGAAAGAAACGGCGACGAACTAACTACCACCCCGCCTATCATCCTCCGATGCTAGTGAATATCTCCGAGTCTCGACCGAGCAACTACTAACTAGTAGTCTCCTCACCGGCCGGAATTGACATTGACAATCTCAAAGACCGTTCACTCATCCAGGAAGAGCTAGCCCTGTGGTTACCGTTGGGGGAGATTGGAGATCCCCAAGTCCAGGCTACTACTTGGGGGCCAGAATCCTCGAACTCGGGGTGTGCTAACTAGTTACAACTCACTATCTAGATAGTTAGTAGTTACTGCTCTGACAGAAGTAAGGAGCTGACTCCACTCACTCCCCAGACCAAGTCAAGTCACTGAGCTAGATGAGGTTGAGGTCACTCGTCGAGGTTACTCTTTCCGGACGCGCCGACGCTCATCATCACCATACATACCTCTCCTACATATATAGATTTCCGTGCTAAGCATGGGCGTGTCAAGACCCAAAGCCAATCGATAATGCGAATGGACCGGTTCATGCGTGCTAGTTATGTAGAAGATATGTACATTGTCTTGGATGTACATAGTAGGTAGTACTCCATAGGTACCCCGTATGTACTCGGCAGGTACTAGGTACGGAGCACTAGTTACCTAGTACCTACCTAGTAGGTAGATGGTAGTAGAGCTCCCCTTAATCCGCTAGTCCTCCTAGGTAAAAGTAAACTAACCACAATAGAAATAGACCATACATAATCAGCCGCAATACGATCCGTGACGCGGGAGTAAAATACACTGGAACAAGGGGTGAGCGTGAAGGTTTCGACTAAAAGTACGCCAAAGTACCTTGCTAAGTTGTAGCTCTGTTGTTGGGTTCGAGGTGGGAGATTAGTTCGTATTTTCCTTTTTACGTAGTAGGGTATGTAAATTATTGAATTTTGTTCTTCTTCATGCTGCAAGACTCAAACGGTGGTAAGATCAATAATAATATATACTATACCTACTTCAATACTAATCTCAATACCTAGATAGATACCAGTATAAGGTAATATCAGGTAAAAGGATACGATATCCACCCCAAAACAAATATCCATGATTCGCCGCGGAACCCCACCCAACACCCGCGTACTTAACTTAGTACAACTACCAGGGGGAGGGCCCGGGGCCCGCGACAGTGCAGCCAAAGTCAATGTGCAAGGGGGGTGATAACTTGGACGGGGGAGGTCAGACGGGCTAAATTTACTACGGTTATGATAATCGGAGATATTTATAGTTGGTTCACTTGGCTCAGGCTGTCCGACTTGACGCCGGGCTGGCCTGGTCAGTTACTTACTCTGGTATAGTCTGTGTGGGAGAGAAGGTGGCGGACGGTAGAGGAGGCGCGTGCGTGGTTCTTGGGGGGATGTTGTGGTGTTTGTTCTGGATTGAGTTGGTCAGAGTAGACTCTACTATCTGTATGTCTATTTGGTGTGGACGGGGGATTTCCGAGTTTATTGTAACTTACCTAGTTAGGCAGGAGTGTCGATTGTCTGGTGTATATGGTGGAATTTGAGGCGTACATGCTATCAGGAACATAGCGGATCTCATCTTGTCATACAACAATTGAGTAGCGATTTAGGTGTGTACTCGAACATCAAGATATCACGTCCGGTCTCCAGTCTCTCTCGAAAATCAATTTGAATTAAGTCTCACTACTCCGTACATGCGGGAGCATAAAGTTTTTTGAAGGCCTGTGTTTCATATTGCTGGTCAGCACTGACCAGTGTCCCCAGACTGTAGCCATTGCCATTCCTTACGTCAGGCCATATTGACATGACAGACAAGCATGTAGAGTATGCACATGCTTGGGCGTTCCATCCCTCGTGAATTTGTCTCCGGGTATCTGGTAGAGGTCCATTAATGAATAGTCCGAGATATAGGCTGGAGTTCCCATTCTGGTAGACAGCCTAGTCGCTCCCATGTTCAGCCCACCAATTCAATAGGTCCTGCGCATTCATGTAAGTCCATCGTAGATCGATCCGTCTTCAGCCTCATCGAAAGACCAATAAACCCAAGATCAAGCCAGTATCGCAGGACCCTTCCGGATTCCCCCCAGGAACAGTCCGTCCCTCCTCCCACAAGAGTATATAGTGCATATGCCGGGACTCCCCCAAAAAATCCATTCCTACTCTCAAGGAAGTATACGGTGCATCGATCGTGTAGCCCTATCCAATAGCGTTAGCTGGATACCGGGGGTTTTTCGTTGGACAGTTATGGCCCGTTAAACTTCCTAACTCCTACCCAGAACGGATCCAGAAGATCAAATCCATAGTGCAGGAAAGCGTTGGTGGCTTTTGATCTATTGTACTAGATTTGGCCTAGAGGTGTATCGGCTCGGGGAGGATGTTGGTTTGGATGTCTTTGTCTCAAGTTGTGGGTTCTGGATCTTGGGCATGCTTCGTCGGCAGAGTTGAGTATCTCGATGTTGTAAGTCTGTACGTCTGATATGCGGTGAATCGTGATAGAGGAAGAGTACAGAGACAGAGTATAGACAGGATGAATCATTAAAGCCCAGACAAAGTCAGTCACAGAAAGTACGGAATACGGGGCACGCAACGGCCCGTTAAAACCACGCCAAGTCCAATTTATAGTTTGTTCGACCACGGGAGCGGCCCGAAAGTATCCATCCGCCATCCATGTTACTTTGTTGGATCAACTTGTCCTATGATATAGTATACTCATGTTGGGACTCGTTCCTGTCTACTGCCTGATGGGGGTGTTTGAACCATCCACCTTGAGAAACCCTCGCAAATAGACTGTCTGTTCCAACTAACAACGCGCCAGAGTCACAACCACCAACAGTTGACGGTGGATACCTGCCTGTGCCTCCTCTCCACCTCCCCCTCTCGCCCCTAAGTGTGAAAGCAAATGATGCTCCCCACTCTGTCAATTTGTTTTTCCATTCCCACCGATGATCGAATTAGGACTGCAAATGACGCGCTTCAACCCGATAGGCACCGTCTGTGAGGCCGCGCGACCGGACTAAGGGACGATCTCCCGCTCTCCTCGCCCGTCACGACTCGTTACTTAGTGATAAATTCACCACTGATGAAGTCACAACACAAGTCAATGTACTACTATACCATACTCGATCTGCGATCCCCGTCTTGGCCTCTCTGAATCATGGTGCAAATCCTTCCGGGGAACCCGGCGCGACCAGCCTTGACAGGGGTTGGGTTCAATATTCAGATGATAATAATCCTTTCTCTCCGTTGATTGACCGTCACGAGCTTCGACGGTGGTACAGCTATCACTACTGCAATGTGGTGTTGATCATATGTTAAAAAAGTCATCAGCCACGGGTTCCTTGACTGTCCTGCGCTTTTCCTGAGATCGGCCTATTTCGGTCATCCATCCCACCTGCGGTGTGGTGCGATGGGGAATCAAATCTCCACCAGGTGTGTTTCGTATCCATCACATATGAACCGCTGGCAGCCGTTGAGTGCCCCTACTTGATCCAACTTGATTGGCCTGAGCTTCTCGTTTTCTTTTTCTCTTTTCTTTTCTTTTTTGAATCCGCTGCATGACTAGTGACTGTGAGGACCAGGGCTAACTGCAAACTAGTTCCCGCTGAAACACCTAGGCTTTGAAGCCCACCGTGGGAAATGTGGATCGCCTGGTGGATTGCACGCTGGCTCGATTCAGTACTGTACCGCTTTCGAAACCCATTTACTTTTGCCCCCCCCACCACTCACGAATCCCCCTATAATCATGAGTGATACCAGATATGTCCTTATTTCTTAGATGGGCTAGTCGTGGCTAGTCGGGCCTGCTCGACGGCCGCTGCGGCGACGGCGGCGGAATTGCTGGAGCTGGTTCCTGCGCTGGCCACATTGCTGGCATGCGCCAGAAGGAATTTGCAACAGGTCAGCGTGTACTTGCAGGCTCGCGTCCACGCCTCGTCGTTCTGGTTGAAGCCCAACTTGATGCTGGCATCGCCAATCTTGTCCCGTTTGATCTCGTACGGCAGCCTCAAGCCCGGAGTCGTGGCAGCGGTGGCCTGGCCTCGGCGCCCGGGGGGATTTTGGGCTGAGGTCTTCTCCACAAATTCCCCTAGCTGCTGCAGGCATGCCAGAAACGCCACCATCCCTGAGTCAAACCGGCGGTGAAGCCAGGGGATGTTGAGAGGCAGGTCGCCGGACGAGAAGAGATCGAATGTCGTGATCTTGGGCGGGCCCGACGGAGCCGCATTCCCGATCCCCAGGGACGATTGCGCGGGCGAGGGCCGAGGGTACTCGATCTTGTCGATTCTCGACACCGACCCCAGCGGCTTCAACTGATACCCCTGGAATTGGAACCCCAGCTTGTCCGCAATCGTGGCCAGAAGCAAGGCCGTCTGCCCCCAGGCGGCGTTGATCTCCGGCCATTCCACGGACGGGTTGGCCAGCCGACCCAGTCGCAACCCGTTGATGGTCCCGAAGAAGCCATCATGGCCGATGCAGAACGCATCATTGTAGACGTTGGTCCGTTGTAACCGCTCCAACTGGCGGGAGTCGTGGTCGTACCGCATGTTCAGGGCATCCCGTTCGTTCTGGAACTCGGAGAGCGTCAGGGCGAATGCGTTGCGGTCGCGCCAAAATTTCTCTTCGTCCTGGTCCATCTGCCGCGACTCTTCTTCCAGCGCAGCGATTTCCTCATCCAGTGACGACTTCTGTTTCTCCAAGTCGACCAGTTCCGCGTACGCCGTCTCCTCCGCTGCCAGCGTCTCCTGTAGGGATCTCTGAGCGGCCTCCACCTCTTCCGTCGTCGGTACCGACGAGTTGAGGTTCCGTAGAAACGACACGTACGCATCCCGCTCCTTCGTCGCATCCGCCAGGTGTTTCTGCAGCCCATCCACCAGCATCTCCGTGCACTCCGCACACACAGGGTGATCGATATCCGAGCGGGCGGAGATAATCTCAAACAGGCGCCTAGTGCGCTCAACCTGGTCGGAAAACGACGCATCCTCTTCGTTGGGAATCCCGGGGCCGCCCTGCGCGGGCAACAGCCCGTTGTCGTTCCCGACCAGCGGTGCCGGCGGCGGCGGCGGCGGCGCAACTTGCGACTCGGTCAGCATCACAAACGACATGTTGCCGCTGTCCCCGTGTCGTAACCGAGGCGGGTTGGCCGACCGCGGTGCCGGGATCGACCGTCGGTATACCGGCGCCGTAGCATTTTTGGATGCCCGGTCGTAGAGCTCTCGTCTGTCTTGGGGGTAGGCAGAGGGTCTAGACGATGAACCAGATCCCTGATCCGGTAACGTTCTCCCTGTAGATCCTGTAACGCGAAGTGAAGCATTAGCAACCACGAGACCACAAAGACGAAATGAACTGATAGGAAGGGAGACGAACCGATAAGCAGATCAAACGCAGCCGGATTCAGCGACTCCAAAGACCCATCCAGTTTCAAAGGCGTCCGACATTTTTGGCAGTACATGGTGATCGCAGGCAATCTCCAATGATATCGTATGCATGGTGGGAAGAAGAAGTAGTAACGGGTAAAAGGGTGTGTTAGAGGGAGAAAAGTAGAGAGACGGATGAGCTCCGGGCGCGGGAAGGGAGACGTCATGCGGGAACCCGTGGCGCCGGCGCGTGTTTTTGGCGCGATGCTCGCGGGAGCTTCAATTTATTGGTCTTCTGCGGAGTCTTCTTGTCGCGTGGACGTGCGCTTTTTTTCTTCGATTATCTGTTTATACTATTTAGAGCTGAAGCTGGATCTGCTTCGATTTATTTATCCTTCGCTTGCAAGATCGATACACGGCTTTTTTACGTTGCATTTTCTTTCGCGTGCATAATAGGAAATTTGATCGATCGCATCGCGCATATCAATTGATGTCTGTATGAATCCCTCATTCTCCCACCTCACTTTGCTATTCTCTAACATATCGGTAACAGATAATGTGTACTATATTGAGATCTACTTGATTCTTGTCTCTTACGCTTCAAAAACCAACATAACCAGCCTCTCCCGCACACGAATCACCCCTCAAAACCACCACCATGGACCTCCCACCCAAGCGACCCCATCTCTCCTTCACAGAGCTCACCAACGACTACGACACCGATTCCTCCTCCTCCGAAGCCCCAACACCACCCAGCAAAATCCCATTGAGTACACCAACGAAGATGACCACCCGGTCGACCTCCAAGAAGCGCGCTTCCACAATGACCAACGACTAAAGTCCATCTTCGAGGGGATCTTCGAAAAGTATGAAAAGGACTTCACGGACGTCGGGGACGAGATCGATCTCGAGTCGGGGTCGATCTTGGTGAATAATGGGCATATTGCGACGATGGATGGGGAGGGAGATACTGGTGAGCGTGGGTTTTGGTTGTTTGATAAGGAGGAGCTGGGGGAGGAGGGAGGGGTTGAGGGTGAGGATTATGAAGATGATGATGATGGATCTGCGGGTGTCGTTGAGGTTCCAGATACTTTGGAGAGGGAGTCTGATGGGGATGAGGATCTTGCGATAGGGGATAATGAGGGGATACGGTCCCCGAATCTGCCGTATACGGATCGATCATACAACTTTGATGGGCAGTCGGAGCGCCCAGAAGACGAGGTAGCCCATGGCGCGGACTCTGAAGTCGAGGACGACCACGGCGATCAAGAAAGTGTGCATTCCTTCTTGGACGAGCAAGGCAAGAACAACCGTGGCGGAGACGCAGCCTACCCACCTGCCGCTGGAAAAGGCAACAACTCCTCGACGGAAACACCCCTCCCACCCCAGAGCGCATCGGCTCGGACGGCAGCAACAGCAACAGATCCCAAATGGCACTTCCCCGAAATCAGCAAGAGACTCTGGACACCACCCGCCCATAAACCGCGCCCACCTCCCACCCCCATCAACGCCATCCGGTCAGCGTCTCCACCGGGATCAGGTTCTCTCTGGGCTCTACCGGGGAAGAGGACGCGAAACACAAACAGCACGAAAAAGAAACCTTCGACCATGGCTAGCCAGCGGAAGCGGAAGCGTCACTCGAGTCCTGTTGTCTGCGACTGGTCTTTTGCGAAGACACCTGACGGTAGCGAGTCTGATGATCCGTTGCAGGAGGATTACGAGCCTTCGCCTACGCCGAGGAAGGGTGTTCCCATTCGGGGGAAGCGTCGGAAGGTTGAGGATTTAGTCCGAGTGGAGGATGTGTCCATTGGGACAGAGTATTCCCCTGGTGACGATCGGGTGCATGTCGGCACCGCGCAATCGCAGTCGCCTGGAGACGGAGACCGGGACGGTTCATTTGAGACGCCGCGGCCAGTGCGCACAGCGTCTACGAATATTGCGCTCGATTCAGAACCTAATGAACCATCTAACAACGATAAGATACACAATTCCGCAGACACAGGAGACGATTTCAGGCGCTCGCCAGCAGCTCAAAGTCCTACTACCCCCATACAGAGACGCAAGATCACACCAGACGAAGCCAAGTTGCTTGTCACAATGCGACAAATCCAAGGGAAACGGTGGAAAGAAATCCGAAGTCATATCCCAGACAAGAAAGAGGTCCTGCTCAGCAAATGGTTCGGTTCGCACTGGACGGATCGTCTAATGAATCCACTTCCGTTGTCTGCGCCTTGGTCCAAGTCGGAGCAAGCGAAGCTTGACAGCCTTAAGGACCAACCGGGTCTCACATGGGATGCAATTCGTGCGAGCATCCCGGGGCGACCGTTTGCGGAGGTTGAATTTGAGTTATTGCGATGCTGGGTTGGAGAGGATGGACGGGATGGTACTCAATAATGAATGCTCGGTGAATTATAACACTGGTCACACATAAAGCTGAGTCAAGCCATCCGCGGGGGTCTTGGAAAAGACCTTGTGAATATATCTGAATCCTATTGCCATTACCCGAATCGCTTGTGTGATGGTCATTCTATTCCGAGCTTCCAGTGCTCGTCAGTTGGCTTGGAAGGCGGACACCCATATTTTGCGGGAAGCAATCTGATCCGAGGGATCTCAGACCAATTGGCGAGGGTGCATCATCCCATTGAAGGCGTCACCAGAGTCCCCCAGGAAGCAAGAGGAGCTTCCCCATGTACCCATGGTCACGGTGTACTGTCTGATGATCGACATCATGAGCTGTCTACCGCGTTCAGAACGTCTTCCAGTTTTGTATCAACGGCCCCTCCGACATTACCAGCCTTAGCCCAGAACCGAGAGAGATGCCTCGATCCAGAATCGGACAAGACAGTCACAATCCTATGGCCAGGGCCCAGCTTCATCGCGGTCTTGACAGCCGCAAAACCTGGAGTTAAGAGATTAGCTAGTCGCATCAGCAGAATAGCAACATCATCACATACAGTTCACAGCACTGCTGCTTCCAATAAATAACCCATCCTTTTCTACCAGCCACCTAGCCATAGCCAGAGCCTGGGCGTCCGTCACTCGGACCGCATCGTCAACCAGCTCCTTTCCGGCCTCGAAATTCGCCGTGACGCGATTGATGCCGATCCCCTCGACGATGGTGTCTACCTGTCGACGACGCCGTGTGCCCTCCTTCTCCTTGCGATCGAACATAACACCGTAGCGGACTCGGTTATACAGCCCACTACCCTGTGGATCGGCCAGCACAACACTGAGCTTCGGGATCCGCGGCTTCAGGAAGAGCGCCACGCCAGAGATAGTGCCGCCTGTTCCGGCGCCCGCAACAAAGGCGTCCAGCTTCCCGTCGCACTGGGCGTAGATCTCGGGGCCCGTGCCGTTGTAGTGCGCTTGCCAGTTTGCTTCGTTCTCGAACTGATCTGCGAAGAAACCCCGTCCGTCGGACGGAGTAGGTAGATCCGGTAGATCCGGGGTCGATGTACCTGAGTTTGTCCCGGAGGACGCCGTGTGGGCGCGGGCGAGAGATCGTGCGCGATTGACGAAGTTGTCTTTTTCGACGATTGGGGCGGGGGGAACGCGGTCTACGATGGCGCCTAGTTTTAGGAGTAGGTCGGATTTTTCGATTGCTTGGTCGGAGGGCATACATCTGTCTTGTTAGATGTGTCCACCTTCAGGGAGGTTATACAGCGCTACGCCGAAGTCTTACATATGCGCAAGGTAGCCTTTGGCGCGGGCTAATGTGGCCAGCGAAATTCCAGTAGATCCGGAGGTTCCTTCGTAGATGGTATCTCCCGAGTGGGGGGTCAAGATGCCCAGCTCTTCGGCCTGGTGAGGTCAGCATTTATCTAGAAATGCCAGGGATGAAGCGTACAATTTCAATCATGCTGAGTGCAACTCGGTCCTTGGAGCTCTGACCTGCGCCGTTCAAGAACTGTACGCAAGTTAGTCGTTACTCTCTCCATTTGACGGCCAGTCTATATCGGAGACAGGCGCAAATCATACCTCGGCTTTCCCCAGAATCTCACACCCCGTCACATCAGACAAGGATTTGATGCGAAATAGAGGCGTATTCCCGATACATCCCTCAACGCCATCGACAATCGCCGGAGGACCTGGCCGTGCCGACAGCGGAGGTTCATCATCCGAGCTCGGTGCGGGACGATGAGCGCGGTACTCGCGGAGACGATCCTCCAGCTCGGGATAGAAGAGATCTTTGCACAGGACGGTGAGACAGACGCCAGCCACAAAGGCCGTGCCCATGTAGAGGCGCGAATGATCCGACATTGTGGAGGACACAGGGGGGAATAAGTGTGAAGGCAACAGAGAGAGGAAAAAGAAGCTGGAATTAATTGAATGTCGGGAAGAAGAAGCTCGGACCCACAGTAACTCCGCGCGGCATGAGACGCTTTTCTCAACTCCAGCCCGATTCTTCTCTCCTCCTCTCCTCCCTTTCTATCGATATCAACCCCCCACCTCCCTCCCTCTTGGAGGAATCATGGACTCTCCGGTGCTAAATCAATTGTTTCGGCGGCTGTTCCGTCATCCGGCTTGCCAATCCCTACGGTCCCCGTCTGCTCTGCCAACGCGGCGATTTCGACCCTCCACCCCATCTCGGCAACAAAGTCGACCCTTTCTCACAAAATGGAATCAGATGAGGCGGAAACCGGCGGCCAAATCCACCGATTGGGTGCGACGACATGATTACCCTAAGGAAATTGGGGAAGAGTTCCACAAATATCCGATGGTGACGGCCAAGGAGCTGCGGCATCTGCGGGAGAGACCCCGGCAGGTCCGAATGCTGACCCGGGACTTCATTGACGGTAAGCTTTGGATCTTGCATGCATGTCGGATTGACTGGATTGCTCACGCATCAATGATTTAGACAGTCTGTATAACCCCCACTACGGTTACTTTCCGAGACACGCGACGATCTTCACGCCCGGGGACCCGTTCGTCTTCAACGAGATCGAGGATGGACCGGCCTTCCACCGGATGTTGGGCGAGCGCTACCACGAGTTTGAGGACAAGCTGGACGAACTGCAGCCGGACAATGCGCGGCAGCTCTGGCACACCCCGACGGAGCTCTTCCGCCCCTACTACGGCGAGACGATTGCGCGGTACCTCATGTCGAATTACAAGCTGACGCTGTACCCGTACCACGACCTGATCATCTACGAGATGGGCGCGGGCAACGGCACGATGATGATTAACATCCTGGACTTCATCCGCGACACCGACTACGAGATCTACCAGCGGACCAAGTTCCGCATCATCGAGATCTCGTCGGCCCTCGCCGACATCCAGATGAAAAACCTGATGGATTCGCTGTACGCAGCTGGCCACCTGGACCACGTGGAGATTATCAACAAGTCGATCTTCGACTGGGACACGTACGTGCACTCGCCGTGCTTCTTCCTGGCGCTGGAGGTGTTCGACAACTTTGCGCACGACGCCATCCGCTACGACCGGGCGACGCAGCTGCCGCAGCAGGGGGGCGTGATGATCGACGGCAACGGCGAGTTCCACAGCTATTACATGGCGCACCTAGACCCGGTTGCGTCGCGGTTCCTGCGCGTGCGACAGGCGGCGGCGCGCCGGCCGTTCCCCAGTCCGCTGGGACCGCGGTTCCTGCGGGGCGTGAACACCCACTTGCCCTTCCTCAAGCCGCACACGCAGCCGGAATACATTCCGACGCGGTTGATGCAGTTCTTCGACATCCTCCACACTTATTTCCCGGGGCACCGATTGGTGGCGAGTGATTTCAGCAGTTTGCCGGATGCGATCCCGGGGATCAATGCGCCGGTTGTGCAGACGCGGTATATGCGGCAGACGGTGCCAGTCACATCACCATATGTACGTTCCCTTCTATCTTCCTCCATGACTCTATCTTCTTATTAACAATCCACAGGTCCAGCAAGGCTACTTCGATATCTTCTTCCCGACAGACTTCAACGTGATTGAAGACATGTACCGGGCCGTGACGGGCAAACTGACACAGGTGTCGAGCCACGAGGACTTTATGCGGCGCTGGGCGTACATCGAGGACACGGAGACGCGGAGCGGAGAGAACCCGCTGTTGAGCTGGTACAAGAACGCCAGCATGTTGATGACGGTGTAATGTACATATACAATCTACAATCATTGACGCCAGCGGACCTACTCAAACACTACCTCCATGAAAGACACTCAAGAAAGAAACAACACAATCCATTCTACCCACCTACCTACCTAGCTCCCCCCTTCCCCCATTAAGCTGTGCATCATACCTCAGATGACACTCCCTCTCCCGGCGCTGCAAATCCGCCAGCGCCCAAATCGCGGTGGCAGTCTCCCCCCGGGCCCTCACCTCACACGGCACCTCCACATAGAACCACACCCCGCCCGACACTCTATCCGAGAAAGTCGACGTCGACGTCACCCGTCCGCGGGAGATAGCGCGCATGATGGTAGTGATCAAGTCCAGCTCGCCGGAGACTCTCGCGCCGATGGGGACAAAGTACCACCAGCCCTTATCGCGGGCGACTTCTGGCGCGGCCAGCGCGGCCACTAGGTCCAGCCCGTAGACGATGGTCAGGTCTGGGGTGACGTTGAGGGAGTCGATTGTGTGGTGCCATTGGATGGTGGGGGTGGTGGAGGTGGGAAGAGGGGACATGTTGGGTTTTGGGTGGATTTGGGGTCAGTTTGTTTGGGTTAGTATGTTGTCTCTAGCTATCTAGGTATTTGTGGTGATTGTGTAGGGAGGGATGAGGAGTGTCTATTTATCTATATTATCTGCTCAACTGATTGGGTTGTTTCTCTCGGTCTTCTTGGTTGTTGTTCTTTCATGGTTGTTTATTGTCCTTATAACTCTTCCGAACAAAGACACAGCTTGATTGAGATAGGACAATGACCACCAACTTCTTTCTTCCATATCCTATAACATTCACGTCACACAATGACCCAAGAAACACTAGTCAATAAGCCAACAAACCCCTAAGCATTGTTCATACAGACAAACAAGCACCCTCTGCACCCCACCCAAACCCAGCGGAGATACTCCGACTCCTCGGCCACAAACACCAATCCAGACACCAGACGATCAACTGAATCGCAACGAATGAAGAACGGCTAAGTCGGCAGCTCTGCTCCTTCGGCAATCCAAATCTGACGGTGAGGGGAGGAAGCACTATCCCCCCCTCGCTTCCCCACCCGTTTCGATCCTTCACTTTGCCTATCTCGGTCTGGGGAGAAAGATTGCCGATAGACCGTGGGGGCGGTTGATTGGGTTTTGATACCATAATTCGGGGTAGATTTCCTGGAGTAGTTGCCTGTGGAAGATAGAGGAGAAGTGGTATTTAATGGATGGGATTTCCAGGGACAAGCTCTGGGTCTGGTTCCCCGCGCCACATCGATATTACATATCGCTATTCATCGGAGTATCCCATTCCTCTATATCAACAGACTAATACACATCGATCTCGAATACAGTATATAAAATGGACTGGAAACAAACAGCCACCACAAGACGTCAGGCCCAACAAGCCGCCATCCCCCCGGCCTGGCGTCTCTCCCCAGCAACCCTAAAAGCCTCGCGCAACACGAACACCACCCTCCAAACCATCCGCACCAGCGGCATCCTCACCCCGCAAGAGCTGCAATGGACAGAAGTGGCAGAGATCCGCCCCCTCCTCGCCCGCCTCGCCGCCCGTGACATCACCTCCGAGCAGCTGACGCTCGCCTTTTGCAAGCGCGCCGCCCTCGCGCAGCAGCTGACGGGCTGTCTGACGGAGATCTTCTTCGACCGTGCGCTGGCGCAGGCTCGTGAGCGCGATGCGTATCTGCAGCGGACGGGGCGGTTGATGGGGCCGTTGCATGGGTTGCCGGTTTCGATTAAAGATCGGTTTGATGTCGAGGGGTTTGATACTACTGTTGGTGCGTTTCTTTATTTCTCCTTGAGGACGGGATGGGATTGTTAACGACGAACAGGATGGGTAGGGCTGGTCGGTAAGCCAGCAGCGTCATCTAGCTCTATCGTGCGATTACTCGAGTCCATGGGCGCGGTGCTATACGTCAAGACCAATATCCCCCAGTCATTGATGGTGCGTTCACATCCTGTCAGCAGCCACTGTACCACCTTGCTAAGAACAATATAGATGTCCGACTCCTACAACCACGTCTTCGGCCAATCCCTCAACGGCCTCAACAACCAGCTCATCTCCGGCGGCAGCTCCGGCGGCGAAGGCGCCCTGGTCAGCGTCGGAGGAAGTGTTGTCGGCATCGGCACAGACATCGGCGGGTCGATCCGCATCCCTGCCAACCTGCAGGGTTTGTATTCCATCTGTCCGTCTACGGGGCGTGTCCCGTGGAACTGTTCCTTGTTAGTCTTCTTCTTCTTCTTTCTTCCTACAGTATATACTGAACGAGTGGATACTGACAAACAACAGCATGCACCAACACTACATGGTCCCCCCAGTAGCAGGCCCAATGGCCCGCAACCTAGACACAGTCGAGCACTTCATGGAAAAAATGCTCGAGTCAAACCCATGGGATCTCGACCCAGGATGCGTCCCCATCCCATGGAGAAAGGACCTAGCGAGCGTCCGCGGCAGGAAACTCAAGCTGGGCATCATCTACGACGACGGGGTGGTACTTCCGCAACCGCCTGTGACTCGCGCGTTGCGCGAGCTGGTGCAGAAGCTGAGAGATGCTGGACATGAAGGTATTTCAATCCACTCGAATAACGTCACCAGAAACCAGCTAAGTAGACAGTCATCGAATGGGACCTCTCGCTACACACCGAAGGCGCCAACCTCTGGTCCAAAGCCATCCTCGCCGACGGCGGCAAACACTGCCGGACGCTCTGCGATCTCGTCGATGAGCCTCTCATTGAAGGGATGGTCGTCGGAACGGAGCAAGACGAGCTCACGATGCCGGAGCGCGAAAAGGTATCCCCCGACCCCAATCCCCCATCCACCCCCCAACCCAACCAATCAACCAAACTAACCACCCCCGTAAACAGCTGGAAGCAACAAAATGGAACTTCCAAGAGCGCTTCCTCGCAAAATGGACCGCAAGCGGCGTCGACGCCCTCCTGATGCCCGTAACCCCCTGGGTAGGATATAAACCCAAACAATGGGTACAGAGCAAGCAGTGGCTGGGCTACACATCTATATGGAACTTTCTCAACTACGCCGCGATGACGATTCCTGTTGGGACTGCCGATCCGGTCCTCGATAGGCCTGATGAGGGTTGGAAGAGCCATGTGCCCAGGAATGATGCGGATGCGTTTAATAAGACGCAGTGTATGTTCCCTGTCTTCCCCCCTCTCTCTCTCTTCCTTTCCATCTCCCAAGGTGACAGAAACTAATAAGATGAATGTCAGACGATATAAACCTCGTCAAACACATGCCGGTCTGCGCACAGATCGTCAGCGGACGCTTCGGGGAGGAAAAAGCCGTGGCGGTGGCCAAGGTGATCGATCAGGTTATGGTTCGGGGAGAGAGCGGTCGTCCTTTGGAGAGGTTGTAGATAGGATTCTTTATTGTTTTTTATAGTGAGTGGTTTGTTTAGCATGGTGTTTGATAGATTATTCATCTATTGTTGTCTAATTTGTTATACAATGTATACATATGTAGCATGTACGCGTTTTGGGATGATATGATATTGTTAGATTCTGTATTTTGTGGCATCTTTATCGTGGTTTGTCTGGATCTGAGTAAATATAAAACATATAATAAATAGAGTAGAGTGTCTTGTTCAGTCAGGGATCCTCTATCCTCTCTTCGAGTACACACTCCGGTTATCGATCTACCTGTCCGGAGAAACGGGTGTAGATCGGGGGCCATTGGGTCTGTAAATAGTATTTCGTTGGAATGTCTAGAGGGGTAGAAGGTCATGCTCCAATAGTGTCAATACTCGTCCAGATACCTACCTACCTTGGGTAGTATAGAAGATAGCACCCAGTCAATCATGAACCTGTGATGAATTTACGACTACACTCTTAATCCAGAAGAACTATCCAGTGACTCTCTATCAAGTAAGAACTGCCAACGGCCTAAAATGAATAACCTAAAGATAAGAGATAATAAATGCAGTAATAGTAATACCCTATACACATAATAATAAAACCGATAAGAGCAGTCAATCAACTAATACTTCCGCTGAAACGTGCAATAATAACCCTTGAACAAACAACAAAAGAAAAGAAAAGAAAACAGAAGAAAAGAAAAAGTAATAACAAAGAAGAAAAGAAAGGTGGGAAAAGCAAACGCCACCCAGGTATCAACGGGTTTATCAAGCTATTCGATTGTGGTGACTTTCGTGGGTATGGTATGGAGTAGGGTATGGGTTGGTAAGGGGAGGGGTATGAAATGGCATGAGGAGAAAAGATTATGTGTAGAATGCACTCTTTTGGAAACTCTGGGGCGAAATATCGCCCATCTTGCTCTGCAGTTCGGGCTTCTTGGCATCGGCGGTCTCCGCCGCCACAGCGACGGGGTTGACAGGCCCGTGCGCCTCCTCGCCCGCCGTGATGGCCGCCGGCTTGCGCTGGATGGTTTCCAGGTAGGGACCCGGCAGGTAGCCCACGCGGCCGTCGCGGGCACGGCAGCGCCACCACTCCGAGGCGTTGCCCATGGGGTCGGACTTGCTTAGGACCGCCACGATCTCGCCCTTCTTGACGGCGAGGTCGATGCCCTGGCTGTCCTGCGACTCCGGGGTATAGTCGTACACGACGCGGCAGAAGTCCAGTTTGGACGGGTCGACCTGGTTCTGGGACAGGGGCTCGCCGTTGGGGCCCATCAGCTGCCGGCGCTGCTCTTCCTGCGAGCGCGCCAGGGTCTTGATGAGCTTGCTCATCAGGTAGGGGAGGCCGAACAGGGCCACGAGGAACATGAAGAACGGCTTCTTCGAGGGCCGGGGCGGGGCCGGGGACCCGTCCGGCAGGGTCGCGGGGGAAGCCCGCCCGGTCATAAAGGCCGCAAAGGCCGACGGCGTCAGGGCCGTCGCATCAGCCGGGGGAGGGCGACCGGTGATCTTGGCGATCAGGGTTCTGAACCATCGGATGATCGTGAAGATACCCAAGGCGGACCCTAGGGTGTTGCGGAGGTTGCCGAACTGTTCTGCGACCGACACCATCGCTGTACCTCAGTTAGCACCAGCCACCTAAGATTATACCCAAAGAAAACATACCGAAAAAAGAGCTGTGGGTGGCCATGTAGGTACTCTCCAACATCTGCGCGAATCCACCAAACGCACCAACGATGCTCTCGATCATCTGGAAGGTCGCCTGGGTGTTCTGACCAAACGAGTTGGTCAGGCTGTTGGGATCGTTCGGGTCGCCAGGCATCCCGCCGCCATACATGCCGCCCATACCGCCCATACCGCCCATTCCACCCATCCCACCATACATGCCGCCTCCATAGCCCCCATAACCACCGCCGTACATGGACCCCATAGAGCCAAGGCGCGAGTACGGGGACGAATAGCCGCCCATACCACCGTAGCCACCATAGGGACTGCTTCCCAGAGTCGACCCCATACCGGTTCCGAAACGCGAGGCGCCGTAAGGAGAGTAGTTCGAAGCTGTGCGATTCACGACCGAATTCAACGTGTCCGGACGATCAGGGAGAGAGGGACCGGCGACGGGGGAGGTGGTCGCGGTCGCGGTGGGTGCCGAGGTAGTGGGGACTGGGGGTATAGAGGTGGCAGGACTAGATGAATTTGACAACGCAGGACCTGAACGACCGTTAGCGAGATCTAGGAGAGCAGTAGTTGATAACGTACTTCCGGCAGCAGCACCGGCTCTCTCCCAAGGTTTAGGTGGCGAAACCGACGCCATGGAGATGCGCAAGGCGTTGGATCAGACTCGCATCGGAGTTGCACGAGCGGTCGGGATTTGATAGCCGAGTCAAACCTGGGGTAGTATTGCAGAAAGGGACAGAGGGGGAAAGAAAAAGAAAGTCAAAGGAGAATGGAACAGCGAAGAGAAGTAAGGAAGAAAGAGAGGGGTAAGGTGGAGATGTCCCAATAGACCTGATGGAGAGAAAAGAAGAGAGAAAAGAGGCAAATGGAATGAGCCGAAATGGGGAAATTGGGAAGTTTGGGGGAATTGCCGGAGGCGGTGGAGCCCGACAGTAAGGAGGATATCATGTGCCTGTTTACCGAGGCTCATCGGTCGGTTGATTATTCCTCACTATATTCTATCACTATGTTACGGGGAAATCATATAAAATAATGAATAATATGAGATGATATAAATGAGAACCGATGTGAAGAGATATAGATAATATAAAGAAAATAAAAAGAAGATGTCCAACGCCGTCAATGCAAGTTACTAACGCCATAAACAACATGTATCAGCCACAACTCCCTGTACAATCCAATCAATCAATCCATCAATCACTCTCATAGCTCATCCTGAACACCCCCATCCGACGATCGGGGCTTCTGGATTCGCCAGGCGCGCGGGGGAACCGGGAGTCCCAGCCAGTAGTTCCAAAGCCGGTTGAACTCGAGAACGCCGAGCTCGAATCTAATCCAGTCAGTCAACACATTTCAAAAAGATACCACCGTGTGTGGATGATTTAAAGAATCAAGGAGAAAAACTTACAGAGTCTTCGGGAGATACCACCACGACTTCAACACGTACATATACGTGTCCCACACCACAGCAAACTCCGCCTTGACATCATCCCAGACGGTGTCGGTATCCCGACGCGGCGCCCGCTCCCACGGCATCTTCTCCGTCATATAGACGTACTCGTCGTCGTCGTCTTCCTCGTAGTAAAACGTAGACCCACCGTCCTTGACCAGTCGTCTCGTCCGTTTACCACCGCCATGTTCGCGGAGCGGCGATGCCGAACCGGCGGGCATGGCGAACACGCCGCCCTCACCAATCTCCATTGCGCGCTGGAAGCTCCGTACGGCAGCGAGACTGTGCGAGATGCGGGCGAGCGTGTTGACCAGCGCGACGAGCTCGATGCGGCGCAGGTGCGGGTTCTCGCCGTTCTTGGTCTCGTCGTACTCGAAGAGGACCTTGAGCGCGGTGCCGTACCCGTTGACCTGGAGCTTGCCCCACAGGCGACATTTGTCGCAGCCGACGCAGTCCATCAGGCGGCTGACGTTGCGGAAGCGGTTGCGGAAGTCCTCCTTGAGGCCAGCGGCGCTGGGGTCCTGGAACATGAGTTTCTCGTCGAAGATCTGCGGGCGGTCGGCGAGCACGGTCGTCAGCTGGGAGACCTTGTCGCGGGTCTCGGCGTTCTGGACGGGGTCACTGTTGCAGAAGGTGTAGGCTTCGAGGTGCTTGCGGAGCTTGGCCACGGCGCGCGAAACGAGCGCGTAGTTGAAGTACAGGTTGGAGATGCGCTCGGGGTGGTCGTGCAGTCGGTCTTTGAAACACTGGAGGTTCGGGTGCCACTGGCCTGTCGTCTGGTTGAAGTAGTCCCAGCAGAGATGCGTCGTGATGGACGCGTGCATCCCGCTGATGACCCGGTGGAAAACGCGCTTCTCCAGGCACTCGTCGTCCAGCGGGGGGGCATCGGGCCGCCTCATCTCCTGCTGGATGACGTTGCGGAAGTCGTTGACGGCCTGGAGGCCGCCGCCTTGGAGACCGCCGCCGCCCAGCTGCGAAGCGCCCGGGTTGGGGGACAGCTCCATCTCAGCGGTCGGCTTCAGGAAGCAGTTCTCGCGGTAAATGGCGTCCCAGACCTGACGGGCGCCTTGGCCCATGTACCCGGTGAAGCGCTCGGGGTTATCGACCAGACTGACGTAGTCACCCTTGCCGCTGGACCCCTCATCCTCAGGCACACAGTAATCCCGCTCATCACACTCATCGTCATACTCCAGCACGCAGCTCTCGCCGACATTTTCACCCAGCATGCCCTGGAGCGGGCGATCGCGCGGCCGTTCGCGCTGTTGTCGGGGACCCGGGTGACCCGCCTTGGGGCCCTCGAGCTTGCTGAGCTCCTCCGAGCGCCACGTGGGCGGGATGTCCTCTTCGTCGTCGATGGTGTTCACGGCGCAAGCGATGTTGCCACACATGCTGTTGGCGTCGGACCAGAAGGGACATTCTTTGTTGAAGAGGTTGAGGCGGTAGTAGGAGAAAAAATCGGTTTCCTGGGTGAGGCCTTGGAGGAGGGAGTAGACGTGGTCGTTGAGTCTGTCGACTGTGGCGTAGGAGACGCAGGCGTCGGAGACGGTGGCGGAGGGGTCGAACTGAGAAATTAGCTGCTGTCTTAAAGTCGCTATTTCGCGTAATTGGATTTGAAGTCCTTCTAAATCGAAAGAAGTAAAAACTCACCGCGCAAGAGTCATGACTGTTAAGATCAGACGAGTCGTCAGAGCTTCCAGCCAGAGAAAGCCCAGACAAGGCGCACACGGCCAGATAAAAGATTTTGGCCGCGGAGCGCATCTTCAGCGCTACCTCGACGGATTGCAAATCGAAGGAAAAGAATTCTAATGCAGACACAAAATAATCCAAATGGGGGTTAATGGGTATATTCAGACGCGCATAGAAGTAGTACTAGGTATGAAGGTAGCAGGGAACGTCCTTCACATGGACTCGAAGTGGGCCTCTAGGAGATCAAGACAGATAGACGATTCGCGATCGACCAAACAATTCCAACGGAATCAAACAAATGTATAAGAATAAAAATGTAAATAAAACCGCTAATGCTTCAGACCACAAAGCGACTCTAGATTCTTAAAAATATATCAATTGACAAAGCGGAGTTCAGAAGGGAGGAATTGATGAAGTTGACAAGCTGTCCCTTCACGGTGGCGCAGAAACCGATCGATTATTGCTTATTTGTTCGGAATTCACAGGTCTGATTAGTGAGAGACCGTTCGATCCGCGGATCCACCTGGGCTGATGCCAAGGCTGTTCTTCTTATTGACACTTTCTCAATAACCGATGACTGGCAATTATTGTCTGGTTTTGGTTATTGACATGGCAGGAGGATGCAAATAACAGGGAGTGGGTGAGTGGTCTGATGAATCCTTCCCATTGATCCCATCCAAGTCGTACGAGTCGTGCCTTACATAAAATACTACATAGTATGGAAGTATATAAGACACTAGTGCTAATAGCTGACAAGGATGCAGTGCCTCGCAGGATATTCCCTATCCAGTATATGATCCTTATGGTTGATATGCGACTGCTGACGAGAGACGCGGTCTGATCGTTTACAACTACGATAGACTTGATATTCAAGGAAATGATCGAGCAATCCATTGGTGGCTGATTGCTCGAAGTATGATTCCTCGAAAGATGATACAAAAACCCGAACAACATGAAGTAAACAATGACAAAGAGCATGATCAACATGAGATAATAACAAAGCATCCATGGTAACTCCTATCTCTCAAACTCCCCAAAGACATTGACAATTTCAGACCATCCTCCTGTTCCCCATGGTATCTTCCCAAAGATAATCAAGATCAATCAAAATAATCAAAATCATATCAAAATCATATCATAATGAAACAAATTCGAACCATGACCCATCAACGCCATTCCTTTTCCCAGACCATGCATGCCCTACCGGGATGCACCGCATCCACTACAGGGCAGCATGGCCAAATCAACCCTACCTAGGCAGTGTCGCGGCGGTTGCGACGGCGCTGGAACGCCTTTCGGATCGAAACAAACGGCTTCGGAAGAGGAGTGTTGTAAAAAGGATCATTCTTAAAATCCTCATCGGTGAATCTCTGCCCATATTATTAGCAACCCAGTCTAACACCACCAAGTGACGAATGACTTACCGCACAAGGAATGCGCATGAAGTTGCCATAGTCGTTGACCATATTGGGGCCTTCCTCGTAGTCGTACGAGTGGCCGTTGTCGTCCGTGTGGCCAGGAGGGTAGTAAGCCACCCCGTCGAGTGGGCGGTGGCTGTCGATGCAGTCGCGGATCTTCTCGTGAGGCGTGGCGCGGAGGGCCGCGGCGTTGGATTCCTTCAGAGCGTCGACGGGGCTCAGCTTGCCGTGTCGGTTCTTGTTGGAGCATGCTGCATCGTAGGGTCCTTCATGATGGTACTGGAAGACACCCGCGTCATCAAGACGATCGATGACGTCGATGCTCGTCAATGCGCGTTGATGTCTCCCGTGACGAGGAGCCCGGCGGGAGGGCTGTTGATAGTAACTTGGCGGGTCCCGTCGCCTTCTGGGCTCCATCGAATACTGGAGCTGCCCGTCGAAATAGGGCGATGGAAGGGACGTGGACCTTTGATGGCCGAGGGTGCGTCGAGATGGTGATGGCGATAGGAATCGCTGGTATGGGTTGTAGCTCTCCATTTGATGTCCCATGCTGTATGGGGGAGGAGGATAAGATGGATACGAAGCCATCGAGAGTGGATTTGAGGTTGCTGCCATGAGGACGAGATGAAAGATGACAGTTGAGAGAAAAAGAGGATGAGTGTTGAGATGAAGGTGGCTAAATAGTATGCCCCTCCTATATCAATATATGTAGGAAGTTGATAGTACCGCAAGACTATTGGGTCCTGGCGTTTCCAGGTAATCGGTCTGGATCGAAAGTGGGGCGATCAAAGATGGTTGACTAGTATATGATATGATAGTATATAGCTATAAGCGAACTGGTTTGAGATGGATTTTGTAAGGATCTTCAGATGAGGGTAGATGTAGTAGAGGTGGGGATAGAAGAAAGAGACGGACGGGAGACACGGAAGATATGGAAGACACGGAAGATGCGGAAGAGAGGGAAGAAGAGAAGGGAAGAGAAGCGAAAGGAGAGGGAAGAAAGTCTAAGTATGGGGAGATCCGAACGGATCCATAACCGACGAAGCTGATCATGATGCGGTGATGGAGAACGTATAGAGAAGAACTTAGACGAGCGAATGACCCAAGATGCATGTATGTATGGATCGATGTATGGCCACCGGTGACGTGACGACTTGCGTGTGAGATGATGTATGATGCGTATGATCGGCCTTACCATCCGCCTTACAATCCGGGGCTTATCGATAACTGTTACCTGTCATTTACATATATTACTGCTTCTTTCCATTACTCTTTCTTGATTTAGACTCGGTCTAGAATCTACTTGATTTCCCCTCCCATCCGGTTCTCCATCCGGGCCCTGTGGTTCCTGAATGTCTCTCCTGGTGCCTGAAACATTACACAGGTCAAGGGACACACCTGGTACAGACAAAAGAAAACAATCCCAGTAGACTCAGTGGACTCAGTGGACTCAGTGGACTCCAGTGTGGTGGACCACTCTGTTGCGTCACCCGCCGATCCCGATAGTCCCGATGGACGAAGCGAATCTGCTTCGTCGGTCGTGACCACTTGACTATCTCGCAGATGATCGTCAGTGGGATAGGTAATAGGCATACACAGGACACCCTCATGGCGGTCTGTGCCCTAGAGAATAGAAGATTCCAGTGGCAGACTAGCCACGGAGAAAACTTAACCTTATTGCTAGCCTGGATGACCGTACAGAACTATCCAGTCGAGTCAAGAAACACCAAGTGTCACGGTCAGCCGGACATTTCGCTAGCCGGGGCTCGCTGGCCGAAGCAGGCAATGCGGCTCCCACCGGTGGTTTCTCAATCTTCCTAGATGATTTATCCCGAATGTCTGGCTCATAATGGTGGGTAACACCGCTGCGGAGCTGTCGGGATGTCGAGTCTGTTGGTCGGGTTGATTGATGGCCATACGTCATGGACAGCCTTAGGCACAGAGTTATGAACTTTATCCATGACTCATGTTATACTTTACTCAGCCACGAGAATAAAAAAATGGAATCCACGTGAGTTATACACTTACCCAACTATATGACAGATGGCAAAATGACACCAATATTACGACGGATATAATCCATTCAAAACTATCGGTGTACCACTTTTGGTCGCAGAAGATAATTGATGCGGCTGTCATATAATAGTCTGCACGGGGAGACTTCATGCACTCTGACTCTCCACTGCGGTCTCTTTCGAATAAATGATCGATCAGCTGTCATCTGTCTGCCCTGTGCGTACTTCGGCTGCTTGGCGGGCTGTACTGAGAATACCAAGACCATCAATTCACTGAAGAGTCCACTATGATAGTTGAACTCTCTTCTTGGAATGTAGCAATACAGAATTTGAGAATATCTATTAGATCTTTCTATTGAATACTGACAACCTGCCCATGCTGTGTTCGAGAACCAACTACTATACAGTATACGTGGATATAGAGTACAGTATTAATCAGGTCATGGGACTGTCCACCCGTCAGTAAAATACACTAGTAACATCACAGTCCGTCGCGCTCAGTCGCGTCTGGTCAGATCTGCTCGAACCTCAACACTGACGAGGTCAAGCCGGTCAGATCACCATGTCAGATCGGCAAATCCCATCAGTAACTCTCGTGAGTCATCTATTCTCCCTCAGTGCCATACATCCCAACTGATTTCCTCCATAGACAGACCTCCAATCCTTCCAAGCCAAACACTTTCCCGGCAGCGAGCCACCCGCTGCATTCACCCCCCTAGAACCCGCTGTGGTTGACGACTCTACCTACAATGACGAGGAAGATCTGGGCTACTACCCCGACGGGGTGAAGCGCACTCTCACCGACGAGCAGATCGAAATCTTCAGGCACAGTGAGATCCACTCGCTGCTGCGGGAAAGACAGCTGAGGGAGGAGAACCGGTCAGAGGACGAGGAAGAGGTCGCTGATTTGCACGAACCGGCTCACAGTGCTGCAGAGAGTAAACCAGCTAGTGCTGCTGTCAGTGAGTTCTCTGCGAAGAAACGGCCTCTGGCAAGTGCAGACACCGCGTTGGATTATGACGAGCAGCCTACTGGTCCTACCGGCGTCAAGAGAGGACTCCCGGCCGGCCATAACCCGCGATATACCGGTCGCAGAATCATTTCGTATGATGATTGATTGTCGGAATGGCTGAAAAGAAGAATATTCATCTTCCAGATCATTGACAACCCTCAACAGGGCACCTGAAGTCCAAACAAACACGCGGTAAGTCGAAGTATCTCGTTACTATTGCCCATATATCCATTCCATGATGAGAACATATAGTCATCCTTAGTCGGAGCGCCATACCATCCTTCTCTTGATGTGTAAGGCTATGACGACTTTAATCTTCTCTCTGAATCATGCCATCATCCCTGTCATATTTTGCATCTTGTGTGGTTATCCATGCTAATATAATCGGAATAGTCTAGCATGCGACCCCGCATACGATGGCGACATCTTCATTCAAGAAGCCTTGTCCCTACCTGTGGCCCATCAGCGCTCATGCTACCCTGATAGAACGTAGCATATACCACCACTTTGAACTGGGGGCAGCTTGGTCATATAGACGGCACATAATCAGTCACAAACGGCATATCTATTGAGAGAGGTGGCATTATGAGGATACGCCAAGATAGCAAGTGGGGATCCCCCGCGTCTCGATCGTCGCACAAGATGGTCATCTTGTTAAGAAGCAACGTTCATCCATGCGGCAGATAATGGACTTCATCACGGCAATGCCAGAACTGTATCTTGTTCAAACGATCGACGGAAATCAGTCAAGTTTTGAGGGTCATCGAATGACACGCTAGCTAGCCTAGCTAATCTATACTGGGACTTTCCCGTGCTCCATCTTCAATCCACTCGATCAATCCACCATCAATCATATGTACCGTATAGAAAGTAAATCTACAAGATAACCGGATTTCTATTCCCGAATATACCTACGGAGTACCATAGCTACTATATCCCAATGGGCTCAACTCCGCTTTACCCTCCGATGTCTCGCATGGGCCGCTGATCTACCCCTCCCAGCTGCATGATTATAGCTCCTTGCCGCCATAGCCATCCTGATAAGCAAACAAGGGTATAAGTCGAATGCCCCGGAGCCATCAGCTGTATCGTTCGTAGACTTCACCTTCATAATTGCATTGTAAAATGGACGCGGAGGCAAACTCAGGAAGCACAGCGCAACATGCAGAGTACACCCCCACCGATAGAGATGGAGCACGTCCCGACCAAAAGTCTGCGGGGAAAGTCAAGGGCAAGCTCATCAGCACGAACTTTGCAGTCATGGTTGCGGGACTGAACGGTTAGCTTCATCATCCTGTTCAAACAAATGGACAATCCATCAATAGCTAATTGACACCAGACGCCGCCGTCGGAGTCCTCATCCCCTACCTCCAACCCTCCTACGGCATCACCCTCCTCCAAGTCTCCTTCATCTACCTAGTGAACTTCACCGGCTGGCTTCTCGGCTCCTTCGCCAACATCCACATCTGCGCGCGGACAGGCACAGGAGGGACGATGGTGCTCGGCGCATCCGTGCAATGCATCGGATACGCGCTCATGTTCTGGAAACCCCCCTTCCCAATCTTCCTATCGGCCTTCTTCTTCACAGGTATCGGGGTATCCCTGCAAGACGCGCAGGCCAATTCCTTCACCATCACCGTGCAAAACTGCCACCGGTGGCTGGGCATCCTGCATGCTGTCTACGGGGTGGGCACTATTTTGGCGCCGCTGGTGGCGAACACTATTGCGGCGCGCACGCCAGCCTGGAATATGTATTACCTGGTGACGCTTGTGCTGGGAATTACCAATGTTTTGCTTCTGGCGTGGACGTTCCGACGGGGTCTGTTCCAGCCGAATGTGGCGAATGCGAAGGAGTTGGCCGGGAGTCAGTTGAGGGAGACAGTGTCTAATAAGGCTGTGTGGATTATGAATGGGTTTTTCTTTCTTTATGTTGGGGCGGAGGTTACTTCTGGTGGTGGGCACATACTCTCTATTATCACTATGTGGACGACTCAGCTGACGATAATAGGCTGGCTCACGCAGTTCCTCATCTCCGTCCGCCACGGTGACCCCAAACAGGTGGGCTACATCGCGTCGGTGTACTGGGCTGGGTTCACGGCTGGGAGGGTGGTGCTGGCTGATATCACGCATCAGCTGGGAGAGCGGCGCATGGTGGCGCTGTATATGGTGTTGGCGTTGGTGATGCAGGTTTTGTTTTGGCTGGTGCCGGATATTCTGGCTAATGCGATCACGATATGTCTTTTTGGTGGGTTTTCCAAGATAATTGCATATTTTCTTCCTATACAAGAGAGAGAGAGAGAGAGAGAGAAAGAGAGAAAGACTGACCAAATAGGATTCCTCATCGGCCCATTTTACCCCGTCGGGTTATACGTTCTGACCGAGGTGATTCCACCGGACCTTCATATCGGTGCACTCGGTAGGTCATTCCATCCACTCTCTCTGTTTTTTTTTTCTGAATACTGATAATATAGGATTCTGTGCAAGCCTGGGATCAGCCGGGTCGGCAGCCTTCCCATTCTTGACGGGGGCCATTGCGTCGCAGGCGGGGGTGCAGGTGTTGCCGCCGATTATAATAGCGCTGGTGATTGGGATGGGAGTGTTCTGGGCCATGATGCCGAAGAGGATTATGCTTTAATTTCTTTATTCTCTATTGACATCTATCGGGATGAGTGGTTGAGGATGAGTGGATACCGGTTCGAACAGTTCTTTGATACCCGGATCGGGAATCAATAGCCCTAACTAGACCAACACAATATATGCCTTCTAACGCGCCCGATCAACCAAACAATCAACTTCAGTTGCATATTATATCTTTTTCCACACCACGCCAACGGCTGTTGTGCAGCAGTCTACTGCACCAGTGTACAGAGTACAGCATGGGACGACCCTCACGACCCACAGCATCCCCCCAACTCATCATCTGCCTCATCTTCTCCGCCATCCTCGTCCTCCTCCTAACCCTCATCCTCGTCTCCCCCTTCAACCACCTCTTCCCCCTAATCCCCCCAGCATACTACCTCACGCCCTCCTCCTCAGTCTCAACCTGGTCCCACCCCGACAGAAAACACAGCCGAATCTTTACCGAAAACGACGCGCTCTTCTTCCACGACCCTGCAACCAACCCTCCCGACGAATCCCACAAAACATGGGAAGAGATACTCATGCCGCCCAGCGGAGGAGGCATCCTCGCCCTGCATCCCCCAGGATCAGACAAAGAAGTTGACAAAGATGAAGATATGATCATCTCCTACGGCATCTCCATGTTCCACCAACTCCACTGCCTGATCGCCCTCCGCGGCGTCATCTTTCCTGAGACGTCGCACAAGCAGCACAATTCAACGTCCAAGGCGCATTCGGGCGATCACGGCCAGGATCGGTGGCATTGGGCGCATTGTTTTGATTATATAGCGCAGGTATTTCATTCCTTTTTTTTTGCTTCTTTCTTTCCGTCTTTTTTTGTTTCTTTTAATAATGTACGATAATACTAACAGTATAAATAAGGCAATAATCTGCGCCGCAGACGATACAATCGAGACCCCCAAGGAGACCACCAACAAGTTCGGTAAACCCATCTATCACATCGACGGGGTGGGCGCTACCCACCAATGTCGGGACTCGAAGAGGCTGTGGGAGGTGTCGGTGGAGAGTCTGGAGACGAAGGTGGACATGCGGGCTTGGAGGGAGGAGGCAGGGGTTGGGGTGAGGGAGTTCTTTGGGGGGGTTATTCTAGGGATGGGGATGGGGATGATGGGGTGCCGGGGGTTTATACGAAGGGGATGGTATAATCTATATATTCACATAAGAAGGTATATATATTGTATGTATTGATTTTAATAGGACTTATGTAAATACACATCTAGACTATATATCCTACATCAGTAACTTATACACACCCAACCAACCAACCCACCCCCCAAAAAGAAACCCAGAACAAAAGAAAGAAAGATCAATGACACCCAACCCCCAAAGCCCTCAACCTCCAATAATTCCACGGCAAAGGCGCCGCAAACCCAGCCGCCATACTAACCCCCGCCTTGCCCCAAAACGCCCAATCCGCCACATCAACGACACCCCCCGTCAGATGCCAATCGACGGCATTCTGCACGCTCTCCATAGCCAGCATCGACACGAGGCTCATCCCCGCTGCGGTGCGGACCGCGTGGCGGAGGGGGAGGGCGTCTTTGCCGTATGCTAGGAGGACGGTTTCTAGGGTTAGGGAGGTGAGGAGGCCTGTTGTCACTTTTTCCCCATCCTTTTTAGTATGTACGTTGATTTGGGGGAAGGGAGGAGGGGAAAGAGGGAAGGCGTACTGGATACGCCCATCATTAAGGGCATTCCCCAGTCTGGGGCGTAGGCTTGAAGGGTCCACAGGGCGGTGAAGTCGCCTGTGGTGCAGCCGATGAGACAGCGGAGGGTGTTGATCGCTGAGCGGGACCATGTGTGGCGGCAGGTCCAGAAGGGGAGGGTTGTTGCTGGTGGTGGTTGGGGTTTGCTTGGGTGAGTGGTGCATTTGGTTGTGGTGGTGTTTAGAGATACGTATGGGGGTTTCAGGAGATGTAGTGTTGGTCTTGGTTTGGGTCTGAGGGTGTATGTGTAGAGAGTTTGGGGCTTTAGTTGAAGGCGATTCATGTTGAAATATTTACATTTAATTAAGTAAAGAAGAAAATGAAGATAAGATGAAATGAAGAAGAATGAAGAAATGTAATCTTTATGTATAACTAAACCACGCGAAAACCGCGCACTGAGTCAGCATCCCTGCGTTCTCCGTTCCCCATCTCTAAACCATGGTGACATCAAACATAGCGTCAAAATATCTCAAACGACTTTTCCATCTCCATCGCTTCACTAAATGCCTCCGATAGCGCGGCCGCCTCCGTAGGCGACGGCGCCATGCACGGTCGCCGCGGCTGCCCTCCATATCCGCGATAACTCTGCAGCGCACTCTTAACCGCCACGAACCCTCCCTTGATGGCCAACCAGTCAGCGCGGGCCACCACCGCCTGCGCCTTCTGCGCCTCGGCAACCTTTCCGTCCAGGTGCAGCACCCTGACCTGTATGCACGACCGCGGGATGAGGTTGGCGATGCCGCCGATGATCCCCGCACCACCTACGCTGAGCGTCGGCAGTATGAAGTCGGCGGACCCGCCAAACGTCAAGAAGCCCTCGGGCGCCTGAGCAACGATGCGCGCCATCTTGCCTGTGTTGCCGCAGGTCAGCTTGACGCCCACGATCTTGGGGTGCTGCGCCAGCGCGAGGATGTCGTCCGAGCTAAGGTCCAGCCCCGCCGACGCCCCCGGGAAGTTGTAGATGAGCACCGGGATGGGCGAGGCGTCGGCGACCTCCCGGAAGTGGTTGAGCATCGCCTCTGTCGAGACCAGCCCCTTGTAGTAGCTGGGGGGCAGCACCAGCGCGTAGTCGCCGCCGGCCTCGGCGGCGTCCTTGCACAGGGCGATGGTCTCGCGCGTCGAGGGGGCGCCCGTGCCGACGATCACTGGCATCAAGTGATTGATCCTTTCGCAGACGCGGCGCGTGGCCGCTGTGATGGCGTTGCGCTCCTCGCGATCCAGATGCACGGCCTCGCCGTTGCTGCCTTGCACGACTAGCCCCATAACGCCTGTCTGGGCGAGGTAGGCGGCGTGCTTCTCGGTGGTGGGGATGTCCAGGTTATCCTCTGGGGTAAAGAAGGCGACGGTAGGGACATAGATGCCCTTACCAAAGTGTCGATCAGAGGAAGCCATCTCGAAAGTAGGGTTACAAGGGAGTGTAGAACGGAGTGTAGATGGGTTGAGTAAATGAGGGGAGAAATGAATGTAGTGGCGTCGACAATTGAGGGGAAACCGGGGTTTAAATCCGCAGCAGGATTCTCTGCGAAGGACCGGAGAGAAATGCGGAGCCCGACTGGAGACAGAGTGCTATTCCATGGATGTCGATAGATTCATGGGTTGATATGAATAGTCCAGTTAGAGCTGTCTAACCTACCTATGATAGCCCATGTTTTGTTCTACCCCCACGTACCCCACAGTGTGAGGAGTTGCTCCGATGGACATTTATTGAACCCCCACGTTTTGATGGATTCGGAAGGCCAGTGGTAGGCAGGATATTATATGGTCTATTTGGACCAGAGTGAAGCCGAAGTTGAAGCCGAAGTCGAAGCCGAAGCTGAGGTATGAAGCTGGATGGGTTGATGGTTATATTGGGTCATTGGAGTTCTATCCGCTGGGTAGTAGTCCAGGTCATGAGGGGATAGAGGTGACTACCATGTCATATTCGAAACGGTAGATATAACAGGTATATCTCCAATGAGCCATTCAATGGGTATTGAAGTTATTCAAGATCAAGAGTTGAGACAATGAAGAATAAAGAAAGATGAGGATGACCATACCATACACCCAACTCCCCCCTTCCCCCCGTAAGATACCCCGGAATACTGTAAATTACATAACGAGGCACCTCCGCCTCCAAAATCCTCTCCTCCCTTATTGACGACGACGACAATGAAGAGAATCAATCTCGTCCCATGAATGAATAGCTATACAACAATTGACATGATTCCATCCTCTCCAATCGATTGTTCCTATCTCCCAGCCATGTCCTCCTAAATTTTAATCCATGACCACCATTGCCGTCATGGCCGTCCGCTCGAGGTCGTCATTGCGCGTCTCGGAGCGACGAGATCCTCAACCTGTCCAGAATCAACCTCGACATACTGTCTCGCTGGATGAGGATGCAGATACTCGTCCGCCTCCCTCTAAGCGACCGCGATTGCATCCTCCGCGGGGACGGAGGAGTTCGTCCGACCACCTGGACGCAACCGTCGACCATCCCCTGACCCCCTCGTCGCGCCCCTCCCCAGCCAAGATCGTCAAACAGCAAACGTTACGGCGATACTTTCACCAGAAACCACAGCAGAATCATACTCCCTCTATACCGCCCCTACATCTGGACGGGGGGAGCGAATCGCCCGATCCGCTTCACACCGACCCTCCCGCGAATGCGCCGTCTCCCGCCCCTGCGTCCACCTCCACCCCGACGTCCTCCGCCCGTCCTCAACCAGAGCCCGCAGAGTCTCACCCCACCACCGCCTCTCCTTCTGCGGCGACACCCTCTACAACTCCCTCCAAGGATCTCTCCGTCAAGTCCGCCGTGCCTGAACAGCGCCGTAGCCTCCGCTCCCATGATGGGGGCGCCCGGACCCGGAGCGAGCTTGCCTTATACTTTCCCAACTACGAACAGCTGCTCAGCTTCGAGACTCCGAAGACGGGTATAACACCTCAACTCTGCCTTTCAGGTTGCTTTACAACGTTCTAACGGTCGGAACTAGATCTCCTCAACCCTCACACTTCCATCAAAGTGATCGATGACCTCTCGGAGCCTCCGATCCTGTCCGACGAATCCGCGGACGCACTGCCGTTCGGGAATCCCTTGGCGGAGTTACACGAGTGCGAAACAATCACGCTGGGATTGAGTCCGGGGGACTCAGCTAAGGACAACCCCAAAGAAGCAGCGCTGGCACCCACGGAACAAACAACCACTGGGAATGAAGACCCAGAAGACCCCCTCGACGACACAGTCTACTTCCGCGCCCATCGTCGCCACGAACGCCAAGAGAAACAGCTCCGTAACATCGAGCGCGAGCGCGCCCAGCATGAAAAGCAACAGCTGGATCGGCTGCTGGACGAGCTGCGCAGCCACGAATGGCTGCGTGTCATGGGCATCACGGGCCACGTGACCGACGCCGAGAAGAGACACTACGAATCCAAACGCGACCTCTTCGTGAGCGAGCTCTCCGCCCTCATCCAGAAGTTCAAGATTTGGAAGGAAGAAGAAAAGCGCCGCAAGCTGGAGCGCGAGCAGAAACCAAGGACCCCAGCCAGCCACGCCGACGCGGACGCCATTCCGCAGTCCTCGCCGAAGGGCGGCGCGTCCGACGATCTAGACAACGACCCTGGCAACGACAACGTAGCTCCAACGCCCACCGCGTCCGACGCCCCTAGTTACGCCGACCCGCTGGACCCCAACGACGTCGACGCCTGCGCCGCTCGCCAACTCCACCAAGAAGCAGCTAGCTCCGCGACGACGACGGCGCCGGCGTCTTCGCGCGGACGAGGCCCCAAGTCATCCCGCAGGAAACCCTCCCCTGCCCCAGCCTCTTCCTCCTCCCAGCCTCGAAAAGAAACCCCCAAAGCACAACCCCCACCCCCACCTCCACCACCTGCGAGCCCCCCACCAGACCCCAACCGCCCCTTCACCTCCTTCTTCAGCAAGCCACACCTCCGCGAAGCAGCCCTCTCACTGCACCGCACAGGCGGACGACGAACGCGACTCGCCTTCGGACAGCCCCTTCCAGAGATGGAGACGGGAGATTTCGAGCTCCCAGCGGAGATCCTCACGCCCGAGGCAATCGATTCTTGTCGACGGGAAAGGCGGCGAAGGAAGAGGGCTAATCGGGGGTGATCTTTATTCTTTCTTCTTCTTCTTTTCTTTTCTCTACCCTTACCCTTACTCTTACTCTTTAACTTCCTTTTTCTTCTCCTTTTCTTCATTTTATTGGTGTTATTATTATCATCATCCTCGGCTTGGAATAGAAGGAGTGAAACGGCACGGGTGTTTGTTTTGTTACTGGGATGGCGGAATGGATCTTTCTGACTTTTTTATCTTCTTACTTTCTAGTTCTCCTATTCTCTTACTACTTTCTTACCTCTTTCTTCTTTCTATTCTCAATTGTATATCATCAAGGGTGTCATCACCATTATCCATTTGGCAATCAATCAATCAACGAGCATTCCGTTCGACTTACTTACTCTTTCAAATCCTTTAGGACAGTTAAGCAATTACACAAGTCAAGTCCAGCGTCGCCAGTTCAGGTCCTTACAATAGTCTTTGAATAAATAAAGGTATATACATCGATACACGCTCCGTCAGTTTATAGTTGGATGCAAGTCTCTACAATTAGTCGAGTAGGACCTACCTATCGACCTATATACGGATACTATATACCAATCCTGATAATACACAAGTGGTCGGTAGATAGACCGCACGCTGGCCGCACTGTCGATGGCTCGCTAATACAATTGAAGCTTTACTCTGTAGTGCAAGATTGACTAAGTAAGTACCTCGCAAACACACACTAACAGATGCTTCGTGGTGCGATCATAGCTAAGCTATTGTATGTGGGTATTGGCGTGAGACCTCGATAAGCAATGGGGGAGTAGTACGGAATTTTAAGGCAAGAAACTAAAGAAAGTAAACGTAAAATGAATAATGTAAATATATATGGTAGGTATCTCATTATATGCAGCTATTATCGTCGTCATCAATAACAGACCATGACCCAAATGCAAATGCAAATGCAGATGTAAATGCAGCCAGCCGCTAGCTAAACAGCTCTAGTCTAGAAAAAGAAAGAAAGGAATAAATAAAAAGAAATCCGAGAACGCCATTAACAAAGGTATAAACAATTATATACAAAAACGAGACAAATTAAGCATTATTCGCGCACGAGAAACTCGAGCTGCCGGGGTCGTCGTGGATGGCTGTGCCTGAGGCGTAGAGTCCGAGGACGCACTGTTATTTGTGTTAGCTATCTGCCACAACTCAGTTGTCTAAAATAGGGGAAGAGAAATAACATACCAGACAGACCCCAATTGCAATATTGCCGAGATTCACAAACGTCAGGAAGATCTTCTTCGGCGACGAAAACAGCTTCCCCCAGTTCAAGAACAGCCAGAAGATGCCGCTCAAGCCAAAGGTGAACCAACTGGCGAACAGCGCGGTGATGAGACTGAGGAGGGTGCTGAAGACGGGGATCGCCTCGGCGATGATCCAGGCGATGATCCAAAGGCCGAGAGCGATTCCGGCCCACGAGCCGCCAGCGACCCAGTCGCGCTTGTGGATGCGGTCCGTGCCGCGGAAGACGCGCGTGTAGACGTACTTGGAGGCGATGTGGCCGTAGATGACGCCCGCGATGATGATGGTCGGGAGGGCGATGCCGAACGCGACCTTGGAGACGATGGGGCTGGCGGATCCCAGGGCCGGCGAGGCCACGTCTGCGCCGCCGAAGCGGTAGATGACGACTGCGGCGATCAGGTACAGCGAGATGTCGATGCCCTGGAGCAGGCAGAGGGCCTTGGGGAAGTCGCGCGGGTCTTTGAGCTCGGCGGCGAGGCCGAAGAAGGCGGCGTGGCCGCAGAAGGAGAAGACGATGTTGCAGACGGCTGCGAATCCGTGGACGAGGTCTGTGTCCACGACGGCGAGGACTTCCTTGCCGGGGTGGGAGACACCGACACCGACCATGGTGATGACCACAGCGGTCAGGATGCTGATGAATGAGACTAGCGACAGCCAGGACATCTCGGCGAGCGTGCGCGGGAGAGACAGGGCGAACGAGACGACCATGCCGATGACGCCGAAGACGATTGAGCAAGTGCCGTGGTCGGTGATCGCGTTCATGGCGATGGTGAACGTCAGCAGGTGGCTGGCCATGACGAATATCATGAAGATGATCTGGGCCGCGCCGAGCAGTTCGCGGCCAAATCGCCCCGCGAGCACCTCCCCTGCATCGGCCATGTTGGAGATCTGCGGGTATGCCCATTTGAATTGTCCGATGATGTATCCCGTATACGTTGCCAGAAGTCCCAGGCAGACCAAGATGATGACCGCACTGTCTGATGGTTAGCACAATGGCCACTTGCGCGTCGCGAAGGATTGACGTACGGAACCAGACCCAGCCCGGCGACCGCGGCGGGCAACGACAGGACACCGAGGGAGACCGTTTCGGCCACCATCAGCAAGCCACATTGCCTGTGAAAGAACAAGACGAGCATCAGCATTTATTTCTTTTCGCATTCGATGTTGTCGATACGTACCACCACTTCAAAGTCTTGTATTTGATCTCCGCATGTTCTTCGTCACCAAATGCGTCTTGCATGGACGGAGGTCTCTCGTCGATCTTCTTCTCATCCATGTCGAGAGAACGCTGTTCGGCGAGATCTACCGTTTGAGCGTTCTCCAAGTCAAGCCCCCTCGGAGGGGCTGACACAATTTGAGGTGGACTCATATCTGTAGGTCACACCGTGCCAAGTCTGGACTGTGCAAAAAGAAGAGAAAAAGAGAAAAAGAGAAAAGGTTAAAAGGAGGCGATGTGGAAGGCCACAAGTGTTTCCACAGAACACTTTCAAGTGCCCCAATGCCTTAGAATATGAGCAGAAACTTGAACGCACAAAATCACAACAAAAGAACAAGCATGACAGCAGGAGAAAAATGAGCGGCAACGTGGGGAGCATTCGCAGAAGTAGTTCACCCACTCTGACTCAATTTGCCTTCATCTATCTACGAGCCGGGACCGAGGAGGTGCCTGGCGCCACCGGGTGGGCCGAATGGGTCCCGAGTCGGACCGACCTGAACGAATCACGAATCGGCAACGTAACAGAAACTTCACTCACTGGACTGTCACCATCCACTTTTGAGAACGAGATCCATGGTGGACCTGGGGAAGAAGGCCTTGAAGGTTGAGGGAAGACTTTTGGCCCACCGATTCCGGCGAGGCGCTGACCGGCACATGCTGCCACTCTCATTCCCGGTATGCTCTAGCGAGAGAACGTTTGAACTAGGTGTATGTTGACTCTGCATCTGAAAGTATGCCATTGATTCTGTCGAGTCTCCTACTGCATTTATGTACTATCAACCCGAGCCGATCAACGGTGACATCGGCGGTCGGTTCAGCCTTGGCCGGCCGGCGTGGGGTTTCCAACCCAGGAAGCGGGTGAGAGAAAGGCCCCGTCCACTCAGGTGTTATTTGAGATCGTAATGCAGCAAATAATAGGGGAGAGAGAGAAGCTGATCAGGCCGATAGATAGATGGAGAAAGAGGATACTGGAGAGAGCCAGAGAACGTTCGCTGCAACCGCCGATCGCGTGACCTTTCCTGTTCGGGATTAGCGCATTCCGGTGTCGATTCTTAAATCCTTCTGTCGGATCACATGACCGGCATTCATCCTGCCAGTCCAGCATAAACCAGGGAGACAGATGAGCCTCATCACCCTGGATAATTCAATCCTGTCTCAGTCCTATCCAGTTACTCGGTACACTCTATCAACTGTAGATCCTCTTCTTCATTCGCATATGGCATTCACCGGCAGCTAAAAGCGCCACCACCCAGCTCCACTATCAAGACTGGGTCTTCATTTAGCTTCGGGGGAAAACCGCCAACTCCGGAGATGACTCAGCTATGAACTTATGCATGCTCAAAGAGGAAATTTGCACGGGCTGACTAAGTATGTACACAACAGCTAGATCAAAAGGGAATGATTGTCGGATCACATACTCCGTACTTCTGGATGCTATGCCTCCAGAATAGATGCACGAGGCATTGTGCCGCAAATATCCGTTAGGACCAATCCGACGGGTTAGTTTCAATCATCAATTATGAATAACCACGGGGTTGGGGTAACTTGGTTTAGTCACGATCCTCCAGGTTTCACTTGACGTGCGGGGAGACAAGAACCACTATGGGGATCGTCGAGGACGGGCTCTCCGAACACCTTCAATAGCCGTCGCTGTGCGAGGGACTTCGGCGCAATACCCCAATCGTCTATGGGATTGACCTCTCTGTTTATTTAGCGCGATTTCACAGGTCGGGACCCCGCACGATCAACGGGTCTATGAACCCCGTAATATGCTCTAGGAGAGACAGCAACTGAGACGATGTCGTGTCAGACTCTGAGGTCTCCTCCCCTGCTGGTGGGTATTAGCCAAGTCAATTAAACATTGTATATGGCAAGCTTCCAATTGGACTGCCCAGTGGAGGATCTTGACAGTCTTGGCTCAAAGCCAGTCTTTGTTCTCCCGTGTTCTCCATATCTCACCTCGATATTGCGGGAGGGCCGATAACAACAGTTGAAATGATGATGATATCAATGAAACCTAAAGCTGGGAAAAGATTGCGAGCAGTTGAATCCCTGTGAATAGTCAATCAACAGTTTATGTGAAACAACTCTGCAATCCAACTGACATTGGACGGTTGCATGTCTTACTCTTCCACAGATATATATATCTGCTTGACGAAACGTCCTTATAAAACAATATGGTCGAACCTTTCTCGAAATGAGTCCCAGCGTGGACTCTGTGCAGGTCAAACCCTCTCCTGTCTTTGCATCAGTTGCGTATATGATGTCTGCAGAGTGACTGCAATCGGCCAGCTAACTTGCAGCGTTTGCAGAGTTTCCCACACTATTTGTGTTTTGACGTTTCTTCTGATCTTGCAACTTTTTGCAGCTTTCTTCATATTTGAAGTCAGTTGAATTGCAGAGTTTTGCTGTTCACTGTACACATAAGTTCTCGCGTCGACGTACCAGAAATATCATTGTATCATGCGATTATCTTCATACCAATGAAATGAGACAGCCTTGTCCTCGAGGTATATTCTGTCGACGCGTATCTGTTGAGCTGAAGAGTGAACCATAAGCTCATCCGGTAATCAGACGAATTTACTCCAAGATCCCTTATCGGAATCGTATCAAAAGTCAGAAGAATAAGTGAAAGCTATCAGTCAAAGTCCACCATACCTACAAACAGACAGATCCAACACCAGCCTCTGCTAACTCCTGATTTGCCTAACCAAATACATCACACTACTACTTTTGCGTGGTCCCAGGACTATCAATCTCGAATGGTGTCATACATCATGACATCTTGCATGTGGCTGCCGCAATCTTCGCCTTGGCCCTGAGTCAGTATCATACATGTAAATAGTCATCTGTCCCTTTTATGATGACCCGATTGAACACTCGACTGCATGATGCATGATGCGATCAATGTCAAGCTGTCTGACTCAAATAACGTGCGGGCTGAGACGTGACGATGGTCCCGAGTGCTTGGAGCTGGTAGAGCTGCGCATCCAGTACCTGTGATTGAAGACAGGGCTGCATTGGACTGCGTGATAGACGAATTTATACTAACTGTACTTACTAGTCTCATGCTTTTCAGAGAAGTGAAAGCCTATGTATAAGGGTATCCTTTCTCTTCGTCCTATATCGCAGGAACTATTTCTCAACCACGGCACCAGATTATCGGATCGGCTTTTGACCGGCTTGATATGATTGAAATCCCAACACTAGTTCAATCCAGAAAATTATATAGTATTAAAGATAACAACTATATATTTGTATATCCTGGACACTGTTCCTGCCATGGCGTGCCATGGCTTGTCATCTAAGCAAACGCTTCCAAGCCACCAGTCCGAGCAAAGACAGGGCCATTGGAGATGGTTTCCCGATCTATCCACCTCCACCAGTCAAAACCTAGACGCGTAATATCTCTAGACACTAAGTCTACAGCCAAATGACATACATCATACATATCGATTCTTATGATTTGGAATATACCCTGCTCATGCACTCGAAGCACCCGCAGTGCATGTAAAAATCTACTGGTCAACCCAAGCCTATGGGGGATTGAAAGCCTCAAACGCAGGAAATTGTGCCCCTGTCAGCGAAGTGACATAATGAAAACACCAGAGCCAATAGGTCAACCACAGGACAGAACAGAAGAAGCACATCCTCGCCGAGAACGAATCACTGTAGTAGTTCCCAGTACCGAACCCAGCACAGAAGAAGCATCGAGATCCCTTCAGCTGTCAAGGTACCAAATACTTCTGGCTCGGCACGAAAAACAACCACAACCCATCCTACGGGGTCCCTCACAATCGTCTTCCCCTGCAGACCCCGTTCTCCGACCCCGGAAAGGGCGCGACGCAAAAATAAAAGAGACCAGCCACATCCAAGATAGACCCCGAGCATCCCGAGTAGGGGGAGGTGATTTGCTCGGAGCCTCCCACATCAGCATCGACCATCCTGGCGATTCCACTGGTTATGCTTGGGTTTGGCCAATCGTTTCGATGGATGCAAGGTCAGTGGTAGACGTCGCTGCATTACAGTGCATGGGTTCATATCCAAGCCCCATATTCCCAGCTCCATACTCAAGCTTCCATTAATGCCCCCATTCATACCTTGACCTCCATCCATACATCCATACCTCCATACTAATACATACATACATACATAGCGCATCCGCACCCATACATGGACATGCACAGGTCCTCAACACCATGCGGCACGGCCCCTTGCAAAATGCAGCCCAGACGACCTGGCTGGCGGAACCCTCATGCAGGCCGTAGATGCCTACATAGTGGACACTTCAGCTCCCTACTGTCCTGCTCTACCTACTACTAATGCCCCCTGCTGCATGATTCGCGTTACACAACCCACACTCCAAGACGAAGATCAGACGCAGTAACATCCATCCTTGTCCACGATAGGCGTATCGTATAAGTCGCCACTCGGTAGGGGCTCGAAAATCCCTCTCTTACAACCTTGGATATTTCTTCTTTTTCCCTTTTGGGTTTACCTTCTTTATATTTACTTCTTTTCGTGTTTTTATATTTCCTATTGCTCTGACACTCAGATTGGTCGCTTCCCATGCATGAGGTGGGGGTTCACGAATGCTACCTACCCACCTACCTACTACCACCTACCAATTTACTAATACCTATTGTGGTGGCTATGATATTACGATGTTATATATAGACAGACCAGTGAAAGTGCCAAACAGGGACATGCTGGGATTGTCTTGAAACTGCGTGTGCAGGGGAGAATGCCAGCATCTGGTAGGTAGGTAGCACTGGGCGCCTGATTCTGACTGCCAGGGCCCAGGCTGCATGGAGGGACGGGGCTCGTCGGGTCAAGCCGTCTGTATCGTGGGGTCTGCCGGTGATTCGAGCGCATTTAACTTTCGAGGTCGTATACTGTATGGATTGTCGGGTTGGATGCGGATCAACGGTTTTGATCTGTCGGGGAGCGTTTTATTGGTAGATACCTAGGTATCAAGGGACCGGCTGGGACCGCTGTCAAAATATTACGTAGAGGTGTTGTGTTGGTTTGGGGTGCTTATACTACTAATGTTCACTTCTCCAGGTAGTGTAGTTTGCAGTTATAATCATGATTGATGGCGTGGAAATAGTAAACGCAAGCAGCAAGCATGCCAGTTGGTTTCTGAAGCTTTC